ATTAAATAAATTAGTTGGAAAACAGCTCCAAAGGGTCCTATCTCCTGGTGGGATTTCAGACATGGAATCCTCACCCTCAACGTTTCTCCTGATCCATGGAAAAATTGGAGCATCCTGGGGATAAATCCCAGCTCCCAGAGTTCTGCTTTAGTCCCGGGTTTAGATAGTTCCTGGATCCAGTGGGATTTCCACCCCTCAGATATTTTATTTTCCTGTTCTCCTCAATTTTCTTCCCGCTTGCTCCGGTTCCTCTGTGGCCTGGAGACTCCTGGAGGTGATGTCCAACCAGGACCCAGCTCCAGGGTTTCTTTGTGCTTGGGGACAAAATTCCCAAGGGGAAAACTTGACCCTTTGTCCCATCCTGAGGTGGGACTGGGAATTCCCATAGGTTCCCCGTGGTTTCCTTCTGGGTGGCACATCCCAATCCTGCAGAATCCAGGAGCTCTGGGTCCTCTGGATCCTCTGGATCCTCTGGATCCCCTGGCCTGGCAGCCAGGTGAGGTCCTGGCTGGAGGTGAGGCTCAGGCTGAAGGTGAGGTCCTGACTGGAAGTTGGATCCAGGCTGGACATGAGGTCCTGGTTGATGGTGAGGTCCAGGATGGAGGTGAGGTGAGGTCCTGGCTGGAGGTGAGATGAGGTCCAGGATGGAGGTGAGGTCCAGGATGGAGGTGAGGTCCAGGATGGAGGTGAGGTCCTGGCTGGAGGTGAGGTCCAGGATGGAGGTGAGGTGAGGTCCTGGCTGGAGGTGAGGTCCAGGATGGAGGTGAGGTGAGGTCCTGGCTGGAGGTGAGGTCCAGGATGGAGGTGAGGTGAGGTCCTGGCTGGAGGTGAGGTCCTGGCTGGAGGTGAGGTCCAGGATGGAGGTGAGATGAGGTCCTGGCTGGTGGTGAGGTCCAGGATGGAGGTGAGGTGAGGTACTGGTTGATGGTGAGATCCAGGATGGAGATGAGGTCCAGGATGGAGATGAGGTCCAGGATGGAGGTGAGGTCCTGGATGGAGGTGAGGTGAGGTCCTGGCTGGAGGTGAGGTCCTGGCCAAAGGTGAGGTCCTGACTGGAAGTTGGATCCAGGCTGGACATGAGGTCCTGGTTGATGGTGAGGTCCAGGATGGAGGTGAGGTGAGGTCCTGCTTGGAGGTGAGGTCCTGGCTGAAGGTGAGGTGAGGTCCTGGCTGGAGGTGAGGTCCAGGATGGAGGTGAGGTCCTGGTTAATGGTGAGGTCCTGGTTAATGGTGAGGTCCTGGCTGATGGTGAGGTCCTGGCTGATGGTGAGTTCCAGGATGGAGATGAGGTCCTGGCCGGAGGTGAGGTCCCAGCTGAAAATGGTGTTCATGTTGGAGGTGAGGTCCAAGCAGGAGGTGATGAAAGGTCCAGTCTGGAGGTGAGGTGAGGTCCTGGCTGGAGGTGAGGTCCTGGATGGAGGTGAAGTCCTGGTTGATGGTGAGGTCCTGGCCGGAGGTGAGGTCCCAGCTGAAAACGGTGTTCATTTTGGAGGTGAGGTCCAAGCAGGAGGTGATGAAAGGTCCAGTCTGGAGGTGAGGTGAGGTCCTGGCTGGAGGTGAGGTCCTGGCTGGAGGTGAGATGAAGTCCTGGCTGGAGGTGAGGTCCTGGTAAATGGTGAGGTCCTGGCTGGTGGTGAAGTCTTGGTTGATGGTGAGGTCCAGGATGGAGGTGAGGTGAGGTCCAGGATGGAGGTGAGGTGAGGTTCAGGATGGAGGTGAGGTCCAGGATGGAGGTGAGATGAGGTCCTTATTGGAGGTGAGGTCCAGGATGGAGGTGAGGTGAGGTCCTGGTTGATGGTGAGGTCCAGGATGGAGGTGAGGTCCTGGTTGATGGTGAGGTCCAGGCCAGAGGTGAGGTGAGGTCCTGGCCAGAGGTGAGGTCCAGGATGGAGGTGAGGTCCAGGATGGAGGTGAGATGAGGTCCTGGCTGGAGGTGAGGTCCTGACTAGAGGTGAGGTACTTGAATTTTCTGGTATTTAAATTTCAGAATATCTGAATTTTGGGGTGTCAGAATTTTTAGACTATCTACATTTTGGAGGTTTCTGAATTATGGGGTGTTTTAATTTTGAGGTACTTGAATTATGGGGTGCCTGAATTTTGGGGGTACTTGAATCTCTGGGGTGTCTGAATTTTTGGGGTGTCCGAATTTTTGGGATGTTTGAATTTTAGGGTGCCTGAATTCTGGGATATTTGAATTTTTGGGATGTCTGAATTTTGGGGTGTCTGAATTTTGGGGGTACTTGAATCTCTGGGGTGCCTGAATTTTTTGGTACCTGAATTTTTGGGGTGTCTGAATTTTTGGGGTGTCCGAATTTTTGGGATGTTTGAATTTTAGGGTGCCTGAATTCTGGGATATTTAAATTTTGGGGGTGCCTGAATTTTTGGGGTGTCTGAATTTTTGGGGTGTCCGAATTTTTGGGATGTTTGAATTTTAGGGTGCCTGAATTCTGGGATATTTAAATTTTTGGGGTGTCTAAATTTTTGGGGTGTTTGAATTTTGGGGTACTTGAATTTCTGGGTTGCCTGAATTTCTTGGTGCCTGAATTTTTGGGGTGTATGGATTTTGGGGGTATTTGACTTTTTGGAGTGTTTGAATTTTAGGGTGCCTGTATTTTAGGGTATCTATTTTTTTGCGGTTTATGAATTTTAGGGTGTCTGAATTTTGGGATATTTGATTTTTTAGAGTGCGCCTAATTTTTTGAGGTATCTGTATTTTTGGAGTGTGTATTTTTGGGGTGTCTGAATTTTTGGGGTGTCCGAATTTTTGGGATATTTGAATTTTAGGGTGCCTGAATTTTGGGATATTTAAATTTTTGGGGTGTCTGGATTTTTGGGGTGTTCGAATTTTGGGGTACTTGAATTTCTGGGTTGCCTGAATTTTTTGGTACCTGAATTTTTGGGGTGTCTGAATTTTTGGGGTGTCCAAATTTTTGGGATGTTTGAATTTTAGGGAGCCTGAATTTTGGGATATTTAAATTTTGGGGGTGTCTGGATTTTTTGGGTGTTTGAATTTGGGGGTACTTGAATTTCTGGGTTGCCTGAATTTTTTGGTGCCTGAATTTTTGGGGTGTCTGAATTTTTGGGGTGTCCAAATTTTTGGGATGTTTGAATTTTAGGGTGCCTGAATGTTGGGATATTTAAATTTTTGGGGTGTCTGGATTTTTGGGGTGTTTGAATTTTGGGGGTACTTGAATCTCTGGGGTGCCTGAATTTTTCGGTACCTGAATTTTTGGGGTGTCTGAATTTTTGGGGTATCCGAATTTTTGGGATGTTTGAATTTTAGGGTGCCTGAATTCCGGGATATTTGAATTTTTGGGATGTCTGAATTTTTGTGGTGTCTAAATTTTTGAGGTTTCTGAATTATGGGGTGTTTGAATTTTGAGATGTCTGAATTTTTTGGTGCCTGAATTTTTGGGGTGTCTGAATTTTTGGGGTGTCCAAATTTTTGGGATGTTTGAATTTTAGGGTGCCTGAATTTTGGGATATTTAAAATTTTGGGGTGTCTGGATTTTTGGGGTGGTTGAATTTTGGGGTACTTGAATTTCTGGGTTGCCTGAATTTCTTGGTGCCTGAATTTTTGGGGTGTATCGATTTTTGGAGTATTTGACTTTTTGGAGTGTTTGAATTTTAGGGTGCCTGTATTTTAGAGTATCTATTTTTTTGCGGTTTTTGGGGTGTCTGAATTTTGGGATATTTGATTTTTTAGGCTGCGCCTAATTTTTTGAGGTATCTGTATTTTTGGAGTGTGTATTTTTGGGGTGTCTATTTTTGGGGTGTCCGAATTTTTGGGATGTTTGAATTTCAGGGTGCCTGAATTCTGGGATATTTAAATTTTTGAGGTGTCTGGATTTTTGGGGTGTTTGAATTTTGGGGTACTTGAATTTCTGGGTTGTCTGAATTTTTTGGTACCTGAATTTTAGGGGTGTCTGAATTTTTGGGGTGTCTGAATTTTTGGGGTGTCCGAATTTTTGGGATGTTTGAATTTTAGGGTGCCTGAATTCTGGGATATTTAAATTTTTGGGGTGTCTGAATTTTTGGGGTGTTTGAATTTTGAGGTACTTGAATTATGGGGTGCCTGAATTTCTTGGTGCCTGAATTTTTGGGGTGTATCAATTTTTGGGGTATTTGACTTTTTGGAGTGTTTGAATTTTAGGGTGCCTGTATTTTAGGATATCTATTTTTTTTGCAGTTTATGAATTTTAGGGTGTCTGAATTTTGGGATATTTGATTTTTTAGGGTGCGCCTAATTTTTTGAGGTATCTGTATTTTTGGAGTGTGTATTTTTGGGGTGTCTGTATTTTTCGGGTGTCTGAATTTCGGGGTATTTGAATTTTGGTGTATCTGAATTTTGGGGTATTTGGATTTTGGGGTGTGTGAATTTTTGGGTATTTGGATTTTGGGGTGTGTGAATTTTTGGGTATTTGGAATTTGGGGTGTGTGAATTTTTGGGTGTGTGAATTTTTGGGTATTTGGATTTTGGGGTGTGTGAATTTTTGGGTGTGTGAATTTTTGGGTATTTGGATTTTGTGGTGTGTGAATTTTTGGGTATTTGGATTTTGGGGTATTTGGGTTTTGGGGTGTGTGAATTTTTGGGTATTTGGATTTTGGGGTGTGTGAATTTTTGGGTATTTGGATTTTGGGGTGTGTGAATTTTTGGGTATTTGAATTTTTGGTCGTTTCATTTTCCGGTGTCTTGAAAAGAAATTCCATGAACTGGTTGGGAGAGATGAGGAGCGGGAACACGACTGGGACCTCAGCAGGCTCATGGAGAGGCAGATTTATCCCAAACTGAGACATTCCCAAATAAAAAACGGGATCCAAGATTCCAGAGCTGTGAATCCCACTCTCTATTCCGACTCTCGGAACATTTCCTGCTCTGTTTTTCAGCTGACATTTCCTCTTTTCCTTTTGGAAAAAAAAAATCCTCCCCCTGTTCCCACATCCTAGAAAACACCAAAAAATTAAAATACAGCAATTAATGGGAATTTTTCTTCATCCAGAGCTGGAAAAGGAGTTTTTTCAGCCATGAAGCTTGGAAAGACCCGTCCATCCAAGGAGGAGCATCGGAAACAAGGTACGGTCGTGGGATGATGGTGGATCCCTGGAATTGCAGCGGTGGGAGAGGAAGGGCTGCCCGCTCCTCTTCATGGAGGTGGGGCTGGAATTGGACACCTCTGGAAAGGCAGGAGAGGGCAGCGATTGGAAACTCGTTGTTGTTTCCATTCAGAGCCGAGGATCGGTTTTCCACGGCGAAGAAAAGCAGGAATGTGCGTTTGCAGGCAGGGAAAAGCCTCGGGAGAACTTTCCCTGTTTTCCAGCCAGGTTTGAGGGTAGGAAAAGGGAATTTTGCATGGAAACCTGGGTGCTCTTCCCACAACCTGGGCGTTCCCCTCGTGGTTAAAATTTCCGTCAGGACCACGGGAAAACATCCAGGATGCGAAGGAGCAGAGCAGCTGGTCCCATGGAAACGTCTCCATGGATTTATCCATGATTGTGGAATGGTCACAGTGTGGTGTGGCTCCTGATCCCACCATTCCCAGGAACCTCCAGCTGTCCCACACCTTCCCTGGGCTGGGATGGTGATTCCGACCCTTGGCCGCTGGATAAGGGATGGGTGGATGTCCTGCACCCGCTGCCTGCTGGCCAAGCCGGCATTCCCAACATTCCATGGCTGCTTCCCTCCCATCCCGACTCTTCTCTGGGTTAGATCAGGACCATCCTGGCCTTGGACGCTTCCAGGGATCCAGGAGCAGCCACAGCTTCTCTGGGAATTCCAGCCCAGCCCCTCCCCACCCTCCCAGCTGGGAATTCCTTCCCAAGATCCCAGTCCAAGCTCCCCTTTCCCAGTGGGAGCCATTCCCTGGGTCCTGTCCCTCCATCCCTTGTCCCCAATCCCTCTCCAGCTCTCCTGGAGCCCCTTCAGGTCCTACAAGGGGCTCTGAGCTCTGCCTGGATCCTTCTCCTCTCCGTGGTCTCCTCTGGAGCAACTCCAGCAGCTCCATGACCATCCCATGCCAAGGATCCCAGAGCTGGAGGCAGCAATTCCCAGCTCGCGTGACTCTGGCTCAGTCTTCATCTCCTGGCTGAGTCCAGGACCCCCTTTCCCTCAGGAAAGGAACATTCCAGCAACTTCTTCCAATAGAAGCCCAGGCATGGGGAGGTGCTGGTGGGATTGCAGTTTTTCCTCTTGGGAATGACCCATTTCTCCCATTTTTTCACCCTTTTCTCTTCAAAATCAGGGACTTGGTTGTCTTTGCAACATCTCTTGTGCTCCTCAGACCTCCACCGCTTGCTCAAATTGCTCTTTCACCTCCTGAATCCGGGGTTTTGTCATTATTTCTTATTTTTCCTCCCCAAAACCCTCTGCAGGAATTCTGCCTGGATTGAATTCCATGTCATCTCCTTGATAACCCCTTTTCCGAGCAGCTTGTCCGAGACCCGACCTGCTTCCCATTGTTTTTGTGCTCCCAGCCGAGGGGATGGATTGGTTTCCCTTCTCCCAGCCTTTAATTATTCACGGATGGAAATTAAAACCGGAGCCATTCCTTTGTCCCCTTCCCGCAGATGATCCGGCTGTTCTGGAAACAGAAGACCTGGATAGAAAGGCCATGAGATATGGAGCAGGGCTGGAGCCAGACACCATCTCCCTGGCCTCTGTCACCGCTGTCACCACCAATGTCTCCAACAAAAGGTGAGATCCAGGGTTGGGATTGTGCCAGCGGGAGGCGAGGACAGACATCCTGAAAATGCGTGATTGTGACGCAGGGAATGTCGGAATTCTTTGTCCCATGGAGCCAGTGGGATGTTTATTTTGGAATATCTGACCTGCAGCAGCGATCACCAAAATTGGTTGAAGGAACGTTGAGGGTGACCCTGCTCTTGTAGTAAGAGGGACATGGGACAAGGGATGGAGGGTCAGGAATGGATGGGAGATCGGGGTGGAATTGTTCCCTAGGAAGGATTGGGATGGAATTCCCAGAGAAACTGTGGCTGCTCCATCTCTGGAAGTGTCCCAGGCCTGGTTGGATGGGGTTTGGAGCAAGCTGGGATGGTGGGAGGTGTGAGGTGTCGTTACTGGACACCAAATGAGTACACAGAAGCTTGGTAAGTTCAGAAGAGAAAAAGACCCAGTTTTATTTAAACATCTGGTATTTATACAATTCCAAAGGTGACCGTGGGTTGGAGGATGGAATTACCGCCTCTCCTCACACTGGTCCAAAGATCAACCAATCATTTCTCTCCACCCACAGAGAAATATTCTAAAGTATTCTATTTATACATGAAACTATTCTATTTTTACATGAAATGGCGTGGGAACTCTGGCTCTCAAATATATAAACATTATCAGAAGGCTAAAGAAGTTTTATGAGAACTTTAAAACTTTCAAAAGAGCTATAAAAGAAAACCGAACACTTTTAAAAATCATGGCAACAGTCAGGCTCTGGATGATCTTTAAGGTGCTTCCTACCCAAACCATTCCATGATTCCATTAATTCCACCCGTGGTTTGACCAAGGGTTTCTTCTGCCTCTCCCAAGGTCCAAGCCGGACATCAGGATGGAGCCGAGTGCCGGGAGGCCCATGGATTACCAGGTAGGTGACACCGACCTGGGCTTGGGGACACTGTTTGCAGGGACCGAGTTCCTGGTAGGTCTCACCTCACTGGGCTTGGAACCAGGACATCCCAAGAGCTGGAATTTCATCGGTAGAGCCGTAAACTCAGGATTAAGTCATTGACTGGGTTTGTTGTCCAGCATGTGAAATCCAGAGAATCCAAATTAAGCTCTTTTTGAGGTTTTCTCTGTGGAATTTCTCCTTGGAGCAACTTGGGATAGCAGAATGTGTCCTTGTTCCTGGCAGGGAGTGGAATGGAACGAGATTTAAGGTCCCTCACAATTCCAACCACTTCATGATCCCGTTGTGTTTTCCATCAGAAGTGAAGCCAATGGGATTGATCTCTGATCCCACAGTTTGGGTTAAATCCCGTTGTGTTTTCCAGCGGAAGTGAAGCCAATGGGATCACTCTGATCCCACAGCTCCAGTTAAATCCCGTTGTGTTTTCCAGCAGAAGTGAAGCCAATGGGATCAGTCTCTGATCCCACAGTTTGGGTTAAATCCCGTTGTGTTTTCCAGCAGAAGTGAAGCCAATGGGATCGGTCTTTGATCCTACAGTTTGGGTTAAATCCTGTTGTATTTTCCAGCGGAAGTGAAGCCAATGGGATCAGTCTCTCTGATCCCACAGTTTGGGTTAAATCCCGTTGTGTTTTCCAGCAGAAGTGAAGCCAATGGGATCAATCTCTTATCCCACAGTTTGGGTTAAATCCCGTTGTGTTTTCCAGCAGAAGTGAAGCCAATGGGATCAGTCTCTCTGATCCCACAGCTCCAGTTAAATCCTGTTGTGTTTTCCAGCAGAAGTGAAGCCAATGGGATCGGTCTCTCTGATCCCACAGTTTGGGTTAAATCCCGTTGTGTTTTCCAGCAGAAGTGAAGCCAATGGGATTGGTCTCTGATCCCACAGCTCCAGTTAAATCCCGTTGTGTTTTCCAGCAGAAGTGAAGCCAATGGGATCGGTCTCTGATCCCACAGTTTGGGTTAAATCCCGTTGTGTTTTCCAGCAGAAGTGAAGCCAATGGGATCGGTCTCGCTGATCCCACAGTTTGGGTTAAATCCCGTTGTGTTTTCCAGCAGAAGTGAAGCCAATGGGATCAGTCTCTGATCCCACAGTTTGCATTAAATCCCGTTGTGTTTTCCAGAAGAAGTGAAGCCAATGGGATCCGTCTCTGATCCCACAGTTTGGGTTAAATCCCATTGTGTTTTCCAGCAGAAGTGAAGCCAATGGGATCGGTCTCTGATCCCACAGTTTGGGTTAAATCCCGTTGTGTTTTCCAGCAGAAGTGAAGCCAATGGGATCGGTCTCTGATCCCACAGCTCCAGTTAAATCCCGTTGTGTTTTCCAGCAGAAGTGAAGCCAATGGGATCGCTCTCTGATCCCACAGTTTGGATTAAATCCCGTTGTGTTTTCCAGCAGAAGTGAAGCCAATGGGATCGGTCTCTCTTATCCCACAATTTGGGTTAAATCCCGTTGTGTTTTCCAGCAGAAGTGAAGCCAATGGGATCCGTCTCTCTGATCCCACAGCTCCAGTTAAATCCTGTTGTGTTTTCCAGCAGAAGTGAAGCCAATGGGATCGGTCTCTGATCCCACAGTTTGCATTAAATCCCGTTGTGTTTTCCAGCAGAAGTGAAGCCAATGGGATCGGTCTCTGATCCCACAGTTTGCATTAAATCCCGTTGTGTTTTCCAGCAGAAGTGAAGCCAATGGGATCGGTCTCTCTGATCCCACAGCTCCAGTTAAATCCCGTTGTGTTTTCCAGCAGAAGTGAAGCCAATGGGATCGGTCCCTGATCCCACAGTTTGCGTTAAATCCCGTTGTGTTTTCCAGCAGAAGTGAAGCCAATGGGATCGGTCTCTGATCCCACAGTTTGGGTTAAATCCCGTTGTGTTTTCCAGCAGAAGTGAAGCCAATGGGATCCGTCTCTCTGATCCCACAGTTTGGGTTAAATCCCGTTGTGTTTTCCAGCAGAAGTGAAGCCAATGGGATCGGTCTCTGATCCCAAAGTTTGTGTTAAATCCCGTTGTGTTTTCCAGCAGAAGTGAAGCCAATGGGATTGGTCTCTCTGATCCCACAGTTTGGGTTAAATCCATTGCATTTTCCATATTGGGTGGAGCACCCACACCCTGGGGCAGGAACACCCGGGATTCCTGGGATCTCCTGCATCCCCCACCCTCTCCAGCCCCTCCTCACCTGTGTCCCAGTGCAGTGGACTCCGCACTTTGCAGATGGACTCCGCAGGGAAAATCCCATCAGGGTCCAGGAACTATCTAAACCCGGGACTAAAGCAGCGCTCTGGGAGCTGTGATTTATTCCCAGGATGCTCCAATTTTTCCATGGATCAGAGGAGAAACGTTGAGGGTGAGGATTCCATGTCTGGAATCCCACCAGGGGATAGGACCCTTTGGAGCTGTTTTCCAACTAATTTATTTAATGAGGAAATGTTGGAATCGTGGCTCAGGTTCTGGAATTCTGCTCCCAGACCGTTCTCTGCCCTTCCAGCCGCGTCTCCCTGGTGGTTGGATTACATTCCTTTCTTTTCCATGGAATTCTCAAAAATGGGGAGCAAAAACCAAAATGCCCTCCAGTCCCAGAGCTGCTGTTTGCTGGTGGATGCTCAGGGATAAAAATCCCAGTGCCGGGAATTTCTGAGGTTCCTTGGGAAGGAAAAGCAAAGTGAGGAGCAGCTGGTGGTGGACTCCGCAGGGAAAATCCCATCAGGGTCCTCTCCCGGCTGCCAAATCCACGGATACCAAGGATTTGGATCCCTCAGATGTTCCTGACAGTAAAACAACGATGGTTTTGGGGTGATGTGTGGAAAAAAATGGGATTAAGCACCTGATCCAAGGAATGTGGGCTGGGACCCAGCATCACCATCCCAAAACCTTCGCGAGAGATCCATGTGGGATCTGGGATCTCCTCTCCAGTTTCTCCTGGAGCGGGGATGTGGGGACGGAATTGGGATCTGAAGCTCCGTATGCTCCTAAAGGAGCTGGAGATGGGGAAAAGGTGGATCGGAGAGAAAAATCCAGGGAAAAAAAATATGGAAAAGAGCTCCAGGTGACGTGTCCGTGCCCAGCAGGGAATGGACAATGAAGACAGATCCCACTGCACTGGGAATTCCCGTCGGTCAGAGGTGGGCGGGTGGGTACAGGCAGCCTGGAGCTGCTCCCAGGATGTGAAATTTTGGGAATTCCTCTCCCCAGGTCAGCATCACCATCATCGAGGCCCGGCAGCTCGTGGGGCTCAACATGGACCCCGTGGTGTGCGTGGAGGTGGGGGAGGAGAAGAAATACACGTCCATGAAGGAATCCACCAATTGTCCTTACTACAATGAGGTGGGTCCGGCCCCAGGGCTGCTCCAACCAACCCCTCTGGGTTACTCCACCCTCAATCCAGTGATTCCTTTTTTATCCATGTTTTTTTTGGGGGCGGGGGGTTAAATTCCTGCCAGAATATGGTGAAATCTCAAACCACAGAGGAGAAACGAAGCCTTTGCCCTCTGGAATTTTGTGATCAATGATTCCCAGGTTTTCCGAGAAATCTGCGCTTCCATTGGCTTCCCCCATCTCCCATTGGTGATCCATGCGGTCCCACGATCATATGGGATCACATGGATCCATCCCTGCTGGGCCATGGGCTGCAGGATCTCCCCCAGGCAGCCACAGCTTCTCCGGGGGGTTCTCAACCCCTCTGCTTTACTCTGCCCTTGATCCCATGATTTCTTTTTTATCCGTGTTTTTTGGGTTAAATTCCTACTGGAATAAGGTGAAATCTCAAACCACAGAGGAGAAACGAAGCCTTTTCCCTCTGGAATTTTGTGATCAATGATTCCCAAGTTTTCCGAGAAATCTGCGCTTCCGTTTGCTCCCCACATCCCTCATTGGTGGTCCATGTGGTCCCACGATCACATGGGATCACATGGATCCATCCCTGCTGGGCCATGGGCACCCCCTGGGCAGCCACAGCTTCTCTGGGGGGTTCTCAATCCCTCTGGTTTACTTCACCCTTGTTCCCATGATTTCTTTTTTATCTGTGTGGGTTTTTTTGGGTTACATTCCTGACGGCACAAGGTGAAAATATAAACCACAGAGGAGAAACAAAGCCTTTGCCCTCTGGAATTTTGTGATCAATGATTCCCAGGTTTTCCGAGAAATCTGTGCTTCCATTGGTTCCCCACACTCAGTGGGGGATCGGTGATCCATGTGGTCCCACTATCATATGGGATCACATGGATCCATCCCTGCTGGGCCATGGGCACCCCCTGGGCAGCCGCAGCTTCTCCGGGGGGTTCTCAACCCCTCTGGTTTACTCTGCCCTTGATACCATGATTTGTTTTTTATCTGTGTTTTTTGGGTTAAATTCCTGCTGGAATAAGGTGAAATCTCAAACCACAGAAGAGAAACGAAGTCTTTGCCCTCTGGAATTTTGTGATCAATTATTCCCAGTTTTTCCGAGAAATCTGCGCTTCCGTTGGCTCCCCCATCTACCATTGGTGGTCCATGTGGTCCCACGATCCAGTGAGATCACATGGATCCATCCCTGCTGGGCCATGGGCTGCAGGAACTCCCCCAGGCAGCCACAGCTTCTCCGGGGGGTTCTCAACCCCTCTGGATTACTCTTGATCCCATGATTTCTTATTTATCCGTGGTTTTTTTGGGTTAAATTCCTGCTGGAATATGGTGAAATCTCAAACCACAGAGGAGAAACTAAGCCTTTTCCCTCTGGAATTTTGTGATCAATGATTCCCAGGTTTTCCGAGAAATCTGTGCTTCCGTTGGCTCCCCACATCCCTCATGGGTGGTCCATGTGGTCCCATGATCACGTGAGATCACATGGATCCATCCCTGCTGGGCCATGGGCTGCAGGAACTCCCCCAGGCAGACACAGCTTCTCCGGGGGGTTCTCAACCCCTCTGGATTACTCTGCCCTTGATCCCATGATTTCTTTTTTATCCATGTTTTTTGGGTTAAATTCCTGCTGGAATATGGTGAAATCTCAAACCACAGAGGAGAAACGAAGCCTTTGCCCTCTGGAATTTTGTGATCAATGATTCCCAAGTTTTCTGAGAAATCTGTGCTTCCATTGGCCCCCCCATCTCCCATTGGTGATCCATGTGGTCCCACGATCACATGGGATCACATGGATCCATCCCTGCTGGGCCATGGGCACCTCCTGGGCAGCCACAGCTTCTCTGGGGGGTTCTCAATCCTGATGGATCCCACCCCTCACGATTCCTATTTCCCTTCCAGTATTTCGTCTTCGATTTCCACGTTCCCCCCGATGTCATGTTCGACAAGATCATCAAGCTCTCCGTAAGTGACCCCGATGTCCTTGTCCTTTTTTGGGGGCTTCGGAAGTAAACAACCCATTTTTGGGATGGATTTAAGGTTCTTGATGCGAGATTCCAAACAGGAATTCTCTTCTGCAGACCCTCAGTCTGTTTTTCTGTTCCGACCCTCATTCCTGGCTCCACACAGCTCCTGCATTCCCTGTGTCCCTCCATGGGTGACCTCTGGTATTCCAGAGCCAGGTGGAACCAAACAACCCATTTTTGGGATGGATTTAAGGTTCTTGATGCGAGATTCCCAACAGGAATTCTCTTCTGCAGACCCTCAGTCTGTTTTTCTGTTCCAACCCTCATTTCTGGCTCCACACAGCTCCTGCATTCCCTGTGTCCCTCCATGGGTGACCTCTGGCATTCCAGAGCCAGGTAGAACCAAACCTTGGGATTTATTGATTTATTTCTGTGGAGAAGAACGTCCTTCCTGAGCCTGCCAGGGAAATTCCTGGGGCATCAGAGCTTTTGTGGAAACCCAAGACTTGGAATTCTGAGAGCAAAGCTGAGATTTCAGTCCACCCAAAACCAGGAAGGTGATGGACCAGACTTCCAGATTCCCTGCCCAATTAGGGCACATTAATTGGGATCATCCATATCCATCCTGCTGCACAGACCAGCTGTACAATTTCTCCCAATTTTCCTCAAATTCTGAGCATTCCAAAGGCTCTTCCCTCAGTTAAATATCCCAGCATTTGCTGCTGTAGTGACTGGTAAAAGGATCGTGCTCCAAATATTAATTTCTTTGCATTTTTTGTTCATTCTAAATACAAACTTCCTGACAATTCCACTAACCAGGAGCTGTCAACCCCACCTGGCCTTTTGGTGTCCCAGGAAAACTCCTCAGCTCCTTTCCCATCCCATCCTGGAGACCTCTGGAATGGCTTTATGGCTCCCAGATCCTGGGAGAATTATTCCTGAGTGGTTTTCCTCTCTTGATTTCCAGGTGATCCACTCCAAAAACCTCCTGAGGAGCGGGACGTTGGTGGGGTCCTTCAAGATGGATGTTGGCACTGTTTATACCCAGCCTGGTAGGTGAATGTGGTTTGTAACAATTCCCAGACATCTGCAGCTGCTCAGTGGAGAAAAATTCCCGGCAAAGGAGTCAGGCAGGGGCTGGATTCCTTGGAAAATGCTTTCCCAGTTTGGTGTAAATATCCAAGATATAAACAAGTCACCTGGACTCGCTTTTAGGTCAGGGAAGAGCGCTTGGCACCTCTGGAGAAGGGTCTGTATCCCATCCTGGAATCATGGAATCACAGGAGGGTTTGGGTGTGATGGGACTTTAAAAATAATTTAATTCCACCCTGCCATGGGCATGGACACCTTTTACTGTCCCAGGTGGCTCCAAGCCCCAGTGTCCAACCTGGCTTTGGACACTGCCAGGGATCCAGGGATTCTCCAGCCCAGCCAGGAATTCCTTCCCAAGATCCCAAAATCTCAAGCTCCCCTTTCCCACTGGAAGCCATTCCCTGGCTCCTGGTCCTCCAGCCCTTTCCCAAATTCCAGCTCTCCTGGAGCCCCTTGAGGCCCTGGAAGGGGATCTGAGGTCTCCCTGGATCCTTCCTTTCTCCAGCTCTCCTGGAGCCCCTTGAGGCCCTGGAAGGGGATCTGAGGTCTCCCTGGATCCTTCCCTTCTCCAGCTCTCCCAGGTGTCCCTGAGACCTCTCCTGGCTGTGCTGTCCATCCCTACCCCTGCCCAGGAGGAAACCCCAGGTGACATTCCCAGGCAGGACATGACCATTCCGGAGCAGAAGATCCAAGGCTGGATCCTGCCCCGCATTCCATCCAAGCCTGGAGAAGAGGGAGAGGTTGATTAGAGCTGCTGACCTTCGAGTCCAACCATCCCCAGCACTGCCAAGGCCACCACCACTCCCCATGTCCCCAAGTGCCACATCCACACGGCTTCAAACCCCTCCAGGATGGCGACTTGAGACTCCACCCCCTTCCAGTTTATCCCATTGTTTCTCCATCTTCAACACCAGGCACCCCTTCCCGATGGATTTTCCAGGGATTTTTTGGGATGCCCCACCCACAGGGCAGGTCCTGCTCCATGGAAGGCCGTGTCTTGGTGGCGTTGGCCATGCCTGGTTGTGACAAAGGTCTCTCCTGTCCCCTGGCACGCAGAGCACCAGTTTTACCACAAATGGGCCATCCTGTCCGACCCCGAGGACCTCACGGCCGGCCTCAAGGGCTACCTCAAGTGTGACATCGCCGTGGTGGGCAAAGGGGACAACATCAAGACCCCGCACAAGGCCAACGAGACAGAGGAGGATGACATCGAAGGGTAGGGATCTGCTGGGATCTGCTTCTTCCTGGCTCCCTTGGGAATCCTTTCCACCTCTCTTTCCCTCGGATGGGACAACAGGATCCAAACCTGGCGGCAAACCCTGAGCGGTGAAAGCAGAGGGACAAATCCGGTGCTTTTCTGGGAGGGAATGTGTGGTCCTGGTGCAATTCCAGGTGATTTCCAGCATCGTTCCTGTAGGATCAGACCATCTGCTGGTGGTTGAACTCCACAGCAACGCCAGCTGATGTCTCCTGGGTGGGAAGATGGGATGGGATAATGGGATCTCGTAACCCAAGGCAGAGCAGGGAAGTCTGGATGAGGTTTCCCAGGCCGTGTGTGTGGACAGGGATATTGGGACTGCCTAGAACATCTCAAAGGTCACGGAGTAAAAATCAGGAGCTTTAAGACTTTTGATTCCAGCCCCAAAATTTTCCAGATAAATTAATATCTCCATTTCAAGTCTGCCTCTGAGGGTCTCCCTACGTGGAATCATGGAATGGTTTAGGTTGGAAAAGACCTCTGGGATTGAGTCCAGCCATTAACAGTCAGAAACCACCAGCAGAGCTCCCCTGACTTGCTGGGGTTTGAGGAACCACCTCCAGTACTTTGGGCTGTAGTGGTGATGTTCTGCTACTTATTCCCAAAATCCTGGAATGGTTTATTTTGGAAGGGGTCTTCAGGATCACCTTGTTCCAACCCTCCTGCCATGGGCAGGGACACTTTCCACCAGTCATGGACACCTCCAGAAATTCCTAGAATTCCCCTAGAAATATTTTACTCACAGCATTCCCATGGGCTCATCTATTCCTGCAGAGGAGGAAAGCCACATAATCAAAATAACCAATGGGTGGAGTTAATTTCATCCCCAGAATAATCCTCTGAGCTCCCTTTGATACAGAAAAAGTTCTTCCAAAATCCCATTGATTCCATTTCCGTGGAAGTGGAAGGAGTCAGTGCTTGGAAAAATTGAGAAGCTTCTCTTTGGTTTTTTTATGGAACCACAAATATTGGGAAGATCTTTGAGGTCATCCCATCCAACCTTTGGTGTTCCCTGACCGCCCCACCCCACCACCTGGTCCCAACTCCATCCACTGATATTGAGGAAAGCCACACACCCAAAATAACCAATGGGTGGAGTTAATTTCATCCCCAGAATAATCCTCTGAGCTCCCCTTGATAAGAATGTTCTTCCAAAATCCCATTGATTCCATTTCCGTGGAAGTGGAAGGAGTCGGTGCTTGGAAAATTGAGAAGCTTCTCTTTGGTCTTTTACGGAACCAAAGAGGTTGGGAAAGATCTTTGAGATCATCCCACCCAACCTTCAGTGTTCCCTGACCACCCCACCCCACCACCTGTTCCCAGCTCCTTCCACTGATATTGAGGAAAGCCACATACCCAAAAAAAACAATGGATGGAGTTAATTTCATCCCCAGAATAACCCTCTGAGCTCCCCTTGATAAGGAAAAAGTTCTTCCAAAATCCCATTGATTCCATTTCCGTGGAATGGGGTGGGAGAGGAAGGAGTCAGTGCTCGGAAAATGGAGCAGCTTCTCTTTGGTCTTTAACAGAATCACAAAGGTTGTGGAAGATCTTTGAGGTCATCCCATCCAACCTTTGGTGTTCCCTGACCGCCCCACCCCACCGCCTGTTCCCAACTCCATCCACTGATATTGAGGAAAGCCACATACCCCAAAAAACCCAATGGATGGAGTTAATTTCATCCCGAGAATAATCCTCCGAGCTCCCCTTGATAAGGAAAAAGTTGTTCCAAAATCCCATTGATTCCATTTCCGTGGAAGTGGAAGGAGTCAGTGCTTGGAAAATTGAGAAGCTTCTCTTGGGTTTTTTTACGGAACCACAAAGGTTGTAGAAGATCTTTGAGGTCATCCCACCCAACCTTTGGTGTTCCCTGACCACCCCACCCCAGCACCTCTTCCCAACTCCATCCATTGACATTGAGGAAAGACACATACCCAAAAAAAAAAAAAAAACACCAATGGATGGAGTTAATTTCATCCCCAGAATAATCCTCTGAGCTCCCCTTGATAAGGAAGAAGTTCTTCCAAAATTCCATTGATTCCATTTCCATGGAAGTGGAAGGAGTCAGTGCTTGGAAAATTGAGAAGCTTCTCTTTGGTTTTTTTACGGAACCACAAAGGTTGTGGAAGATCTTTGAGGTCATCCCACCCAACCTTTGGTGTTCCCTGACCACCCCACCCCAGCAGCTGCTCCCAACTCCATCCACTGATACTGAGGAAAGCCACATACCCAAAAAAATCCACAATGGATGGAGTTAATTTCATCCCCAGAATAACCCTCTGAGCTCCCCTTGATAAAGAAAAAGTTCTTCCAAAATCCCATTCATTCCATTTCCATGGAAGTGGAAGGAGTCGGTGCTTGGAAAATTGAGAAGTTTCTCTTTGGTTTTTTTACGGAACCACAAAGGTTGTGGAAGATCTTTGATGTCATCCCATCCAACCTTTGGTGTTCCCTGACCACCTCACCCCACCACCTGTTCCCAACTCCATCCACTGACATTGAGGAAAGCCACATACCCAAAAAAAACCAATGGATGGAGTTAATTTCATCCCCAGAATAATCCTCTGAGCTCCCCTTGATAAGGAAAAAAGCAACTCTTCCAAAATCCCATTAATCACATTTCCATGGAATGGGGTGGGAGAGGAAGGAGTCAGTGCTCGGAAAATGAAGCAGCTTCTCTTTGGTCTTTAAGAGAATCACAAATGTTGGGAAATATCTTTGAGGTCATCCCATCCAACCTTCAGTGTTCCCTGACCACCCCACCCCACCACCTGTTCCCAACTCCATCCACTGACATTGAGGAAAGCCACGTACCCCAAAAAAACCAATGATGGAGTTAATTATTCCCCAGAATAATCAATCCTCTGAGCTCTGCTTGATAAAGAAAAAGTTCTTCCAAAATCCCATTGATTCCATTTCCGTGGAAGTGGAGGGAGTCACTGCTCGGAAAATGGAGAAGCTTCTCTTTGGTCTTTAACAGAATCACAAAGGTTGGGAAGATCTTTGAGGTCATCCCACCCAACCTTTGGTGTTCCCTGACCACCCCACCCCACCACCTGTTCCCAACTCCATCCACTGACATTGGGGAAAGCCACATACCAAAAAAAAAACCAAAAAACCCAATGGATGGAGTTAATTTCATCCCCAGAATAACCCTCTGAGCTCCCCTTGATAAGGAAAAAGTTCTTCCAAAATCCCATTGATTCCATTTCCGTGGAAGTGGAAGGAGTCAGTGCTTGGAAAAATTGAGAAGCTACTCTGGTTTTTTACGGAACCACAAAGGTTGGGAAGATCTTTGAGGTCATCCCATCCAACCTTTGGTGTTCCCTGACCGCCCCACCCCAGCAGCTGTTCCCAACTCCATCCATTGACATTGAGGAAAGCCACATACCCAAAAAAAAAAAGAAAAAACACAATGGTTGGAGTTAATTTCATCCCCAGAATGATCCTCTGAGCTCCCCTTGATAAGGAAAAAGTTCTTCCAAAATCCCATTGATTCCATTTCCGTGGAATGGGGTGGGAGAGGAAGGAGTCAGTGCTCAGAAAATGGAGAAGCTTCTCTTTGGTTTTTTTACGGAACCGCAAAGGTTGGGAAGATCTTTGAGGTCATCCCATCCAACCTTCAGTGTTCCCTGACCGCCCCACCCCAGCAGCTGGTCCCAACTCCATCCATTGACATTGGGGAAAGACACATACCAAAAAAACCCAATGGATGGAGTTAATTTCATCCCCAGAATAACCCTCTGAGCTCCCCTTGATAAAGAAAAAGTTCTTCCAAAATCCCATTCGTTCCATTTCCATGGAAGTGGAAGGAGTCAGTGCTTGGAAAAAATTGAGAAGCTTCTCTTTGGTTTTTTACGGAACCACAAAGGTTGTGGAAGATCTTTGAGGTCATCCCACCCAACCTTCGGTGTTCCCTGACCACCCCACCCCAGCAGCTGGTCCCAGCTCCACCCACTGACATTCCAGGAACCTGCTGCTCCCAGACGGGGTCCCCCCGGAGCGGCAGTGGGCTCGGTTCTACATCAAGATCTACCGCGCCGAGGGGCTGCCGCGCATGAACACCAGCATCATGGCCAACGTCAAGAAGGCCCTCATCGGGGAGAACAAGGACCTGGTGGACCCCTACGTGCAGGTGGCCTTCGCGGGGCAGAAGGTGAGTGGGGATGTCCCAGGGTGACCACAGGAGGGGACATCAGCAGGTGGCCATGGATGGGCTCGGTCATCCTTGCATGTCAAGATGGGTGTGGTGACACCTGGAAGGTCGAGATGGGCAATGGTGTCACCTGGCAGGTTGAGATGGGCGTGGTGTCACCTGGCCCATTGAGATGGGCGTGGTGTCACCAGACACATTGAGATGGGTGTGGTGTCACCTGGCACGTTGAGATGGGCGTGGTGACACCTGGTAGGTTGAGATGGGCGTGGTGTCACCTGGCACGTTGAGATGGGCGTGGTGTCACCTGGTACATTGAGATGGGCGTGGTGTCACCAGGTACATTGAGATGGGTGTGGTGTCACCAGACACACTGAGATGGGCATGGTGTCACCTGGCAGGTTGAGATGGGCGTGGTGTCACCTGGCAGGTTGAGATGGGCATGGTGTCACCTGGCACATTGAGATGGACATGGTGCCACCAGGCACATTGAGATGGGCGTGGTGTCACCTGGCATGTTGAGATGGGCGTGGTGTCACTTAGCACATTGAGATGGGCGTGGTGTCACCTGGCATGTTGAGATGGGTGTGGTGTCACCTGGTGCATTGAGATGGGTGTGGTGTCACCAGGCACGTTGAGATGGGCGTGGTGTCACCAGGTACATTGAGATGGGCGTGGTGCCACCTGGCACGTTGAGATGGGCGTGGTGTCACCTGGCAGGTTGAGATGGGTGTGGTGTCACCTGGCACATTGAGACAGGAATGGTGTATCTGGCATGGTGTCACCTGGCCCATTGAGATGGGCGTGGTGTCACCTGGTGTCTGTTCAAGGCTATTTAAATCCCAATATTTAAAATGGTGTCTGTTCAAGGTTATTTAAGTCCCAATTGTTTATTACCCAATAAACAGTTGGCATCTATATTATTTATGCTTCTAACGCAGTTATGATCACCCAAAACCCACAATGAGGACATCTTTCATCCTGTTAGAGAAAACCACCCAGATCCATGAAGAAGAAGGTGTAAAAAAATACATCTAACTCATGCCCAAAATTCTCCAAAGTGCAAAAAAGACATCTAACTCACGCCCAAAATTCTCCAAGGTGCAAAAAAGACATCTAACCCACGCCCAAAATTCTCAAAGTGCAAAAAAGATATCTAACCCATGCCCAAAATTCTCCAAGGTGCAAAAAAGACATCTAACCCACGCCCAAAATTCTCCAAGGTGCAAAAAAGATATCTAACCCACGCCCAAAATTCACCAAGGTGCAAAAAAGATATCTAACCCATGCCCAAAATTCTCCAAGGTGCAAAAAAGACATCTAACCCACGCCCAAAATTCTCCAAGGTACAAAAAAGACATCTAACCCACGCCCAAAATTCTCCAAGGTGCAAAAAAGATATCTAACCCACGCCCAAAATTCTCCATAGTGCAAAAAAGATATCTAACCCACACCCAAAATTCTCCAAGGTACAAAAAAGACATCTAGCCCACGCCCAAAATTCTCCATCTTGGCTCCCATATATCACCAAATGCTAAAACCCCAAAATCTCAGTTTTTTCACCCTGTGACATCACACACTTCTAACCAACTCCACACCCGTAATCCCAGAGCTATTATTCAATTTTGGAGGCCTTCTCCACAGCCCCAGGTTGAATGCAGAGCTCTCCTGGGGGTCTGTGCCTTTCGGCACAGAAAGTTTAAAGTTCTCATCATCCAGGGTTCCAAAATCCCGGGGCTGCTGTGACATCTTGGACACAACAAACTGCATTTTGAAGAGCTGCCTGGAGTCCCAAATCGATTGTCTCAGGCTCTTACTCAACCCTGGTCTGATATCCGTCCCTTCTCAATTCCCAGGGAAAGACATCCATCCAGAAGAGCAGCTACGAGCCCCTCTGGAATGAGCAGATCATCTTCACGGAGATGTTTCCCCCGCTGTGCAAACGGATCAAGATCCAGATCCGGGACTCGGACAAGGTCAACGACGTGGCCATCGGGACCCATTTCATCGATCTGAGGAAGGTCTCCAACGAAGGGGACAAAGGTAAAGTTGGAGTGGGGGCATTCCTTTGGCAGATTTCCCAAAGTTTTCCAGACTCCTTCCACCCCTGGAATTCCTTGGTGTCCATCCAGAGAGATCTTGATGTCCTGGAATGTGAGAGGTTCCTGGACCAATGCCCTGAAAACCAAGATTTGTCACAGACCTTCAGCCAACAAAGCAAAAACACCCCAGAACAATTTGCTCTTCCAAAAATTCCCTGGATGGAGGAGCATTTGAGGGGAAAGATGGGAAACCAGACGTGGGACTGGAGAACAGGGGGTTCTCCTTCCTCGACCCTCAAAATGGGGAATTGTTGAAGACTTGCCCAGTTCCCATCACTGCCTTCCCTGCAAATTTTCCCCCAAAAAACCCTGGAGGCTCTGGGAGGACCTTGTGGCTCTGCACAACTTCTTAAAAGGAGGGGACAGCCAGGGGGGGTCGGGCTCTGCTCCAGGGAACAGGGACAGGACAAGGGGAAATGGGCTCAGGCTGGGCCAGGGCAGGCTCAGGGTGGATATCGGGAAAATTCCTTCCTGGAAATGGTTGCTCATCCCTGGCACTGGTGGAGTTTCCATCCCTGGAGGGATTTAAAAGCCATTGGGATGTGTCACTTGGGGACATGGGGTAGTGGTGGCCTTGAGAAAACTGCCAGAAAAATCCACAAATGCGTTAGTCAGGAGATTGAGGTAAAAAACTTAAATCTTTCCACTCACCCTGGTCGTGCCAGGTTGGACAGCAGCAGGAATTTCTGCCTGGAAAGGTGCTCAGGCCTTGGCACTGCCCAGGGAGGGTTGGAGTGCCCATCCCTGGAGGTGTCCAGGGAATTCCTGGATGTGGCAGAGCTCTGGGCTGGGAACAAGGTGGGAATTGGCATAGGTTGGACTCGATGATCTGGGAGCTCTTTCCCAACCCAAATTATCCTGGGGTTCCATGAAAACCGTCTCCACGGATGGCGGCAACGCAAGAACACATCCCAGACCAGGAAAGTGACGCCGACCACGGGCGCCAAGACCTTCCATTTTCCCTCTCCATCCCCTTCCCACCTGCCCCTTCCACCCCCTCAGGTTTCCTGCCCACCTTCGGGCCCGCCTGGGTGAACATGTACGGCTCCACGCGGAACTACACCCTGATGGACGAGCACCAGGAGCTCAACGAGGGCCTGGGCGAGGGCGTCTCCTTCCGTGCCCGGCTCCTGCTGGGGCTGGCCGTGGAGATCCTGGACACCACCAACCCCGAGATCAACAGCTCCACTGAGGTGCAGGTGGAGCAGGCCACGGCGGTGGCTGACGTAAGTCCCTTGTGATCCCTCAGATGTCCTGGTGACCCCACAGCATCCAGGGTGGGCAGTTTGGAGTCTTGGGAATATTGGATTGTTACTTTTGGTCTCATAAATTGAGGGTTTTCATGTGTCAGGAACGGTGTGGCCAGCAGGAGCAGGGAGGTCATTCTGTCCTGGGCACTGGTGAGGGCACACCTCGAGGGCTGTGCCCAGCTCTGGCCCCTCAGTTTGGGAAGGACCTTGGGATGTGTCCAGAGGAGGAAACGAAGCTGGAGAGGGGCTGGGAACAGAAACACAAACCCTGTGAGGAACCCCTGAGGGAGCTGGGGGTGCTCAGCCTGGAGAAAAGGAGACTCAGGGGTGGCCTCAGCACTCCCCACAGCTCCTGAAAGGTGGCTGTGCTCAGGTGGGGTTGGGCTCCTTCTCCAGGAACTGACAGAGCCAGAGGTCACAGCCTCAAGTTGCACCAAATGGAAATTTAGGCTGGATATTAGGGAAAAGTTCTTTCCAGGAAGATTATAAAGTTCTGGAATGGCTGCCCAGGGAGGTGGTGGAGTCACCATCCCTGGGTGTGTTTAAAACAAGCCTGGATGTGGCTCTTCATGCCAGGGTTGAGTTGTGGCATTGGGGCTGGGTTGGACTCGATGCTCTTGGAGGTCTCTTCCAACCTGGTCATTATGGGAATTTTGGGAACTCCCAGGAACTGGGGAGGTGGTGGTATCACCATCCATGGGTGTGTTTAACAAAGCCTGGGTGTGGCACTGGGTGCCAGGATTCAGTTGAGGGGTTGGGGATGGGATGGACTCTATGCTCTTGGAGGTCCCTTCCAACCTGGTGATTCCGTGAATTCCGTGAATTCCGTGATTTCAAGTGTTGTCCCGGCTGTTCTGGATCCCACAGAGCAACTGAAGTCTTGCAGGATTTCAGGTTTTAGGATCATTCCAGTGCTCACTTCCCTTAGGAGCTGTGGGAATGTCAGAGTGACATTATTCGTCACTGGCACAGCTGTCCCAGAAGAGCTGTGGCTGATCCATCCCTGGGAACATCCATGGCCAGTTTGGACAGGGCTTGGAGCACCCTGGGATAGAGGAAGGTCACCCTGCCCATGCAACCAGATGATCTTTAAGGTCCCTTTTCACCCAAACCATTCCACGATTTCTATAATCTCCTGCACTTAGGGATGTTTCTCCGTGTGGGAAATACACACGGAGAGTGACTCACCCCCTAATTCCCACGATTTCTATAATCTCCTGCACTTAGGGATGTTTCTCCGTGTGGGAAATACTCACGGAGAGTGACTCACCCCCTAATTCCCACGATTTCTATAATCTCCTGCACTTAGGGATGTTTCTCCGTGTGGGAAATAATAACAGAGAGTGATTCATCCCCTAATTCCCATTATCCCACTCTTACCCTGATGGGTTTCAATCAGAAGCCAAGGATCTCATTTATTTCCCAGCCAGGGGGAATGAAACCACACCTGGAAACAGAATAATTCCAATTCCACAGGTGCACCCAGGCACCTGGATTTGTGTGATTTGATTAAAATCACTGAACTTAGAACCATTCCAATTCCAGAGGAGCATTCAGGCACTGGATTTGTGTGGTTTGATCAATTCCCTGAACTCAGAACCATTCCAGTTCCAGGGGAGCATCCAGGCACCTGGATTTGTGTGGTTTGATTAAAATCACTGAACTCAGAACCATTCCAGTTCCAGGGGAGCATTCAGGCACCTGAATTTGTGTGGTTTGATTAAAATCACTGAACTCAGAACCATTCCAGTTCCAGGGGAGCATCCAGGCACCTGAATTTGTGTGGTTTGATCAATTCCCTGAACTCAGAACCATTCCAATTCTAGGGGAACATCCAGGCACCTGGATTTGTGTGATTTGATTAAAATCACTGAACTCAGAAACATTCCAGTTCCCTGGGAGCATTCAGACACCTGAATTTGTGTGGTTTTATCAACTCCATGAACTCAGAACCATTCCAATTCCACAGGAACATCCAGACACCTGAATTTGTGTGGTTTTATTAAAATCACTGAACTCGGAATCATTCAAATTCCACGGGAGCATTCAGGCACCTGGATTTGTGTGGTTTGATCAGTTCAGTGAACTCAGAACCATTCCAATTCCACAGGAGCATCCAGGCACCTGGATTTGTGTGGTTTGATCAACTCCATGAACTCAGAACCATTCCAATTCCACAGGAGCATCCAGGCACCTGGATTTGTGATCAATTCCCTGAACTCAGAACCATTCCAGTTCCAGGGGAGCATCCAGGCACCTGGATTTGTGTGGTTTGATTAAAATCACTGAACTCAGAACCATTCCAATTCCAGGGGAGCATCCAGGCACCTGAATTTATGTGGTTTGATTAAAATCACTGAACTCAGAACCATTCCAATTCCAGGGGAGCATTCAGACACCTGGATTTGTGTGGTTTGATCAATTTTCTGAACTCAGAACCATTCCAATTCCAGGGGAGCATCCAGGCACCTGGATTTGTGTGGTTTGATTAAAATCACTGAACTCAGAACCATTCCAATTCTATGGGAGCATCCAGACACCTGAATTTGTGTGGTTTGATTAAAATCATTGCACTCAGAACCATTCCAATTCCACAGGAGCATCCAGGCACCTGAATTTGTGTGGTTTGATTAAAATCACTGAACTCAGAACCATTCCAATTCCACAGGAGCATCCAGGCACCTGGATTTGTGTGGTTTGATCAATTCCCTGAACTCAGAACTATTCCAGTTCCACAGGATCTTCCAGACACCTGAATTTGTGTGGTTTGATTAAAATCACTGAACTCAGAACCATTCCAATTCCAGGGGAGCATCCAGACATCTGAATTTTTGTGGTTTGATCAGTTCAGTGAACTCAGAACCATTCCAGTTCCAGGGGAGCATCCAGGCACCTGAATTTGTGTGGTTTGATTAAAATCACTGAACTCAGAACCATTCCAATTCCATGGGAGCATCCAGACACCTGAATTTGTGTGGTTTGATCAGTTCAGTGAACTCAGAACCATTCCAATTCCAGGGGAGCATTCAGGCACCTGCATTTGTGTGCTTGGATCAATTCCCTGAACTCAGAACCATTCCAATTCCACAGGAGCATCCAGGCACCTGAATTTGTGTGGTTTGATCAGTTCAGTGAACTCAGAATCATTCCAATTCCACAGGAACATTCAGGCACCTGGATTTGTGTGGTTTGATCAATTCCCTGAACTCAGAACCATTCCAATTCCACAGGAGCATTCAGGCACCTGGATTTGTGTGGTTTGATCAATTCCTTAAACTCAGAATCATTCCAATTCCAGGAGAGCATTCAGGAACCTGGATTTGTGTGGTTTGATCAATTCCCTGAACTCAGAACCATTCCAGTTTCAGGGGAGCATCCAGGCACATGGATTTGTGTAGTTTGATTAAATTCACTGAACTCAGAACCATTCCAACTCCACAGGAGCATCCAGGCACCTGAATTTGTGTGGTTTGATCAATTCCCTGAACTCAGAACCATTCCAATTCCATGGGAGCATTCAGACACCTGAATTTGTGTGGTTTGATTAAAATCACTGAACTCAGAACCATTCCAATTCCAGGGGAGCATCCACGCACCTGGATTTGTGATCAATTCCCTGAACTCAGAACCATTCCAATTCCACAGGAGCATTCAGGCACCTGGATTTGTGTGGTTTGATTAAAATCACTGAACTCAGAACCATTCCAATTCCAGGGGAGCATCCAGGCACCTGAATTTGTGTGGTTTGATCAATTCCCTGAACTCAGAACCATTCCAATTCCATGGGAGCATCCAGGCACCTGAATTTGTGTGGTTTGATTAAAATCACTGAATTCAGAACCATTCCAATTCCACGGGAGCATCCAGGCACCTGGATTTGTGTGGTTTGATTAAAATCACTGAACTCAGAACCATTCAGATTCCAGGGGAGCATCCAGGCACCTGGATTTGTGTGGTTTGATCAATTCCCTGAACTCAGAACCATTCCAATTTTTTGGGAGCATTCAGCTACCTGAATTTGTGTGGTTTGATCAAAATCACTGAACTCAGAACCATTCCAGTTCCATGGGACCATCCAGACACCTGGATTTGTGTGGTTTGATTAAAATCACTGAACTCAGAACCATTCCAGTTCCAGGGGAGCATTCAGGCACCTGAATTTGTGTGGTTTGATAAATTCCCTGAACTCAGAACCATTCCAATTCCAGGGGTGCATTCAGGCACCTGAATTTGTGTGGTTTGATCAGTTCAGTGAACTCAGAACCATTCCAATTCCAGGGGATCATTCAGGCACCTGGATTTGTGTGATTTGATCAGTTCAGTGAACTCAGAACCATTCCAATTCCAGAAGAGCATTCACACACCTGAATTTGTGTGGTTTGATCAATTCCCTAAACTCAGAACCATTCCAGTTCCATGGGAGCATCCAGGCACCTCAATTTGTGTGGTTTGAATAAAATCACTGAACTCAGAACCATTTCAATTCCATGGGAGCATCCAGGCACCTGAATTTGTGTGGTTTGATCAATTTTCTGAACTCAGAACCATTCCAATTCCACGGGAGCATTCAGGCACCTGGATTTGTGTGGTTTGATCAGTTCAGTGAACTCAGAACCATTCCAATTCCACGGGAGCATTCAGGCACCTGAATTTGTGTGGTTTGATCAATTCCCTGAACTCAGAACCATTCCAATTCCAGGGGAGCATTCAGGCACCTGGATTTGTGTGGTTTGATTAAAATAAATGAATTCATAACCATTCCAATTCCAGGGGAGCATCCAGACACCTGAATTTGTGTGGTTTGATCAATTCCCTGAATTCAGAACCATTCCAATTCCAGGGGAGCATCCAGACACCTGGATTTGTGTGGTTTGATTAAAATCACTGAACTCAGAATCATTCCAATTCCAGGGGAGCATTCAGGCACCTGGATTTGTGTGGTTTGATCAGTTCCCTGAACTCAGAACCATTCCAGTTCCAGGGGAGCATCCAGGCACCTGGATTTGTGTGGTTTCATCAATTCCCTGAACTCAGAACCATTCCAATTCCAGGGGAGCATTCAGACACCTGGATTTGTGTGGTTTGATCAATTTTCTGAACTCAGAACCATTCCAGTTCCACGGGAGCATTCAGGCACCTCAATTTGTGTGGTTTGATCAATTCCCTGAACTCAGAAACATTCCAATTCCACAGGAGCTTCCAGACATCTGGATTTGTGTGGTTTGATTAAAATCACTGAACTCAGAACCATTCCAATTCCAGGGTACCATTCAGGCACCTGAATTTGTGTGTTTTGATTAAATTCACTGAACTCAGAACCATTCCAATTCCAGGGGATCATTCAGGCACCTGAATTTGTGTGGTTTGATTAAAATCACTGAACTCAGAACCATTCCAATTCCAGGGGAGCATCCAGGCACCTGGATTTGTGTGGTTTGATTTAAATCACTGAACTCGGAATCATTCCAATTCCATGGAAACATCCAGACACCTGAATTTGTGTGATTTGATCAATTCCCTGAACTCAGAACCATTCCAATTCTATGGGACCATCCAGTCACCTGAATTTGTGTGATTTGATCAATTCTCTGAACTCAGAACCATTCCAATTCCACGGGAGCATCCAGGCACCTGAATTTGTGTGGTTTGATTAAAATCACTGAACTCAGAACCATTCCAATTCCAGGGGAGCATCCAGACACCTGAATTTGTGTGGTTTGATCAGTTCCCTGAACTCAGAACCATTCCAGTTCCATGGGAGCATCCAGGCACCTGAATTTATGTGGTTTGATCAATTCCCTGAACTCAGAACCATTCCAATTCCATGGGAGCATTCAGGCACCTGAATTTGAGTGGTTTGATTAAAATCACTGAACTCAGAACAATTCCAATTCCAGGGGAGCATTCAGGCACCTGAATTAGTGTGGTTTGATTAACTCCATGAACTTTATTCCTGAATGTCCCTGATAGCCCCTCCTGGGCAAGGGCTGATGGATCCCAACACAGCTCAAGGTTATCTTTAATTAAAAGATATTAAAATGAAATCTTTAATAAAACACTCTCTACAACGAGCCAAGAGATGGGAGACAAAACCCTCCTGGTCCCTTTGGAAATGTTATCCTGAGGGACGGACCTGTCTCTCCCTCATCCCAGGGATCTCTTTTCTCCTGCAGAACTGCAGTGGGAAGATGGAGGAATTCTTCCTCTTCGGAGCCTTCCTGGAGGCCACCATGATCGACAGGAAGATTGGGGACAAACCCATTAACTTCGAGGTCACCATAGGTTGGTTGTTTTTTGGGGAGCGTGGTGGTGGTGGTGAAAATCAGAATCCAGAGCTGGGAGTGGGGTTTAAGTGGGGTTTATTCCTGGTTTTCCATTCCCACCCCTGCTAGAGCGAGTTTGGGGAGGAGGGAACGGTTCCTCCGTGGGTGTGAGGGATGTGGGATCTCATTTTGGGCTGTGGCCAGTGGAGATGATCCCTCTCTTCCATTCCGGTTTCATGCTCTGGATATTCCCATGGGATTCCCATGGGATTGAGAGGGGACAGGAGCAGGACATAGACACCTCTCCCTAATTTCCAGCTCCTGGATGTGGTTCCCTGCTCCAAGCTCAGGGCAAATAACACTCAGGAAACGTTGTTTTTGAAGTCTGGAAACAGAAGTTCCAGAACTCAAATGTTCTCTGAGATTCCAGCAGAGAAAACTTTTGCCAACCTGAATTCTTTCCCCGATTTGGGATTTATAACGCCGTGAATTAAATTAATCTTGGTTTTTTCTCCTCGAGGTAACTATGGCAACCAGGTGGATGGCTCCAGCAAACCCCTCCTGCGGAGGAAGAAAGAGGGAGGGGATGGGGACGAGGAGGAGTCGGAGCTGCTCCAGAACTCCAGTGAGGATGAAGGTGGTGAGGATGGAGAGATGGTTTCAGTTTCTTCATCCCAGCCCATGAAGCCTCTGGTCACGGACAGGTCAGTGTGTCCACCTGGATTTGTGTGGTCAGTGTGTCCACCTGGGCACTGGTCAGTGTGTCCACCTGGGCACGGACAGGTCAGTGTGTCCACCTGGGCACTGGTCAGTGTGTCCACCTGGGCATGGACAGGTCAGCGTGTCCACCTGGGCATGGAGTGGTCAGTGTGTCCACCTGAGCACGGACAGGTCACTGTGTCCACCTGGGCACGGACAGGTCAGTGTGTCCACCTGGGCACTGTCAGTGTGTCCACCTGGGCACTGTCAGTGTGTCCACCTGGGCACGGACATGTCAGTGTGTCCACCTGGGCAGTGGTCAGTGTGTCCAGCTGGGTGCTGGGTCAGTGTGTCCACCTGGATTTGTGTGGTCAGTGTTTCCATCTGGGCATGGAGTGGTCAGTGTGTCCACCTGGGCACTGGTCAGCGTGTCCACCTTGGTACTGGTCAGTGTGTCCACCTGGGCACTGGTCAGTGTGTCCACCTGGGCACTGGTCAGTGTGTCCACCTGGGCACTGGTCAGCATGTCCACCTGGGCACTGGTCAGTGTGTCCACCTGGGCATGGACAGGTCACTGTGTCCCCCTGGATTTGTGTGGTCAGTGTGTCCACCTGGGCACAGACAGGTCAGTGTGTCCACCTGGGCACGGACAGGTCAGTGTGTCCACCTTGGTACTGGTCAGTGTGTCCATCTGGATTTTGTGGTCAGTGTGTCCACCTTGTGTCCACCTTGGGGTCCATCCTGGTTTAGGGCCATGGGTTAATTGTGGCCTCGGCAGTGCTGAGATCCCAGATGGAAAAACTGCTGGAAAAATCTGGAAATGCATCGGGCAGGGCGGAAAACTGGGATAAAAAGAAAAATTCTCCCTGGAATTCCTTCCCTTCTTTCCATCAATATCCAGCACAGATAAATCTCCCTGGAATTCCCTTTTTTGTTTCCATGAATATCCAGCACAGAAAAGTCTCCCTGGAATTCCCTTCCCTGTTTCCATCAATATCCAGCACAGAAAAGTCTCCCTGGAATTCCCTTTTTTTTTTCCACGAATATCCAGCACAGAAAAGTCTCCCTGGAATTTCCTTTTTTGTTTCCATCAATATCCAGCACAGATGAATCTCCCTGGAATTCCCTCCATTGTTTCCATCAATATCCAGCACAGATAAATCCCTCTAGAATTCCCTTTTCTGTTTCCATGAATATCCAGCACAGAAAAGTCTCCCTGGAATTCCCTCCATTGTTTCCATCAATATCCAGCACAGAAAAACCCCTCTGGAATTCCTTCCTTTGTTTCCATCAATATCCAGCACAGTTTTATCCCCCTGGAATTCCCTTCCTTCTTTCCATCAATATCCAGTGCAGAAAAGTTTCCCTGGAATTCCCTTTTTCGTTTCCATGAATATCCAGCACAGTTTTATCCCTCTGGAATTCCCTGCCTTCTTTCCATCAATATCGAGCAAAGAAAAGTTTCCCTGGAATTCTTTCTCTTGTTTCCATCAATATCCAGCACAGAAAAGTCTCCCTGGAATTCCCTTTTTTGTTTCCATGAATATCCAGCCCAGAAAAGTCTCCCTGGAATTCCGGTTTGGGTGGGAAGGGTTCCCAAAGCTCATCCATTTCCAACCCGGACACATCCCACTGGCTCGGTATCATCGGGTAATAATTAGCACAGACCCCATGATTACAGACGGATGATTAATCTTTATTAAGAATCAGTTACGATACAGTTGGACTTAATTGGTTCTCCTATCAAACACCATCATTAGTGGCTAATTAACACTCCAGAGCTGCCCCAGAGACAGTGATTTGGGGTGATTTTGGGAACTTCAGAGCAGAACTCCCCCAGGGACAGAGATTTTGGGGTGATTTTGGGGACCCCACTGAGCAGAGGTTTGGGGCAATTTTGGGAACTTCAGAGCAGAGCTATTCCATGGACAGAGATTTTGGGGTGATTTTGGGAACCCCACAGAGCAGAGCTACTCTATGGACGGTGATTTGGGGTGATTTTGGGAATTTCAGAGCAGAACTCCCCCAGGGACAGAGGTTTGGGGTGATTTTTGGGAATCCCACAGAACAGAACTCCCCCAGGGACAGAGATTTTGAGGTGATTTTGGGGACCCCACAGAGCAGAAGTACACCAGGGACAGAGATTTTGGGGTGATTTTGGGAATCCCACAGAGCAGAACTCCCCCTGGGACAGAGATTTTGGGAACTTCAGAGCAGAGCTATTCCATGGACAGAGATTTTGGGGTGATTTTGGGGACCACACAGAGTAGAGCTGCCCCAGGGACAGGTTTGGGGTGATTTTGGGAACTTCAGAGCAGAACTACCCCAGGGACAGAGATTTTGGGGTGATTTTGGGAACTTCAGAGCAGAGCAGCCCCAGAGACAGAGATTTTGGGGTGATTTTGGGAACATCAGAGCAGAGCTGCCCCAGGGACAGAGAATTTGGGGTGATTTGGGAACTTCAGAGCAGAACTGCCCCAGGGACAGAGATTTTGGGGTGATTCTGGGGACCCCACTGAGCAGAGGTTTGGGGTGATTTTGGGAATCCCACAGAGCAGAAATCCCCCAGGGACAGAGATTTGGGGTGATTTTGGGGACCCCACTGAGCAGAACTCCCCCAGGGACAGAGATTTTGGGGTGATTTTGGGAACTTCAGAGCAGAGCTGCTCCAGGGACAGAGAATTTGGGGTGATTTTGGGGACCCCACAGAGCAGAACTCCCCCAGAGACAGAGGTTTGGGGTGATTTTGGGAACCCCACAGAGCAGAGCTGCTCTAAGGACAGAGATTTTGGGGTGATTTTGGGAATCCCACAGAGCAGAACTCCCCCAGGGACAGGTTTGGGGTGATTTTGGGAACTTCAGAGCAGAACTCCCCCTTGGACAGAGATTTTGGGGTGATTTTGAGGCCACCTCCCTCCTTCTCCTGAGCTGCCCTATCCCCCTCACCACCACGACGTTGCCTCCCAGGAGAGACGCGGGGTTGGAGCTGCTCCAGGCTGGGATTGTCCCCTCACGGAGCGTCTCTCCTGCTCCTCTTGCAGGAACTACTTCCACCTGCCCTACCTGGAGAAGAAGCCCTGCATCTACATCCGGAGCTGGTGGCAGGACCAGCGGCGCCGGCTCTACAACGCCAACATCATGGACAAGATCGCAGACAAGCTGGTCAGGGTCACCTGGGGTGGTCTGGGGTGGTCTGGGGTGGTCCGGGATGGACAGGGAGGGGTGGAGGGACAGTCCAGGTGAACACAGGTGATTCCCAGGTGATCCCAGGTCATTCCAAACTCATCCCAGGTGATCCCAGGTCATTCCCAACCCAGGCCAGATGATCCCAGGTTATGGCCAGCCCAGGTGATCCCAGGTGATTCCCAACCCAGGTGATCTCCAGATGATCCCAGGTGATTCCAAACTCATCCCAGGTGATCCCAGGTGATTCCCAACCCAGATGATCTCCAGGGTGATTCCCAGACCAGACCAGATGATCCCAGGTGATTCCCAGCCCAGGTGATTCCCAGGTGATTCCCACCCCAGACCAGATGATCTCCAGGTCATTCCCAGGTGATTCCCAGTACAGTCCAGATGATCTCCAGGGTGATTCCCAGCCCAGGTGATCCCAGGTGATGCCCAGACCAGATGATCTCCAGGTGATCCCAGATGATCCCAGGTGATCCCAGGTGATTCCCAGGTGATTCCCAGCCCAGCCCAGATGATCTCCAGGTGATCCCAGGTGATTCCCAGGTGATTGCCAGCTCATCCCAGGTGATTCCCAGCCCAGTCCAGGTGAACAGAGGTGATTTTCATATGATCCCAGATGATCCCAGGTGATCCCCAGCTAATCCCAAGTGATATCAGGTTATGCTCAGCCCAGGTGATTCTCAGGCAATCCCAGGGGATTCCCAGCCCAGGTGATCCTCAGGTGATTCCCAGCCAGCCCAGGTGATCCCAGGTGATCCCAAACTCATCCCAGGTGATCCCAGGTAATCCCAGGTCATTCCCAGCCCAGGGTAGATGATCCCAGGTGATTCCCAACCCAGATGATCTCCAGATGATCTCCAGGTGATCCCAGGTGATTCCCAGTACAGTCCAGATGATCTCCAGGGTGGTTCCCAGCCCAAACCAGATGATCCCAAGTGATTCCCAGCCCAGGTGACCTCCAGGTGATTCCCAGCCCAGACCAGATGATCTCCAGGGTGATTCCCAGGTCAGGTGATCCCAGGTGATGCCCAGCCCAGATGATCTCCAGGTGATCCCAGGTGATTCCCAGTACAGTCCAGATGATCTCCAGGGTGGTTCCCAGCCCAGACCAGGTTATCCCAGGTGATTCCCAGCCCAGATGATCCCAGGTGATCCCAGGTCATTCCCAGCCCAGCCCAGATGATCCCAGGTTATGTCCATCCCAGGTGATCTCCAGATGATACCAGGTGATCCCAGGTGGTGCCAAACCCAGATGATCTCCAGATGATCCCAGGTGATCCCAGGTGATTCCCAGGTGATTCCCAGCCCAGCCCAGGTGATCCCAGATGATCCCAGGTGATCCTCAGGTGATTCCCAGCCCAGGCCAGATGATCCCAGGTGATCCCAGATGATCCCAGGTGATCCCAGGTGATTCCCAGCCCAGGCCAGGTGATCCCAGGTCATTCCCAGCCCAGCCCAGGTGATCCCAGATGATTCCAGGTGATCCCAGGTGACCCCACCTGGTTCCCAGCCCCACCCCTCACGCTGTCCCCGCCGCTGCCGCAGGAGGAGGGCCTCAACGACGTGCAGGAGATGATCAAGACGGAGAAGCCGCACCCGGAGCGCCGTCTCCGAGGGGTCCTGGAGGAGCTGAGCAGCGGCTGCCTGTGAGTGACGCGGGGCAAGGGTGGCACCGTGCAGGTCCCTGCTGCCAGCGGGAATGTCACCTCACCGTGCCCCACCCTCGGGATGATGGGACAACATTCCCTGACACCGGCACCGAATCTTTTACCTCGGGTTGGAACGTGGCGCTTCCATCTTGCGCCCCAAAGGCCCCAAAGCAGAGGTGGAAACCTCAGTGCTGTGACCTCCACAGGCTGGTGGCCTGAAAGGCGGCTGTGCTCAGGTGGGGTTGGGCTCCTCCTCCAGGAACTGGCAGAGCCAGAGGTCACAGCCTCAAGCTGCACCAAATTTAGGCTGGATATTAGGGAAAAGTTCTTTCCAGGAAGGTGACAAAGTTCTGGGATGGCTGCCCGGGGAGGTGGTGGAGTCACCATCGCTGGGTGTGTTTAACAAAGCCTGGATGTGGCGCTGGGTGCCAGGGGTGAGTTGAGGGGTTGGGGATGGGATGGACTCGATGGTCTTGGAGGTCTCTTCCAACCTGGTGATTCTGTGAATTCTGTGAATTCTGTGATTTCAAGTGTTATGGGAATTTTGGGAATCCCCAGGGACCGAGGAGGTGGTGGAGTCACCATCCCTGGGTGTGTTTAACAAAGCCTGGATGTGTATCTCGATGCCATGGTTTAGTTGAGGTGTTGGGGCAGGGTTGGACTCGATGATCTTGAAGGTCTCTTTTAACTTGGTCATTCTGTGAATTCCGAGAATTTTGGGAATCCCCAGGGACCAAGGAGGTGGTGGAGTCACCATCCCTGGGTGTGTTTAACAAAGCCTGGATGTGGCTCTTGATGCCATGGTTGAGTTGAGGCGTTGGGGCTGGGTTGGACTCAGTGCTCTTGGAGGTCCCTTCCAACCTGTGATTCTGTGAATTATGGGAATTCTATGAATTCCGTGAATTTCCAGGAACTGGGGAGGTGGTGGAGTCCCCATCCCTGGGTGTGTTTAACAAAGCCTGGATGTGGCTCCTCATGCCAGGGGTGAGTTGAGGGGTTGGGGTTGGGTTGGACTCGATGCTCTTGGAGGTCTCTTCCAGCCTGGGCATTATGGGAATTTTGGGAATCCCCAGGGACCAAGGAGGTGGTGGAGTCACCATCCCTGGATGTGTTTAACAAAGCCTGGATGTGGCACTGGGTGCCAGGGTTGAGTTGAGGGGTTGGGGTTGGGTTGGACTCGATGGTCTTGGAAGTCTCTTCCAACCCTGTCACTCTGTCAATTCTGGGACTTCTGGGAATTCTGTGTGGCACCTGGTGGTCCTGATGACGCTGATGTCCCTTCCTGATTCCAAGTCCACGATGTGAACCAGCCTCTTGTCCAGAGTTTTGTTGGGGATTGGCAGGAATTCCAGCATTTTCCAGGGATGTGGCCAGGCTGGTGGGGTGGGAAGGGAACCCTGGGAAAGGTTCCCATGGGAATCTCCTTTTCCTGCAGGCGCTTCCTGACCTTGGCTGACAAGGACCAGCACCACTCGTCCCGCACGAGGCTGGACCGGGAGAGGCTCAAATCCTGCATGAGGGAACTGGTGAGTGGGATCCGGTCCCTGGAGGGGCTCCAGGAGATCTCAGAGGGACTGGGGACAAGGGACAGAGGGACAGGACACAGGGAATGGCTCCCAGTGCCAGGGGGCAGGGCTGGATGGGATTTTGGGAATTAGGAATTGTTCCCTGGCAGGGTGGACAACTTTAGGTAGAGTGGAGGATTCCTGAGCAGGGGATGGAATTTGGTCCATGGATATGTTGGTCTCCAGTCCCTGCGGGTCGAGGATTTGGGGTTCAATTCTGGCCCCAAAGGCCACTCGGGTCTCAGCCAAGTCCCAGGTGTCACCTGGACCTCTGCTGCCTCCTCTCCATCAGAATCTGGAAAGAAATTTGGGAGCGCAGAGGAGCTGGAAGGGGGATTTTGGGAACTTCAGAGCAGAGCTGCTCCAGGGACAGAGAATTTGGGGTGATTTTGGGGACCCCACAGAGCAGAGCTGCCCCAGGGACAGAGAATTTGGGGTGATTTTGGGAACTCCACAGAGCAGAGCTGCTCCAGGTACAGAAGTTTGGGGTGATTTTGGGAACTTCAGAGCCGAGCTGCCCCAGGACAGAGGTTTGGGGTGATTTTGGGGACCACACAGAGCAGAGCTATTCCATGGACAGAGATTTTGGGGTGATTTTGGGGACCACAAAGAGCAGAGCTGCCCCAGGGACAGAGGTTTGGGGTGATTTTGGGACTTTCAGAGCAGAGCTGCCCCAGGAACAGAGATTTGGGGTGATTTTGAGAACCCTATGGGGCAGAGCTGCCCCAGGGACAGAGTTTTGGGGGTGGTGGCCCCGCTCCTTACCAAGAATGTGCAGGAGAGATGGACGAGGATCTCGTGGCTTCTCACACAGCCAAAGTGACCAACTTCCGTGGCCAGCTGCATCCTCGAGAGCAGGAATTGTGAAATTCCAGATGTTCTCATGGGAAGCTCCAAGAACCAGGAGCTGGGTGACAGCAGGAGAGGCACCTTCCTTAAGCCACCCCAAAATTCTGCAAGCTCAGGAGACACCTTTGTGGTGTCACCTCCTCCTGGGCTGTCTCTGCCCTCTCTTTGTCGACAAGGTGACCAAAAGGGTTTCTGAAGGTGTCCGTGCTGATGTGGTGGGATTGAGGCGCCTTTCCTCGGTCTGAGCTGTGTCCTGATGTCCCGGCTGTCCCCACAGGAGAACATGGCCCAGCAGGCCACGGCCCTGCGCTCCCAGGTGAAGAGGAACACCATGAAGGACAAGCTGAAGCTGGTGCAGAACTTCCTGCAGAAGCTGCGGTTCCTGGCGGATGAGGTGAGGCCCTCACGGGCAGAGGTGGCTCTGGTTGGGGCAGCTCGTGGAGACAGAAACCAGGGATGGATGATGGATGGATGGATGGATGATGGATGGATGGATGGATGGAGGATGGATGGATGGATGGATGGATGGATGGATGATGGATGGATGGATGGATGATGGATGGATGGATGGATGGAGGATGGATGGATGGATGATGGATGGATGATGAATGATGGATGGATGGATGGATGGATGGATGGATGGATGATGGATGGATGATGGATGATGGATGGATGATGGATGGATGGATGGAGGATGGATGGATGATGGATGGATGATGGATGGATGGATGGATGATGGATGGATGGATGGATGGATGGATGGATGGATGGATGGATGGATGGATGATGGATGATGGATGGATGATGGATGATGGATGGATGATGGATGGATGATGGATGGATGGATGGATGGATGGATGATGGATGGATGATGGATGGATGGATGGATGATGGATGGATGGATGGATGATGGATGGATGGATGGATGGATGGATGGATGGATGGATGGATGGATGGATGATGGATGGATGATGGATGATGGATGGATGATGGATGGATGATGGATGGATGATGGATGGATGATGGATGGGTGGATGATGGATGGATGGATGGATGGATGGATGGATGATGGATGGATGGATGGATGGATGGATGGATGCATGATGGATGGATGGATGGATGATGGATGGATGATGGATGGATGGATGAATGATGGATGGATGGATGATGGATGGATGGATGGATGGATGGATGGATGATGGATGGATGATGGATGGATGGATGGATGGATGGATGGATGGATGGATGGATGATGGATGGATGGATGGATGATGGATGGATGATGGATGGATGATGGATGGATGGATGATGGATGATGGATGGATGGATGATGGATGATGGATGGATGATGGATGGATGATGGATGGATGGATGGATGGATGATCGATGGATGGATGGATGATGGATGATGGATGGATGATGGATGGATGATGGATGGATGGATGATGGATGGATGGATGATGGATGGATGGATGGATGGATGGATGGATGATGGATGGATGATGGATGGATGGGTGGATGATGGATGGATGGATGGATGGATGGATGGATGGATGGATGGATGGATGGATGATGGATGGATGGATGGATGGATGGATGATGGATGGATGATGGATGATGGATGGATGGATGGATGATGGATGGATGGATGGATGATGGATGGATGGATGGATGGATGGATGGATGGATGGATGGATGGATGATGGATGGATGATGGATGATGGATGGATGGATGATGGATGGATGATGCATGGATGATGGATGGATGATGGATGGATGGATGATGGATGGATGATGGATGGATGATGGATGGATGGATGATGGATGATGGATGGATGATGGATGATGGATGGATGGATGATGGATGATGGATGGATGATGGATGGATGATGGATGGATGATGGATGGATGATGGATGGATGATGGATGATGGATGGATGGATGGATGATGGATGATGGATGGATGGGTGGATGATGGATGGATGGATGGATGGATGGATGGATGGATGGATGGATGATGGATGATGGATGGATGATGGATGGATGATGGATGGATGGATGGATGGATGGATGGATGGATGGATGGATGGATGGATGATGGATGGATGGATGATGGATGGATGGATGGATGGATGATGGATGGATGGATGGATGGATTATGGATGGATGGATGGATGATGGATGGATGGATGATGGATGGATGATGGATGGATGGATGATGGATGGATGGATGGATGGATGGATGGATGATGAATGGATGATGGATGGATGGATGGATGGATGGATGGATGGATGGATGGATGGATGATGGATGGATGGATGGATGATGGATGGATGGATGGATGATGGATGGATGGATGGATGGATGATGGATGATGGATGGATGATGGATGGATGGATGGATGGATGATGGATGGATGGATGGATGATGGATGGATGATGGATGATGGATGGATGATGGATGGATGATGGATGATGGATGGATGATGGATGGATGATGGATGGATGGATGATGGATGATGGATGGATGATGGATGGATGGATGGATGGATGATGGATGGATGGATGATGGATGGATGATGGATGGATGGATGATGGATGGATGATGGATGATGGATGATGGATGGATGGATGGATGGATGATGGATGATGGATGGATGATGAATGGATGGTGGATGGATTGATTGATGGATGGATGGATGGATGATGGATGGATGGATGGATGGATGGATAGATGGATGGATGATGAATGGATGGTGGATGGATTGATTGATGGATGGATGATGGATGGATGATGGATGGATGGATGGGGATGATGGATGGTGGATGGATGGATGGATGGATGATGGATGGATGGATGGATGGATGGATGGATGGATGGATGGATGGATGATGGATGGATGGATGGATGATGGATGGATGGATGGATGATGGATGGATGGATGGATGGATGGATAGATGGATGGATGATGAATGGATGGTGGATGGATTGATTGATGGATGGATGATGGATGGATGATGGATGGAGGGATGGGGATGATGGATGGTGGATGGATGGATGGATGGATGATGGATGGATGGATGGATGGATGGATGGATGGATGGAGGATGGATGGATGATGGATGGATGGATGATGGATGGATGGGTGGGGATGATGGATGGTGGATGGATGGATGGATGGATGATGGATGGATGGATGGATGGATGGATGATGGATGGATGATGGATGGATGATGGATGGATGGATGGATGGATGATGGATGGATGGATGGATGGATGGATGATGGATGGATGGATGGATGGATGGATGGATGGATGGATGGATGGATGGATGATGGATGATGGATGGATGATGGATGATGGATGGATGATGGATGGATGATGGATGGATGGATGGATGGATGGATGATGGATGGATGATGGATGGATGGATGGATGATGGATGGATGGATGGATGATGGATGGATGGATGGATGGATGGATGGATGGATGGATGGATGATGGATGGATGATGGATGATGGATGGATGATGGATGGATGATGGATGGATGATGGATGGATGATGGATGGGTGGATGATGGATGGATGGATGGATGGATGGATGGATGATGGATGGATGGATGGATGGATGGATGGATGCATGATGGATGGATGGATGGATGATGGATGGATGATGGATGGATGGATGAATGATGGATGGATGGATGATGGATGGATGGATGGATGGATGGATGGATGATGGATGGATGATGGATGGATGGATGGATGGATGATGGATGGATGGATGGATGGATGGATGATGGATGGATGGATGGATGATGGATGGATGATGGATGGATGATGGATGGATGGATGGATGATGGATGATGGATGGATGGATGATGGATGGATGGATGGATGGATGATGGATGGATGGATGGATGATGGATGGATGGATGATGGATGGATGATGGATGGATGGATGATGGATGATGGATGGATGGATGATGGATGATGGATGGATGATGGATGGATGATGGATGGATGGATGGATGGATGATGGATGGATGGATGGATGATGGATGATGGATGGATGATGGATGGATGATGGATGGATGGATGATGGATGGATGGATGATGGATGGATGGATGGATGGATGGATGGATGATGGATGGATGATGGATGGATGGGTGGATGATGGATGGATGGATGGATGGATGGATGGATGGATGGATGGATGGATGGATGATGGATGGATGGATGGATGGATGGATGATGGATGGATGATGGATGATGGATGGATGGATGGATGATGGATGGATGGATGGATGATGGATGGATGGATGGATGGATGGATGGATGGATGGATGGATGATGGATGGATGATGGATGATGGATGGATGGATGATGGATGGATGATGGATGGATGATGGATGGATGATGGATGGATGGATGATGGATGGATGATGGATGGATGATGGATGGATGGATGATGGATGATGGATGGATGATGGATGATGGATGGATGGATGATGGATGATGGATGGATGATGGATGGATGATGGATGGATGATGGATGGATGATGGATGGATGATGGATGATGGATGGATGGATGGATGATGGATGATGGATGGATGGGTGGATGATGGATGGATGGATGGATGGATGGATGGATGGATGGATGGATGGATGATGGATGATGGATGGATGATGGATGGATGATGGATGGATGGATGGATGGATGGATGGATGGATGGATGGATGATGGATGGATGGATGATGGATGGATGGATGGATGGATGATGGATGGATGGATGGATTATGGATGGATGGATGGATGATGGATGGATGGATGGATGATGGATGGATGATGGATGGATGGATGATGGATGGATGGATGGATGGATGGATGGATGATGAATGGATGATGGATGGATGGATGGATGGATGGATGGATGGATGGATGGATGGATGATGGATGGATGGATGGATGATGGATGGATGGATGGATGATGGATGGATGGATGGATGGATGATGGATGATGGATGGATGATGGATGGATGGATGGATGGATGATGGATGGATGGATGGATGATGGATGGATGATGGATGATGGATGGATGATGGATGGATGATGGATGATGGATGGATGATGGATGGATGATGGATGGATGGATGATGGATGATGGATGGATGATGGATGGATGGATGGATGGATGATGGATGGATGGATGATGGATGGATGATGGATGGATGGATGATGGATGGATGATGGATGATGGATGATGGATGGATGGATGGATGGATGATGGATGATGGATGGATGATGGATGGATGGATGGATGGATGGATGGATGGATAGATGGATGGATGATGAATGGATGGTGGATGGATTGATTGATGGATGGATGATGGATGGATGATGGATGGATGGATGGATGATGGATGGTGGATGGATGGATGGATGGATGATGGATGGATGGATGGATGGATGGATGGATGGATGGATGGATGGATGGATGATGGATGGATGGATGATGGATGGATGGGTGGGGATGATGGATGGTGGATGGATGGATGGATGGATGATGGATGGATGATGGATGGATGGATGATGGATGGATGATGGATGGATGATGGATGGATGGATGATGGTGGATGATGGATGGATGGATGGATGGATGGATGGATGGATGGATGGATGATGGATGGATGGTGGATCCATGGATGGATGGATGGATGGATGGATGGATGATGGATGGATGGATGGATGGATGGATGGATGGATGGATGGATGGATGATGGATGGATGGATGGATGGATGGATGGATGGATGGATGGATGATGGATGGATGATGGATGATGGATGATGGATGGATGGATGGATGGATGGATGATGGATGATGGATGATGGATGGATGATGGATGGATGATGGATGGATGGATGGATGGATGGATGGATGATGGATGGTGGATGGATGATGGATGGATGGATGATGGATGGATGATGGATGGATGGATGGATGATGGATGGATGATGGATGGATGATGGATGGATGATGGATGGATGGATGGGGATGAACGATGGATGGATGATGGATAGATCAATGGATGGAGACCTCCAATGCCAGGAGAGGTCCTTCTGCAAGGAGCCATTCCAAGTCCATGATCTGCCCCATGATACCTGTCCATTCCAGGGTGGGAATGAGCCAATGGAAAGGAAATTTGAGGGTTTCTCAGGCAGGGACAGAGCTGTGTCCTCCTTCAGCAGAGCTGGAGATGTTTCAGCCAATCCCAGCCTGGAGGGACCCTGTGAATCCCTAGGAAATCAGGAATTGGAAGGTGACACACCAAATCCCAGACCGGTTTGGGTGGGAAGGGATTTGAAATCCCATCCAGTTCCAACCCCAGCACTTTCCACCGTCCCAGGCTGCTCCAAACCCCAATGTCCAACCTGTCCTTGGGCACTGCCAGGGATCCAGGGGCACCACAGCTGCTCTGGGAATTCCATCCCAGCCAGGAATTCCCAATTCCCAATATCCCACCCAGCCCTGCCCTCTGGCACTGGGAGCCATTCCCTGTGTCCTGTCCCTCCATCCTTGTCCCCAGTCCCTCTGCAGATCTCCTGGTGCCCCTTTGGTCTCCAGAATCTTTCCATGACATTTTTCCAATTTAGGACTGGCTCAGAAGGAGGAGAGAAGGAAAAACTTCAGTCCTCTCTGCCCAAATTTATATCTTTCCAAACTTATAACCAACATAAATTATCAGAATAAATCACACTCTGTTATCTTCACACAAGAAAAAACCAATTTTTTATTCACAAAACTGATTTTTATACAGTTTTACAGATCTCGTGTGTGACTCCAATTGGCTACTCGCTTTCCTGCCAATTACTAATAATTACAATTGCTAGTAAAAGGCATTTTACTTGTTTTACTTGTTTACTAACAATTCTTAAATAATTTACATTTTTTTTTCACTGATTCTCATGGGATAGATTTAGTGTTTTTGCAGGTGCCAGTTGTTTTTCACCCAGGAATTGATCGTTATGTTAACGAATTCTTCACACCAGGATTGTTTTCACAGGGGAACTTGCGAAGTGCCAGCTTGACAAGGCCTGATTTTATGAAAAATTATTTTATAATTTTTCTACCTTACTGCAACAATAAATCCTGGTTTTCTACCTGACTGGCTTAGCTCCGAGCAGCTTTTTTGGAGTGGGAATCTCCAAATTATTCTTGTGGGAACCCAGGACATCCATCTGGCTGTCTCGAGACCCTGGCAGGGGGCTCGGAGACCTTGGCACAAAGTCAAAAACACCTGTGGCTTTGATTTTAGCCCGTGGAAAAAACACAAAAAATTACAAGCCACAAGGGTTTGAGTAGTGTGGGAGTTGAGTTAACACAGGGTGAAAAAGTAGAATTTTAGGGTTTTAAAATAAGGGGTTACAGGGTACAAGATGGAGGGATTTGGGCATATCCTGCCCTTCTTCTTCTTCTTGCCCTCCATGTCTTGGTGTGATGGTGAAACTTTTCTGTTGGTTTGAGGTAAAATATCCAACATAAATGGTAGATATTGGCATGTTATTGTAAATATAGTACAGGTAATTTTTAGTATAAAATGGTAACACCACCCCAAGGTGGTGGGTGGGAGTCTGCTGCAGCCTGACCTGCTGGACAGAGCGCAGCTCCTTGGGAAAACATGCTGGAGATAAGAGAAAATAAAGGACCTTGAGAAGCCGACCCTGCGCATTCCAACTCCTTCTTTGGCCATGTGGGCTGGGAGAAAAAGACTTTTTACAATCTCGGGGTCACCTCGACCTCCAGACCCCTGAGAGATTCCAGTGCCCCCCGTGTGGCCACAAGCACACCCACCTTCCATGGAATCTGTTGGATTTGCCTCCAGCAGGTCTCCAGCCCCACCAGTGCCTCAGTGGTTGGCGCTGGGGCACTGACAGGGCTCTCCTGTGGCATTCCCAGCCCCAGCACACGATTCCCGACGTTTTCATCTGGATGATGAGCAACAACAAGCGCATCGCCTACGCCCGCATCCCTTCCAAGGACATCCTCTACTCCATCGTGGAGGAGGAGATGGGCAAGGACTGCGCCAAAGTGAAGACGGTTTTCCTCAAGGTGAGGATCTCTCTGTCCTAGGGGAGCTGCAGCCAATGGGAGGGAAGTGGAGGGAATTTGGGAGATGAGGATGAGAGGTTTGCGTCCATTCTTTATGGGATTTGAATGTCCGAGAGATATGATCCATACTCTGCAGATAGGGGTGGAAATCTCCTCCTAGGGAGGGTGAAGCACTGACCGTAAATCTGGTAAGTGGGAAATGTCTGGGAAGAGGGAGATGTTTGATCCAGCTTGAAATCCAGAGAATTTCTGGCTTAGTGCCATGGTTTGAAAAGCCAGGTGTCTGCTGAGGAAGGCAGAAACCTCCCCTGAAATGGAAAATGGAAACCCCCTCCCTCCAAATTATTATAATTTTGAAATTAAATGGCTCTCTGGCAAAGATACGGGAACAGGAATAACAGTTCTTTATTAGGAAAATTAAAAATACAAATGCAATAGTACAAACAAATAAAACAAACCACTGCCAGAGTCAGAACATGTCCTGGCAGGCTGTGGGTCAGGGAGGTGGCAGCAGCCCCATCCCAGGGTGGCTCAGCCCTCCTGCAGTGCCAGCTGTGCTTCTGCTGGAGCAGGATCCTGCACAAGGCGGGAGTTTTCCTCTGGAGCTCCAGGGCTGGGGGAGATGGGCCTGGGATTCCTCTGGGAATGCAGTGGGGAAGAAAGCTGCTCCTCTGGGAATGCAGGGGGAAGAAAGCTGCTCCTCTGGGAATGCAGTGGGAAGGAAGCTGCTCCTCTGGGAATGCAGTGGGCAAAGGCAGTGGGCAAAGTTCCCAGGTCAGATTGTATCCAGGTAGGAATTCTCGGCTCCTCCTCTGGACAGAGCATCTCCCCATGGATGATGGAATTTTCTCAGCCATACAGGGACACTCAGTGGCCCATGAACAGAAGATAATTAATAATCAATGGCCCATGAACAGAAGATAATTAATAATCAATGACCCATGAACAGAAAATATTTCCTGGAGGGAGGATGGGTTGTGGATGAGATGAAGAAAATGAACAGCAGAGAACTGCCCCAGCTCTGACAGATGGAAATAGAACACACACCCCCAAATCACATCTTGCATTTCCAACCTAAGACACTTAGGAAGAGGAGACCACGGTGGGAAGAGGACAATGCATGAGCCAGAGCAGTGTCACGATCCCAAAGGATCTTTGGGTTTAAGGAACAGCAGCCCCAGAGAGGTTGGGTGCTCCCAGAGGGGTCTGTCTGTCCACATTCCCAATATCTATATGAACTCTTCCATTCCTTCTGCTCAGCTCCCCGGGAAGAGGGGCTTCGGCCCTGCTGGCTGGACAGTCCAGGCCAAGATGGAGATCTACCTGTGGCTGGGCCTCAACAAGCAGCGCAAGGACTTCCTGAGCGGCCTCCCCTGTGGGTTCGAGGAGAGGAAAATCCCCCAAGGCCAAAACCTGCCCTCCTTCCCACCCATCAGCCTCCTGTACACCAGTAAGGAGCTCCCGTGGGATGGGGCGTGGAGAGGGTGGGAGGGAGCCTGGCTGGACACTCCCTGCTCCAAGGGCTCCCAGGAACTAAGGGGGACATCGTTCTGGTTGTCCCGGGAGAGACAGCGGTGGGAATTGTGTCCCCTCATCCCAGTCGTGTTGTCACTGTACGCACAAAATGCAGGATGCCAAGGAAATTCCATATCTGTTCGGGATTTGCGCTTTGAGTTGAGATCCTTCAGCCACGAGCCAAAACAGGCTCCTGGGTGGGCTCTGTCCTGGTTTAGGGCAAATTTGGGTGAGAACCTCCAAAGGGTTTTTTTCTAGAAAGCAGATTCAAGCGGCCTCTCCCCCAGACAGTTGGGGGGAAATATTTCCCTGGGAAAAAGTGGAAAAAAACCTTTATTTAACAGACAAAGCATTCACCAGCACACAAAAAAATTAACAATACTTCAGGGGGTCCTCAGGCCTGGCCCGCTGGGCCACAAGTGCAAGCTGCTGCTGTTCTGGGTATTCAGTGCAGAGCAGGTTCAAAGAAAAGGAAAAAACACAGTCCAAGGAACTTTTTTTGCCTCAGCGAATAAAAAACTAACTGAAAGCCAAGGACAGCTCTGTCCTGCTGTCTGTCCATCCAGTGTGGGAACCCAGGGCAGGGGGAATATCTCCCTGTTTGCCCTGGGGTGCTCTGACTCCCAGGAAAACACTGACTTTGACCCTCATTCATGGAGAAAACTTCCAAAGCTTCAAAGTAAACTAGAGACCACAAAAATGTGAAATAGATTGTGGAGATTGTAGAGAGTAGTTTACTGTGTCATGTGGGTGAGAAATTTAGGTTTTAGGATTTTTAGTGTGTTATAGATGGGTTCAGGATGGAGGATATCAGGTGTTGTCTCGAGTTCCTTTATTCTCTCTTCTTCTTCCTCTTTCTTCTTGGGTTTAGGTGGTATCTTGTAATTGGGCAGAAAAATCTGCATTGTGGGTCTTTAGGGGTCAGTTATTGGGTTAGAAAGGGAAATAATTCAGGTGTCTCTTCTTAATTGGGTTGTTTATTTTTTGATTAGACTGAAAAGACCTTGCAGCATAAGGCTGTTGGCCATTTTTGTGCTGTTTTCACGCACACAAGGTCTGGATGCAGACAATGTGCTGAGGTTTTGATAAGATAACAATAAAACAAGAACCTGAAGACCAAAAAAGTCCTGTACATCTGCTTTTCCTGACAAAGAACAGCTTCAGGAGGGTTTCCCCCTGCCAGGGGAGCCCTCAGGGAGTTGCCCAGTGTGGGGCCTGCGAACTCACAGTCCAGGAGCCGGGATGTGGAGGAATGAGCGCAGTTTCTGAAAACAAACTGCGCGCTTCTTCTCTCCCTACTTCGCTCTCAGAACCATCCTTAGAGGTGCAAAAATTATTTCTGGGCTGAACAGATGAATGGGGATCCAAGCATCATAAAATCACCCCAGGACTGGCTCCCAGAGACCATCCCAAGCCATCCCATCCCACTCCCTGTTTTATCTATTTGAGCTAGGTCTTAAAAGCTCTCAGAGATAAACATTATACCCTTGATAGCTCAACTACTTCAGGTGGCATAAAAGTAGCAGGATGGCTCCTGTGACAGTGTTGGAAACAAAAAAGTTTTAATAAAAGGCAAAAAAAAAATCTTTACTGAGAAAAATTGAGCCAGGGCAAGAGGTTCTTGCTCCTGCTAAAACACTTCACAAAAACAACTTACTCCTTTTGTTCTCTTCTTTTTCTAGTGATATGCTTAGGCAGGACTTTTTGGCTCTTGTCTAATTAGCTATCCTTAAGTTTGAGGCGAAGCCTCCAAGGTCCTATGGAGGTGTCTTTTAACCAAACTGAGGAGAGAAACTTCTGGGCTTTTGACCTTTTTAAAGAGACAAAGGATAACTTTTTACTCCATCAACAAGTGGCGCATTCCTAAACTCCCTGTCTCTTCCAGAGAAGCAGGTGTTCCAGCTGCGAGCCCACATGTACCAAGCCAGGAGCTTGTTCGCGGCCGACAGCAGCGGGCTCTCGGATCCCTTCGCACGGGTCTTCTTCATCTCCCAGAGCCAGTGCACCGAGGTGAGCGCTCCTGGGTGACTGACTCCGCAAGTCCCCGTGGCACAGATCCCATCTGTGGGATTAGGCTGGTCCTGGGCTCCTGCTGTGGAGCACCAGCTCTGGAACGGGCCATTGACCATTTCCAGATTTTTCCCCATTCCCAATTTGTGTCCCACATCCCGGTGGCTGCGGTTCTCCGTGATTCCCTGCGATTCCCTGCTGGTTTAGGCAGAGCTGGGTCATGTTAAAATGATTTTTCAGTCTTCCCTTCACAGTCCGAGGGTTGCCAAGCTTTAGGAAGCCTGGACACTGGGAATAATCCAGCTCTGCTCATCTGTTATTGGATTCTTTCCCTCAGAAGAATCCCTGGGAGATTCCAAATACCTCCCTGATCCAAAAACCGCGCAGCAGCCCCACCTGCCACCCTTTCCCAGGACCTCGGTCCATTCCTGGAGCAGCAGGAATCTTTCCCATTTTCCCAGGTTCTCAACGAGACTCTTTGCCCGACCTGGGACCAGCTCCTGGTGTTCGACAACGTGGAGCTGTACGGGGAAGCTCACGAGATGAGGGATGACCCCCCCATCATCGTCATCGAGATCTACGACCAGGACACCGTGGTGAGAAAATCCCACGGAACTGCGCGTGGTTTGGATGCCGGCATCTCTCCAGATTTGGAGGCAGAGGATTTGGGGAGCTTTTTTAACCCCGATCCTGGAAAATGGTCCCTCCACATCTCCCACGGAGCCTCTGCTGCTCATAAATCTCAGACATGACTTGGTGTATCTTATTTTTGGAGAGGGAAGAAAGAGGCTGTAGCCGAGGAGACTTTCTGTTTGGGAAAACTGCTCATCCCTGGCCTCCTTGCTGTCCCAATCTTCAGCTGTCCCAGATCTCCTTCATGGAGTCATGACTGAAACTTTCCCCTGAGCTTTGGCATCCCAAGGCCAGAGCACCGATCCCGTTCCTGTTCCAACCACGATGGGGAAAATTGCACAGCTAAATTTGGAATTTTCATGTTAGATCCCCAACCCCAAATGCTCTTGGGGAGAACAATGGGGCTAAATTTGGAATCCTGTGTTGGATCCCAACCCCAAGTGCTCCTGGGGAAAACCACAGGGCTAATTTTGGAATTCCCATGTTGGATCCCCAACCCCAAGTGCTGCTGGGGAAAACCACAGGGCTAATTTTGGAATTCCCATGTTGGATCCCCACCCCAAGTGTTCCTGGGGAAAATCACAGGGTTAGTCTTGGAAATCCTATGTCAGATCCCCAACGCCAAGTGCTTTTGGGGAGAACAATGGGGGTAAATTTGGAATTCTTGTGTTGGATCCCCAACCCCAAGGGCTCCTGGGGAGAACCACAGGGCTAATTTTGGAATTCCCATGTTGGATTCCCCAACCCCAAGTGCTCCTGGGGAAAATCACAGGGTTAGTCTTGGAAATCCTATGTCAGATCCCCAACCCCAAGTGCTTTTGGGGAGAACCATGGGGGTAAATTTGGAATCCTGTGTTGGATCCCCAACCCCAAGGGCTCCTGAGAAGAACAATGCGGGTAAATTTGGAAATCCTATGTCAGATCCCCAACCCCAAGTGCTTTTGGGGAGAACCATGGGGCTAAATTTGGAATTCTCATGTTGGATCCCCAACCCCAAGTGCTCCTGGGGAGAACAATGGGGGTAAATTTGGAATTCCTGTGTTGGATCCCAACCCCAAGAGCTCCTGGGGAGAACCATGGAGCTAATTTTGGAATTCCCATGTTGGATCCCCCAACCCCAAGTGCTCCTGGGGAGAAACATGGAGCTAATTTTGGAATTCTCATGTTGGATCCCCAACCCCAAGGGCTCCTGGGGAGAACCATGGAGCTAATTTTGGAATTCTCATGTTGGATCCCCCAATCCCAAATGCTCTTGGGGAGAACCATGGGGCTAAATTTGGAATCCTGTGTTGGATCCCCAACCCCAAGTGCTCCTGGGGAGAACCACAGGGCTAATTTTGGAATTTTCATGTTGGATCCCCAACCCCAAATGCTCTTGGGGGGAACCATGGGGCTAAATTTGGAATTCCTGTGTTGGATCCCCAACCCCAAGTGCTGCTGGGGAGAAACATGGAGCTAATTTTGGAATTCTCATGTTGGATCCCCAACCCCAAGTGCTCCTGAGGGAAATCACAGGGTTAGTCTTGGAAATCCTATGTCAGATCCCCAAAGCCAAGTGCTTTTGGGGAGAACCATGGGGCTAAATTTGGAATCCTGTGTTGGATCCCCAACCCCAAGGGCTCCTGGGGAGAACAATGGGGGTAAATTTGAAATTCCTGTGTTGGATCCCCAACCCCAAGTGCTCCTGGGGAGAACCATGGAGCTAATTTTGGAATTCCCATGTTGGATCCCCCAACCCCAAGTGCTCCTGGGGAGAAACATGGAGCTAATTTTTGAATTCCCATGTTGGATTTCCCAACCCCAAGTGCTCCTGGGGAAGATCACAGGGTTAGTCTTGGAAATCCTATGTCAGATCCCCAACGCCAAGTGCTTTTGGGGAGAACCATGGGGCGAATCTTGGAATTCCTATGTTGGATTCCCCAACCCCAAGTGCTCCTGGGGAGAACCATGGAGCTAATTTTGGAATTCTCATGTTGGATCCCCAACCCCAAGTGCTCCTGAGGAAAATCACAGGGTTAGTCTTGGAAATCCTATGTCAGATCCCCAACCCCAAGTGCTTTTGGGGAAAATCACAGGGTTAGTCTTGGAAATCCTATGTCAGATCCCCAACGCCAAGTGCTTTTGGGGAGAACCATGGGGCTAAATTTGGAATTCCTGTGTTGGATCCCCACCCCAAGTGCTCCTGGGGAGAAACATGGAGCTAATCTTGGAATTCCTGTGTTGGATCCCCCAACCCCAAGTGCTCCTGGGGAAAATCACAGGGTTAATTTTGGAATTCCCATGTTGGATCCCCCAACCCCAAGTGCTCCTGGGGAAAATCACAGGGTTAGTCTTGGAAATCCTATGTCAGATCCCCAACGCCAAGTGCTTTTGGGGAGAACCATGGGGCTAAATTTGGAATCCTGTGTTGGATCCCCAACCCCAAGGGCTCCTGGGGAGAAACATGGAGCTAATTTTGGAATTCCCATGTTGGATTTCCCAACCCCAAGTGCTGCTGGGGAGAACCATGGAGCTAATTTTGGAATTCTCATGTTGGATCCCCCAACCCCAAGGGCTCCTGGGGAGAACAATGGGGGTAAATTTGGAATTCCCATGTCGGATCCTCCAATCCAAGTGCTCCTGGGGAGAAACATGGAGCTAATTTTGGAATTCTCATGTTGGATCCCCAACCCCAAATGCTCTTGGGGAGAACAATGGGGTAAATTTGGAATTCCTGTGCTGGATCCCCAACCCCAAGGGCTCCTGGGAAGAACAATGGGGCTAAATTTGGAATTCTCATGTTGGATCCCCAACCCCAAATGCTCCTGGGGAGAACCATGGGGCTAAATTTGGAATCCTGTGTTGGATCCCCAACCCCAAGGGCTCCTGGGAAGAACAATGGGGGTAAATTTGAAATTCCTGTGTTGGATTCCCCAACCCCAAGTGCTGCTGGGGAGAAACATGGAGCTAATTTTGGAATTCCCATGTTGGATCCCCCAACCCCAAGGGCTCCTGGGGAGACCAATGGGGGTAAATTTGGAATTCCCATGTCGGATCCTCCAATCCAAGTGCTCCTGGGGAGAACCACAGGGTTAAATTTAGAATTCCCATGTTGGATCCCCCAACCCCAAGTGCTCCTGGGGAGAATCATGGAGCTAATTTTGGAATTCTCATGTTGGATCCCCCAACCCCAAGTGCTCCTGAGGAAAATCACAGGGTTAGTCTTGGAAATCCTATGTCAGATCCCCAACGCCAAGTGCTCCTGGGGAGAACCATGGGGCTAAATTTGGAATTCCCATGTTGGATCCCAACCCCAAGAGCTCCTGGGGAGAACCATGGAGCTAATTTTGGAATTCCCATGTTGGATCCCCCAACCCCAAGTGCTCCTGGGGAGAAACATGGAGCTAATTTTGGAATCCTGTGTTGGATCCCCAACCCCAAGGGCTCCTGGGGAGAACAATGGGGGTAAATTTGGAATTCCTGTGTTGGGTCCCAACCCCAAGTGCTCCTGGGGAGAACCATGGAGCTAATTTTGGAATTCTCATGTTGGATCTCCAACCCCAAGTGCTCTTTCCGTAGGGAAAAGCCGACTTCATGGGCCGGACTTTCGCCAAGCCGGTGGTGAAGATGTCGGACGAGCAGTACTGCCCGCCGCGCTTCCCGCCACAGCTGGAATATTACCAGATCTACCGCGGCAACGCCACAGCCGGAGACCTTCTGGCCGCCTTTGAGCTGCTCCAGGTGCTGGCTGGACAAAGGGATGGGAAGAATGGATGCAGGGTTGGAAGGGAGAGGGGATTAATTTATGGAGAATAACTGGGAATAACCGGGAATAACTGCCCCTTCACCTGGTCGTTGGTCTGCTGAGCCCTTGGAGTTTCTCTTGGATGGATCAACCACTTGTTGTTCACCAAAGACACCTGGAAGTGTCCAGGACAAGGTGGGATGGGGTTTGGAGCAGCCTGGAAAGGTGGAAGGTGTCCCTGCCCGTGGCAGGGGGTTGGAATTCAATGGTCTTTAAAGCCCCTCCCAGCCCCAAACCATTCCATGATTCCTAGTCTGGGGCAATACCAGAGTAAATTCTTCCACTTTCGCACCTCGTGTTCCATCCACTGAAATGCTTTTCCCATCTCCTTTCCCTGCCAGGGCAGGTGCTCATCCAAGCCCATTTTCTCCCAATTTTCCTTGGACTGGGGGGATGGCTCACATGGGATATTTGATCTTTCCTGACCCCTGGGCTGGAAACGAGACCTTAAACCTGCTCCTGGGCTGAGCTCTGGGACCACATCTCCGTTTCCTCACGCACAGCCCAGCAGATGCAATTCCAGGATGGAACAGCCCTGGGATGGGCTGAGAAGTTTGGATTGCTCTGGGGACTGTTCTGTGTGGAAGGACAGCAATTCCCAGCACCTTCTGCTCCTGTGTTTTCCTCTCCCCAAAGCACCTGCCCGGGGCTCTCAGCCCTCTGAGACACCCCAGCTCCAACAGCTGGGACCAGTTCCAGCTGAGATACAGCCCAGCTCCTTCTGGAATTTGTCCCTGCCCAAGGCAGGGGTTGGAATGAGCTGATCTTTGAGGTCCCTTCCAACCCAAACCAATCCGCGATTCCACAATTCTGTGAGAAGGACCAAAAACTCCTTCCCAGCAGCTCAGAGGAGCAGATCCCAATCCGTGATCCACCTCTTCCAGATCGGCCCTGGGGGTAAATCAGACCTGCCCCCCATCGACGGCCCCACGGACATGGACCGAGGTCCCATCCTGCCGGTGCCGCTGGGAATTCGGCCGGTGTTGAGCAGATACAGAGTGGAGGTAACCAATACCTGTGTGGAGCGTTGCCTGGGGCAGGAGAGCATCTCCAAGGGTGTTGGAAGGGCAGGAGGGAACTGGGAGTCAAGGATCTGTCCATGGTGGCCAGACTGGGAACCAGGTTGCAGCATCCCTAAAAAAAACCAGGGAATTGGTTCATTCCTTGCTGTCAGACCTGGGCAGGACAGCGAGTCAGCAGCACCTGGGCTGAGATGCAGCTCAGGGAATGTTAGAGATGGAGACAGAGCTGGATTATCTGTTCCCAAAGTGTCGGAATCTGTGGGTATTGGTGATTCTGAGATTGTAGAAAGTCTCTGGTTTTTTGCCCCGTTGCCAAAGAAGAAGCCATAATTGGTCTGTGCTGTTTCAAGGTTGTTTATTCTGTTTATCTCTAACATGTTCTGCTGCCCTGCCGCAGCTCTGTCCTGCAGGGCAGCGTGTGGGGCTCTGCCCTCAGTGGGATGGTACAAACATTAAATACCACAAACTACCTGTGCTGGATTTACAATAACGTGCCAATATCTGTCACCTACGTTGGACAGTGTGTCCCCAGCCTAAACCAACAGAAAAATGCCAACACCACAGTGAAACATGGAGGGCATGAAGAAGGAGAAAAAGGACAAGACACACCCAAGTCCTCCATCTTGTCCCCTCTGAACCCCTAATCTAGAATCCTAAAATTTTACTCTTGCACCCGTGTCACACTTAATTATTACTCTTATCAAACACTCAAAGCTTGTAATTCATCCTGTAAGATTGAAAACTCTTTTCCATGGACAGAGATCACAGACAGTGTCTCTGGGGGCTCTGTCCAGGGGGTTCCTGACCCCTGCCGGGGTCCCAGGGCAGCCAGAGGGAAGCCCTGGATTCCCACACCAAAGCAATCCCATAGCTCAGGTGTTCTCCATCCCATCAACCTCAGGCAACGAGGATGGGATGCCTCTCATGTATCCATGGATATCTAAAGGGGGATTTTGTATCCAAAATAGTGTGGGCAGATCCCAGGGCAGTGCCCGTCCCCTGGGCTGGCACTGCTGGGACACCTCCAGTGCTGGGGGCAGCTTTGGGCCCCTCCTGCCAGGAGAGACCTGGAGGGGCTGGAGCGTGTCCAGGGAAGGGAACGGAGCCCCAGGAGGGGCTGAGGGAGCTGGGAAAGGGCTCAGCCTGGAGAAAAGGAGGCTCAGAGGGGACCTTGTGGCTCTGCACAACTCCTGACAGGAGGGGACAGCCGGGGGGGGTCGGGCTCTGGAAGTGGCACTCAGTGCTCTGGGCTGGGGACAAGGTGGGGACTGGTCACAGGGTGGACTCGTTGATCCTGGTGGGCTTTTCCAAATGATTTCGTGGTTCTGTGATGAGTCCTTTGGAGGTTCTGGTGACCAGGCAATGCCCACAAGGACGTTTAGAGCACATCTCAGGCCCGGGTGAAGGTGTCTCTGCTCAGGTGAGGTGCCACTGACCAGGTCTCCACAGGGATTTTGGCTCCTGGTTTTCCACACATTTGCATCACAATCAATGAGTTGTGCTCCTCACAATTTTAATACAGCTGTGGGGAATGAGGAGGTGGGGGAAATCTCCATTTTGGGGAATTCTGGAGGGTGGCAGTCTGTTATCCCAGGCAGGGACAGGGAAGTTTCCCTCGTGACACTGATCCCATTGGGACAAAGCAATGGCAGTGCTGGATCCAGAGCCACCACAGATGGACAGAGCTGCTCTGTGGATTCCCAGGGCAGGAAAAGACCAGGAAGGGAGAAAGGCAGGAAAACGACATGGGCAGCAGGCAGGAGATGCACCTTGGGCTGCAGGGTGTCAGGAGGAGATACCTCAGGGATCCACCACTGCCCTGTGATGACATCGGCAGTGGGATCCCTCTCCATGGAGAACCAGCTCCCAGGGATCATCCCTCTCACATTCACATCCTTCCTCTTCCTCCTGCCCTAGATCTTGTTCTGGGGGCTCAGGGACCTGAAGAGAGTGAACCTGGCCCAGGTGGACCGGCCCCGTGTGGACATCGAGTGTGCCGGGAAGGGTGTCCAGTCTGCCCTGATCCAGAACTACAAGAAAAACCCCAACTTCAGCACTCTGGTCAAGTGGTTCGAGGTGGTGAGTGTGGCCCAATCCCTCTGATCCTTCAGCTGGAACTTGGAATTTCTGGAACCCACAATGGCTCTGAGCCCTTTACTCCAGTTTTCCCAAAACAATGGAGCACATGGACACCACTCCTTCACCTGAGGGCTCCCAAGCCACATTTTGCTGGAGCAGCTCTGGAATTCTTCCTCCAGCATGACCCCAGTTCTAGTCCCTACTGCCCTTCCCAGAATGATCCCATTCCTAATCCCTACTCCCCAGCATGATCCCATACCCAATACCCACTGCCCTTCCCAGTGTGATCCCATTCCTAATCCCTACTGCCCTTCCCAGAATGATCCCATTTCTAATCACCACTGCCCTTCCCAGCATGATCCCATTCCTAATCCCTACTGTTTTTCCCAGCATGATCCCATTTCCAATCCCTACTCCCCAGCATGATTCCATTCACAACCCCCACTGCCCTTCCCAGTATGATCTCCTTCCTAATCCCCACTGCCCTTCCCAGTATGATCCCATTCCCAATCCCTACTGTTTTTCCCAGCATGATCCCATTCCTAATCCCTACTCCCCCAGCATGATCCCATTCCCAATCCCCACTGCCCTTCCCAGCATGATCCCATTCCTAATCCCTACTGTTTTTCCCAGCACGATCCCATTTCCAATCCCCACTACCCTTCCCAGCACGATCCCATTCCCAATCCCCACTGCCCTTCCCAGAATGATCCTATTCCTAATCCCTACTCCCCAGTATGATCTCCTTCCTAATCCCCACTGCCCTTCCCAGCATGATCCCATTTCTACTCCCCACTGCCCTTCCCAGTGTGATCCCATTCCCAATCCCCACTGCCCTTCCCAGTATGATCTCATTCCCAATCCCTACTCCCCAGCATGATTCCATTCACAACCCCCACTGCCCTTCCCAGAATGATCCCATTCCTAATCACCGCTGCCCTTCCCAGTATGATCCCATTCCTAATCCCTACTCTCCAGCATGATTCCATTCACAACCCTCACTGCCCTTCCCAGCACGATCCCATTTCCAATCCCCACTGCCCTTCCCAGTATGATCTCCTCCCTAATCCCCACTGCCCTTCCCAGTATGATCCCATACCCAATCCCCACTGCTCTTCCCAGAATGATCCCATTCCTAATCCCCACTGCCCTTCCCAGTATGATCCCATTCCTAATCCCTACTCCCCAGCAGGATTCCATACCCAATCCCCACTGCCCTTCCCAGCATGATCCCATTTCCAATCCCCACTGCCCTTCCCAGTGTGATCCCATTCCTAATCCCGTCTCCCCAGCATGATCCCATTCCCAATCCCCACTGCTGTTCCCAGAATGATCCCATTCCTAATCCCCACTGCCCTTCCCAGCACAATCCCATTTCTACTCCCCACTGCCCTTCCCAGTATGATCCCATTCGCAATCCCCACTGCCCTTCCCAGCATGATCCCATTCGCAATCCCCACTGCCCTTCCCAGCATGATCCCATTCCCAATCCCTACTCCCCAGCATGATCCCATACCCAATCCCCACTGCTCTTCCCAGTATAATCTCCTTCCTAATCCCCAGTGCCCTTCCCAGCATGATCCCATTCCTAATCCCTACTCCCCAGCATGATTCCATTCCCAGTCCCCACTGCCCTTCCCAGTATGATCCCATACCCAATCCCCACTGCCCTTCCCAGCATGATCCCATTCCTAATCCCTACTCCCCCAGCATGATCCCATTTCTACTCCCCACTGCCCTTCTCAGCATGATCCCATTCCTAATCCCCACTGCCCTTTCCAGCATGATCCCATTCCCAATCCCTACTCCTCCATCATGATCCCATTCCCAATCCCCACTGCCCTTCCCAGTGGGATCCCATTCCCAATCCCCACTGCCCTTCCCAGTGGGATCCCATTCCCAATCCCCACTGCCCTTCCCAGCATGATCCCATTCCTAATCCCTACTGTTTTTCCCAGCACAATCCCATTTCCAATCCCCACTGCTCTTCCCAGTATGATCCCATTCCCAATCCCCACTGCCTTTCCCAGTATGATCCCTTTCCTAATCACCACTGCCCTTCCCAGCATAATCCCATTCCCAATCCCCACCGCACTCCCAGCCCTCGATGACCATCCTGCCTGCTGGATCGGTCCGTGTCTCACAAACGGGGTTGGACCCTGCCTGGTTGCAGATTTAGGATTTATTATCCAAAAGCAAGAGACACAGAGAAAATACCAACATTTATGCAAATCCAGATCAAAGACAGGATGGCAGCTTATGCAAAGCCTTTTTCTACATATTCTTTGAACCGATAGCATAAAAGGAAAGGTGCAAAGTCATTATACTCTAACCAATAAGAAAAGGACCCACGTGGGTTTAACATTAACAAAAAGACTTCTATAAACCTCAAAAAATAATTCTTTATTTAAGACTGAAACTTCTTCTAGCTTTGCAAAGCATATATCTAGGACCTTTCACATCTTTTCATTAGTTTTTGTTATTTCTTGTTCTTTATGATAAATGTAAATGTATTCACTTGGTTCCGAAATTTTTAGCTTCCCATGAGAAGGTTTAGAAATTTCCCAGCCTTTCTTAGATTTATGTCTACTTTCTGAGGTCTTTTTGCACTTTCCAAAGTCTTTTACCCTTTTATATTCCTAAAATTCCCCCTCTCTTTTTCAACGTTAAATAAACTATCTTTGGCTTGTCACTTATTTGCTATTTTGTGTTACATAGCTTCACTACTGTATATATATTTTTAGCTTAGGAAAAAATGTTATAAATTTTCTATATAAAGATAATTTTTTGTTTACTTTAAGCTCTATCACTTCAAGTTCAAGCTTTATCAATGCTTTGTAAAATCAGGTTTTGACAAATCTCGACGTTTCTAAACTCTTAATTTAAAGGCTAAATTTGTGAGTGACTTTAATTGAATTTGTCCCCTGCTCCCCAGGACCTCCCGGAGAACGAGCTGCTGCACCCGCCCCTGAACATCCGCGTGGTGGACTGCCGCGCCTTCGGGCGCTACACCCTGGTGGGCTCCCACACCGTCAGCTCCCTCCGCAAGTTCATCTACCGCCCGCCCGACAAGAAGGCCCAGCACTGGAACATGGCAGGTACCAGGACACAGGAACCTGCTCTGGGACATCCAGGGCTGGGCTGGAGAGGGGCTGGGGACACAAACCCTGTGAGGAACCGCTGAGGGAGCTGGGGGTGCTCAGCCTGGAGAAAAGGAGACTCAGGGGTGACCTCAGCACTCCCCACAGCTCCTGAAAGGTGGCTGTGCTCAGGTGGGGTTGGGCTGCTTCTCCAGGAACTGGCAGAGCCAGAGGTCACAGCTTCAAGCTGCACCAAATTTAGGCTGGATATTAGGGAAAAGTTCTTTCCAGGAAGGTGATAAAGTTCTGGGATGGCTGCCCGGGGAGGTGGTGGAGTCACCTGGGTGTGTTTAACAAAGCCTGGATGTGGCTCTTGATGCCATGGTTGAGTTGAGGCGTTGGGGCTGGGTTGGACTCGATGCTCTTGGAGGTCTCTTCCAACCTGGTCATTATGTGAATTATGGGAATTCTATGAATTCCGTGAATTTCCAGGAACTGGGGAGGTGGTGGAGTCACCATCCCTGGATGTGTTAAAAAAAAAGCCTGGATATGGCACTGGTGCCAGGGTTGAGTAGAAGGGTTGGGGATGGAATGGACTTGATGGTCTTGGAGGTCTCTTCCAACCTGGTAATTCTGTGAATTCTGGGAATTTTGGGAACTCTCAGGAACTGGGGAGGTGATGGTATCACCATCCCTGGGTGTGTTTAACAAAGCCTGGATGTGGCACTTGATGCCAGGGTTGAGTTGAGGCATTGGGGCTGGGTTGGACTCAGTGCTCTTGGAGGTCTCTTGCAACCTGGTCATTATGGGAATTTTGGGAACTCCCAGGAACTTGGGAGGTGGTGGTATCACCATCCCTGGGTGTGTTTAACAAAGCCTGGATGTGGCACTGGGTGCCAGGGTTGAGTTGAGGGGTTGGGGATGGGATGGACTAGATGGTCTTGGAGGTCCCTTCCAACCTGGTCATTATGTGAATTATGGGAATTCTATGAATTCCGTGAATTTCCAGGAACTGGGGAGGTGGTGGAGTCCCCATCCCCGGGTGCGTTTAACAAAGCCTGGATGTGGCACTGGGTGCCAGGGTTGGGGATGGGATGGACTCAATGGTCTTGGAGGTCTCTTCCAACCTGGTCATTATGGGAATTCTGGGAATTTTGGGAATCCCCAGGGATCGAGGAGGTGGTGGAGTCACCATCGCTGGGTGTGTTTAACAAAGCCTGGATGTGGCACTGGGTGCCAGGGTTGAGTTGAGGCGTTGGGGCTGGGTTGGACTCAATGGTCTTAGAGGTCCCTTCCAACCTGTGATTCTGTGAATTCTGGGAATTCTATGAATTCCATGAATTTCCAGGAACTGGGGAGGTGGTGGAGTCACCATCCCTGGGTGTGTTTAAAACAAGCCTGGATGTGGCACTGGGTGCCAGGGTTGAGTTGAGGGATTGGGGATGGGATGGACTCGATGGTCTTGGAGGTCTCTTCCAACCTGGTCATTATGGGAATTTTGGGAACTCCCAGGAACTGGGGAGGTGGTGGTATCACCATCCCTGGATGTGTTTATAACAAGCCTGGATGTGGCACTGGGTGCCAGGGTTGAGTTGAGGGGTTGGGGATGGGATGGACTTGATGGTCTTGGAGGTCACTTCCAACCTGGTCATTATGGGAATTCTGGGAATTTTGGGAACTCTCAGGAACTGGAGAGGTGGTGGTATCACCATCGCTGGATGTGTTTAACAAAGCCTGGATGTGGCACTGGGTGCCAGGGTTGAGTTGAGGGGTTGGGGATGGGATGGACTCGATGCTCTTGGAGGTCTCTTCCAACCTGGTCATTATGGGAATTTTGGGAACTCCCAGGAACTGGGGAGGTGGTGGTATCACCATCCCTGGGTGTGTTTAACAAAGCCTGGATGTGGCACTGGGTGCCAGGGTTGAGTTGAGGTGCTGGGGCTGGGTTGGACTCGATGGTCTTTAAAGTCTGTTCCAATCTGTTGATTCTGTGATCCACGGGGAGACGAGGGAGGTGGGATGGGCTCTGAGACCATGAGATGGTTGGCCCACCCACAGAACTTCTGGTTTTGGGTCCAGAACTCCAAGAAAAAACCCAGCTTCAGCACTTTGGTGGTTCCAAGTGGTGTGAGGAGATCCCTAAAAATTTTTGTAGTCAAAATGAAAAACAAACAGGACTTCTAGGTTTTTTTTATCTTCAAATTATTGTTTATTTTTCCTCTGATTAAAAATTCTATGTGCTATTTACATCTAAGACTTAGCATATAAAAAAACACTGAAAGTTACAAAACACACAATTTAAAGTATTTTAAAACTATTTATTTAATTAATTCTTAAAATACACTTTTTTTTTCTACCTTTCTACCAATAACTAATTATTTGTTTCTCTACAGAACATCTACATTGTGATTATTTCTAACCAATCTTTTTATACTCCAAACACCATAAAAAATAGAATAAATGGAAAACAAAAAAGAGATCAAACACCCAAAATCCTTCATCTTATCTCCCACCCACCTCCTACTAAAACCCCAAAACTCTACATATTTCACCCTATAATAAACTATTTTACACACCTATAAATCCCCACTATCTATTTTCTACACTCATAGATTCCAATTCATCCCAAAGTTTTGGAAGCTTTCTCCATAAATAAAGATTAAAAATATAAACATAAACAAAGATTAAAAGTGTTCTCCTAAAAATCAAAACTTCTCAAAAAACCAAAAAAACAACAAAAAAAATTAAAAAAAAAACAAAAAACAGCACCCATCCAAGCAGCCAAGGGCTTTGGATCCTTGGGAATTGTTGCCCTGATTTTTAGAAGTCTTAAGTTTTCTTTTATAGCTATTTTGAAACTTTTAAAATTCTCATAAAACGTTTTTAGCCTTCTGATAATGTTTACATATTTTTACTGGAGTTCTCACTCACTGTTCACATAAACAATGATTGTTTTGCATTCTTCCTTGTGGGAGGAGAGAATTGATGGATTTTGGTTTGACCAGTGTGGTTGGAGAAGTGGCAATTCCATCCTCCAGTCCACAATCACCTTTGGAATTCTATAAATTAGCAGATGTTCAAATTAAACTTTCTCTTTTTTCTCTTCTGAGCTTACCAAGCTTCTGTGTACTCATTTCGTGTCCAATAGCGACAGGGAATTATTCCTGTCCTCCCAGTTTTGGGGCTGGAGGCTCCTGGCCTGAATCCTGTAGGATCTCACCTGAACTCTCAGTTCCCTGCCTGAATCCTGTAGGACCTCACTTGAAATCTTGGTTCCCAGCTTGAATCCTGTAGGATCTCAACTGAACTCTCAGTTCCCAGCATGAATTTCTGGCCTGAATCCTGTACGATCTCACCTGAACTCTCAGTTTCTGGCCTAAATCCTGTAGGATCTCATCTGAACTCTCAGTTCCCTGCATGAACCCTGTAGGATCTCACCTGAACTCTCAGTTTCTTGCCTCATTCCTGTAGGATCTCACTTGAAATCTCAGTTTCTGACCTGAATCCTGTAGGATCTCACCTGAACCCTCAGTTCCCAGCCTGAATCCTGTAGGATCTCACCTGAACTCTCAATTTCTGCCCTGAATCCTGTAGGATCTCCCTTGAAATCTTGGTTCCCAGCCTGAATCCTGTAGGATCTCACCTGAACTCTCAGTTCCATGCCTGAATCCTGTAGGATCTCATCTGAACTCTCAGTTCCCAGCCTGAATCCTGTAGGATCTCCCTTGAAATCTCAATTTCTGGCCTGAATCCTGTAGGATCTCCCTTGAAATCTCGGTTCCCTGCATGAACCCTGTAGAATCTCACCTGAACTCTCAGTTCCCTGCATGAACCCTGTAGGATCTCACCTGAACTCTCAGTTTCTTGCCTTATTCCTGTAGGATCTCACCTGAACTCTCAGTTCCCAGCATGAATCCTGTAGGATCTCACTTGAAATCTGTTTCCAGCCTGAATCCTGTAGGATCTCACCTTAACTCTCAGCTCCTGGCCTGAATCCTGTAGGATCTCAGCTGAGCTCTCAGTTCCATGCCTGAATCCTTTAGGATCTCACTTGAAAGCTTGGTTCCCAGCCTGAATCCTGTAGGATCCCCCTGGAAATCTTGGTTCCCAGCCTGAATCCTGTAGGATCTCACTTGAACTATCAGTTCCCTGCCTGAATCCTGTAGGATCTCCCTTGAACTCTCAGTTCCATGCCTGAATCCTGTAGGATCTCACCTGAACTCTCAGTTCCGTGCCTGAATCCTGTAGGATCTCACTTGAAATCTTGTTCCCAGCCTGAATCCTGTAGGATCTCACATGAACTCTCAGTTCCCTGCCTGAATCCTGTATGATCTCCCTTGAACTCTCAGTTTCTGACCTGAATTCTGTAGGATCTCACTTGAAATCTCAGCTTCTGGACTGAATCCTGTAGGATCTCCCTTGAAATCTGTTTCCAGCCTGAATCCTGTAGGATCTCCCTTGAAATCTCAGTTTCCAGCCTGAATCCTGTAGGATCTCACCTGAACTCTCAGTTCCCTGCCTGAATCCTGTAGGATCTCATCTGAACTCTCAATTTCTGGCCTAAATCCTGTAGGATCTCATCTGAACTATCAATTTCTGGCCTAAATCCTGTAGGATCTCATCTGAACTCTCAGTTCCATGCCTGAATCCTGTAGGATCTCACCTGAACTCTCAATTTCCAGCCTGAATCCTGTCGGATCTCCCTTGAAATCTCAATTCCTGGCCTGAATCCTGTAGGATCTCGCTTGAAATCTCGGTTCCCTGCATGAACCCTGTAGGATCTCACCTGAACTCTCAATTTCTGGCCTAAATCCTGTAGGATCTCACCTGAACTCTCAGTTCCATGCCTGAATCCTGTAGGATCTCCCTTGAAATCTTGGTTCCCAGCCTGAATCCTGTAGGATCTCACCTGAACTCTCAGTTCCCAGCATGAATCCTGTAGGATCTCACTTGAAATCTCAGTTCTCGGCCTGAATCCTGTAGGATCTAACCTTAACTCTCAGCTCCCGGCCTGAATCCTGTAGGATCTCATCTGAACTCTCAGTTCCATGCCTGAATCCTGTAGGATCTCACTTGAACTCTGTTTCTTGCCTCATTCCTGTAGGATCTCACTTGAAATCTCAGTTCCCTGCCTGAATCCTTTAGGATCTCCCTTGAAATCTCAATTTCCAGCCTGAATCCTGTAGGATCTCACCTGAACTCTCAGTTCCCTGCCTGAATCCTGTAGGATCTCCCTTGAACTCTCAATTTCTGGCCTAAATCCTGTAGGATCTCATCTGAACTATCAATTTCTGCCCTGAATCCTGTAGGATCTCACCTGAACTCTCAATTTCTGGCCTAAATCCTGTAGGATCTCATCTGAACTCTCAGTTCCATGCCTGAATCCTGTAGGATCTCCCTTGAAATCTCAATTTCTGGCCTGAATCCTGTAGGATCTCTCTTGAAATCTCAGTTCCCTGCATGAACCCTGTAGGATCTCACCTGAACTCTCAGTTTCCAGCCTGAATCCTGTAGGATCTCACCTGAACTCTAAGTTCCATGCCTGAATCCTGTAGGATCTCCCTGGAAATCTGTTTCCAGCCTGAACCCTGTAGGTTTCAGGTTCCCTGCATGAACCCTGTAGGATCTCACCTGAACTCTCAGTTTCTTGCCTTATTCCTGTAGGATCTCACCTGAACTGTCGGTTTCTCCTCTCCACTGTCCCTCTCCCTTGTTCCTTCTCCTTTTCTGTCCTCTGTCCAGCCAAACACCTCAACGGCTACCTGGCCATGACCAGCAGGGCCCATCGCTCTCGCCCCACAGGGGAGATCGTGGTCAACATGGAACCTGAAGTCCCCATCAAGAAGATGGACACGATGGTGAAGCTGGAAGCTGTGAGTATCCGTGTGGCAGCACCTCTTTCCTCAGGGAATTGCTGATTTCTGAGGGATTTCAGCCTGAATTGGGTAGGCAGCGTGTCCCAGGGGTGTCACACTCAATCTGCCCGTGCCCGTTTTTGTGTCCAGAATGGGAATTTCAGCTCCTTCTCCCACCCTTCTGCTCCTGAGCTTCCTCCACAAAAACAGATTCCTGCCAGGATGCTCCAAGGGCTGGAGCCCCTCTGCTCTGGAGCCGGGCTGGGAGAGCTGGGGGTGCTCACCTGGAGAGGAGAAGGATCCAGGGAGAGCTCAGAGCCCCTGGCAGGGCCTGGAGGGGATCCAGGCAGAGCTCAGAGCCCCTGGCAGGGCCTGGAGGGGCTCCAGGAGAGCTGCAGAGGGACTGGGGACAAGGGACAGAGGGACAGGACACAGGGAATGGCTCCCAGTGCCAGAGGGCTGGGTGGGAGATTGGGAATTAGGAATTGTGCCCTGTGAGGGTGGGAAGGAGCTGGGCTGGAATTCTCAGAGCAGCTGTGGCAGTCCCTGGATCCCTGTCAGTGCCCAAGGCCAGGTTGGATGGGACTGGGAACTACCTGGGACAGTGGAAGTTGTCCCTGCCATGGCAGGGGGTGGGATGAGATGGGCTTTAAGGTCCCTCTCAGTCAAACCGCCCTGGGACTGATGACTGGCACTCAGCTGAGGGCGTGTCCTTAACCTGCTCTCCTCTCCCTGTTCCCTTCCATCCCGGCGCGGCAGAATTCCGACGCAGTGGTGAAGGTGGATGTGGTAAGTGATGGATCTTTGCATCCCTGCTCCCAACTCTCTGCTCCCCCTCAAGGGATGTGGCAGTGGCCTCGTTCCTGCAGTTTGGGGAGCTCTTTTGGGCCAGGAGTTCTGATCCCAGCTGTCCCAGGATTTCTGATCACATCTGTCCCAGGACTTCTGATCCCAGCGGTCCCAGAACTTCTGATCCCATCTGTCCCACGAGTTCTGATCCCAGCTGTTCCAGAACTTCTGATCCCAGCTGTCCCAGGAATTCTGATCCCATCTGTCCCAGGACTTCTGATCCCATCTGTCCCAGAACTTCTGATCCCGTCTGTCCCAGGACTTCTGATCCCATCTGTCCCAGAATTTCTGATCCCATCTGTCCCAGAATTTCTGATCCCATCTTTCTCAGAACTTCTGATCCCATCTGTCCCAGAATTTCTGATTCCAGCTGTCCCAGGAGTTCTGATCCCATCTGTCCCAGAATTTCTGATCCCATCTGTCCCAGAATTTCTGATCCCATCTTTCCCAGAACCTCTGATCCCATCTGTCCCAGAATTTCTGATTCCAGCTGTCCCAGAACTTCTGATCCTAGCTGTCCCCTGTGGGAGGGATTTGGGAGTTCCCACCACAACCAGGTACCAGCTGGGAGAGGTTCCCTTGCTCCACCAAGGGGACCCAAGGTGCTTTGCTGGGCACAGTTTGACTCTTGCCATGGAAGATTCCAGAAATGTGGCCTGGGCAATGCACAGATAAATAGGATGATGGAAATGGGGAGGTGTTGTGGGACTGCCACATCTCTGGAAGTGTCCAAGGCCAGGCCAGATGGGGCTTGGAACAACCTGGAATGGTGGAAGGTGTCAGGATTGGAATTGGATGAGCTCTACGGTCCCTTCCCACCCAAAGCATTCCGTGATTCTGGCCCTTTCTCCAAAACCTTGGTCATCCTTGGGTGTTCTGTGCCTCAGTGTCTGTGGCTGTAAAAGGGAGAAAGTTCACGAGGCCCTCAAGCCTGGGGGGGTTCTCCCTTTCCAGGTGCTTCACCTCTGTACTTCCAGAAATTATTCCCTCTCCTTGATCCCTCCCCTTCCCTGTCTGTGCTTCCCTTCTCCCTTCAGACCGAGGAAGAGAAGGAGAAAAAGAAGAAGAAGAAGAAAGGAGGAGGAGGAGGAGGAGGAGGTGGGGAGGAAGTAGAGGAGGAGGAGCCAGACGAGAGCATGTTGGACTGGTGGTCCAAGTACTTCGCTTCCATTGAGACGATGAAGGAGGTGGGTGGATACACTGAGGGGTATCCAGGGGAGGTGGTTCCATTCCTGAGAGGTCTCCCCTAATTCCAGCTCCTTCCAAAGCCTTGAGGCTTGTGTGGAAACCCCCTGCCTTTCCAAGGATCCCCCTGATGGGGATGTTCAGGGGTGCAGACCCAAATCTCACTCTGACGTGGCTTTCGAGCTGAGCGTATTTTATATTCTATCGTTATATAACTTACACATTAATTATTAAACTTACATTGTTGTATTGTATACATTGAATTTCTTATGATCTTTCTCAAGCCCCTGACCACAGTTTCTCATGATTTTTCTTATGATTAAATAATAATTATATTTAATTACGAAACAATCATCGCATCTAACAATTATGTCATTTATCATATACTGGTTACACAGGTGAAGTTGAAGCAAGCACAAGGCCTGTACTTTCCCAGAATATTTTCCCAGAGCCTACTAAGCTTAATTTTTCCTTCTAACTCCCCAAATCCCTATGATTTTAAAACTTTTAAAATCCCTAAAAAGTTCTGTGTCAGTATTGAGAGACCAACAGGACTTTTGGTTTCTTTGGTCTTGAGGTTGTTGTTTATTTTTCTCTTACCAAAAGTTCAGCACGCTGTCTACATCTCAGACTTAGCATACAAAAAGAAAGGCACCAAAAGTCACAAAACACAAAGATTCAAGGTCTTTTAAAGCTATTTTGTCCAAATAACTCGTAGAATATATTTTATTTCTACCTTTTTACCAATAGTTAATTATTTGTCTGTTGATGCAACATCTGCATTGTTCTTCCTAACCAATCACTCTGTGCCGCCAACGCTGCAGAAAATGGAGCAGATGAAGAACAAGGAGAACAGACAACATCCCAAATCCTCCATCTTAAAAACCCAAAGTAAAAAACCATAGTAAAAACCTGAAACTCCAAGTTTTTCACCCTGTGATGAACTACACCACTATCTATTTCACACACTCATAGATTCCAATTAATCCCAAAATTTTGGAAGCTTTCTCCATGGATGAAGATTAAAACCAGTGTTCTCCTGGGGATCAGGACCTCTCAGGACAGGCAGAGATAAATTCCCTCTGCCCTGGGTTCCAACAGTTATGGAATCCCAATATTTTTCAGGCTGGAAAAGTCCTTGCAGACCATCGAGTCCAACCACTGCTAAGGCCACCACTGACCATGTCCCCAAGTGCCTTCATGTGGCTTCAAATCCCCCTAGGGATGGGAACTCCACCACTGCCTTTCCTCTGGGCAGCTTTTCCAGGAAAAGATTGTTCCTAACATCCAGTGGCTTCCCTCTCTCCCCCAGCAACTCCGGCAGCAGGAAGCGGCCGCGGCAGAAGCGGAGGAGAAGGAGGAGATGGAGATTGGAGAGGGTAAGGCTGGGAGTGAGAGAGGGAACACAGCAGGGAAAGGTGGGACCAAGATTCCTCTTGATGTTTGGACATCCCTTTGGGAATCTGCTGCGCCTCTCTGGCCAAACCAGACACTCCCAACGAGTCGTGTTTTCCCAAAAAGGGTCACTTTTTGTAGGTTTTTTGCAGGGTTTTTCCCTCCGTGTTGAACACTTTGTCTGCTGTCCTCATGCAGGCAGTGAAGACAAATACACAATTTAGGGCAAGTTCTCCCACCTAACTTATCAATTTATATCATTTTATATATTATATATATCATTCTCCACTTATTATAATTTTATAAAATTATGAGATTAATTATACCCTAAATGTGGTTTTCTCTGAAGGAAGTCGGGTCTGTAGGTCAGGTGGGCTTCTGACCTTGCCTAAATTTGGGGGGAGACTAATTTTGTCCCAAAAATGATGCCGGCCAAGAATCCTGGGAGTGGTTGGTCAAGGGTGACTTTGTCCACCCGGCCATGCCACCAGCAGGGCTGGGAAGGGTATCCCTGAGGAATTCCACCCTTGCCCTCCGTGTGCTCCATGTCCCCACAACAGGGGGTTGTTGTTGTGCCCAGGTGATGCAAAACCCTTCCGCTGAGTAAAACTCTGAGCCTGGTTTATTTTGGAAGATCAATCTTTGTATCCCGGGAAAAATGAGGTCTTGTCTTGCTGAGCTTGGAGACAACTCTGAGCAGGTTCTTCTGGGCTTCCACTGGTGTCCTCTGGGGTTTTCCTTCTTTCTCTTTAGAATGATCCATTTCCCTTGGCTCTCCCACTCCTTCCCCCTTTCCTCATCCGTGTTTTTCCATGTCTGTCCCCGTCACTGGAGAGTGTCCAGCCCTCAGAGAAGCTGAAAGAGGCACCAAGGGACAGGGATTGCAGAGTGAGGAGGAGTTTCCTTTGGATCCACCTTTTCCAGCAGCCTCTTCCCAGCTCCCTGTGGCTGGTGGTTGCTCCAAATGAGGCTCTGGTGACCTGTGGTTGCAGCCAGTCCCAGACAATCCGAGGGCAGAAGTGTCAAGCACTGTCCCCGCTGTGTTCCCAGGCTGGGGTTCCACTCCCCAGGCTCCATAAAGCAGGAGAAGTCTCTGGCAGGAGGAAGAAAATTCACAGAATTCACAGAATGACCAGGTTGGAAGAGATCTTCAAAATCATTGAGTCCAACCCTGCCCCAACCCTGGCACCCAGTGCCACATCCAGGCTTTGTTAAACACACCCAGCGATGGTGACTCCACCACCTCCCTGAGCAGCCATCCCAGAACTTTATCACCTTCCTGGAAAGAACTTTTCCCTAATATCCAGCCTAAATTTCCCAGGAGCTGTGGGGAATGCTGAGGTTTCCACCCCTGAGTCTCCTTTTCTCCAGGCTGAGCACCCCCAGCTCCCTCAGCGGTTCCTCACAGGGTTTGTGTTTGTGTTCCCAGCGCCTCTCCAGCCTCGTTGTCTCCTCTGGACACATCCCAACGTCCTTCCCAAACCGAGGGGCCAGAGCTGGGCACAGCCCTCGAGGTGTGACCTCACCAGTGCCCAGGACAGGGACAGAATGACCTCCCTGCTCCTGCTGGCCACACCGTTCCTCCTGTGGGCAGGATCAGGTTTTCTCACTGCTGTTAGAGTGCTCTGTCCACGTTTTGTAGTCCTCAAAGTGATTCCTGCTCAGGTCAGCCCTGGAATTCCCTACACAGAGATCTCCGGGCTTCTGGAGATGCTGCGATCCAGAGCCAAGGAAAGACAGGACACAGCTGGGATGGGATGGGACCTGCAGGCAGTGGCAGCTGGCAGCTTTCATGCTCCTCTTTTTGGAGGACCTTGTCCAAGCCCTGCCAGGTCTCCCCCACCTCTTAGCACCCTCATTTCCCTTCCCTCCATCCTCCCTCCCTCCTTTCCCTGTCCTCCCTCTGCACTGCTTCCCCTGGACTCGGAGCAATGCCAAACTTGGTGACTCTCCCATGAAAGGTTCCAAGGCCCAGGTGAAGAACAAGGACAAGGACAAGTCCAAGGCACCCAAAGATGACAAGAAAAAGAAGCAGCAGCCTGTCCCTGAGCTCCCAGAGAAGAAGAACAAGCAGAAGATCGATGAACTCAAGGTACGGAGGGGATGCTTCCAAGGAAGTTCCAAATCGTGGGGATGATGTTCCTTGGGACATCTCTCCTAGGGATTTATCTTGGGATGAGACTTCCCAGCTTCTCTCTGTGGATGGAAGGAGTCCGAGGTCATTAGAAAAGGGGTTTTCCTGGGATCGGCTCATCCCTGGGGCAGCTTGGAGGTGTCCCAGCTCCAAGGGGGAATTTATGGCTGGTGCAGCCAGGATTCAGGACAGGGGTGGGCTCTGGTTCAGTGATCCCAAGGATTTCTCAGGATTCATGTCCCCTGTGGTTCTGGGGTTCAAATGGGGTTTAGACCCGAATCTAGCACAGAGGGGGAACAATGGCCCCACCCATTGCTCCAAGATTCCCTTTTCCCAACCCAATAATGCTGGAGGATCCTTCTCCTTCCTAGCAAAATTACCCACTGGGAGCTGAGCTGTCCACGTTCACAGAATCCCAGGATCACTGAGGCTGGAAAATCCCTCCCAGACCATCCAGTCCAGCTGTGCCCAATCCACACTTTGTCCCCAGCCCAGAGCTGTGAGTGCCACATCCAAGTTTTCCTTGGACACCTCCAGAGATGGGCACTCCAACCCTCCCTGGGCAGCCCCTGCCAAGCCTGAGCACCATTTCCACGAGGAAATTATTCCCAATATCCAATCTGAACATTCCTGGCACAGCTTGAGGCCGTTTCCTCTTATGTTGTCCCTTGTTCCTTCTGAGCTGATTGAGTACTCACCACGTCTTTTGCTCACCTTTCTTTTTATCCCAAATTCCCTCCTTTTAAATTTTTTTTCATCTCAGGTCTTCAACAAAGAGCTGGAAACAGAGTTTGACAACTTTGAGGATTGGCTGCACACCTTCAACCTGCTCCGGGGGAAGATTGGGGACAACGATGACAACGCCACGGAGGAGGAGCGGATAGTGGGGAGGTTCAAAGTGAGTGGTTAGGAATGCCAGCCGGGATTTTGGGGAGGGTGTTTTGGGATGGATTTGTCTCCTCGGAGGCCCTGGGCAGCAGGACTCAGTCAGGCCATGTTCTCCCTCACACCAGGGTTCCATGTGCGTCTACAAAGTGCCGCTCCCCGATGACATCAGCAAGGAGGCAGGATATGACCCCACCTTCGGGATGTTCCAGGGGATCCCCAGCAACGACCCCATCAACGTGCTGGTCCGAGTCTACATCGTGCGGGTGAGTGGGAATTTGGGATGTGGCAGGCGGGATCTGGCCCTCCCTAACAGTGTTCTCAGGGATGGAGAACCGTCCCATCCCTCCTCAGGGATGGAGAACAAGCCCATCCCTCCTCAGGGATGGAGAACCGTCCCATCCCTTCTCAGGGATGGAGAACCGGCCCATCCCTCCTCAGGGATGGAGAACCGGCCCATCCCTCCTCAGGGATGGAGAACCGTCCCATCTCTTTTCACGGATGGAGAACTGGCCCATCCCCTCCTCAGGGATGGAGAACTGTCCCATCCCTTCTCAGGGATGGAGAACTGGCCCATCCCTCCTCAGGGATGGAGAACCGTCCCATCCCTTCTCAGGGATGGAGAACTGGCCCATCCCTTCTCAGGGATGGAGAACCGGCCCATCCCTCCTCAGGGATGGAGAACCATCCCATCCCTTCTCAGGGATGGAGAACCGTCCCATCCCTTCTCAGGTATGGAGAACTGGCCCATCCCTCCTCAGGGATGGAGAACAGGCCCATCCCTTCTCACGGATGGAGAACCGGCCCATCCCTCCTCAGGGATGGAGAACCGGCCCATCCCTTCTCAGGGATGGAGAACCAGCCCATCCCTTCTCACTGATGGAGAACCATCCCATCCTTCCTCAGGGATGGAGAACCGGCCCATCCCTTCTCAGGGATGGAGAACTGTCCCATCCCTTCTCAGGGATGGAGAACTGTCCCATCCCTTCTCAGGGATGGAGAACTGGCCCATCCCTTCTCAGGGATGGAGAACCGGCCCATCCCTCCTCAGGGATGGAGAACTGTCCCATCCCTTCTGAGGGATGGAGAACTGTCCCATCCCTTCTCAGGGATGGAGAACTGTCCCATCCCTTCTCAGGGATGGAGAACTGTCCCATCCCTTCTCAGGGATGGAGAACAGGCCCATCCCTCCTCAGGAATGGAGAACTGTCCCATCCCTCCTCAGGAATGGAGAACCAGCCCATCCCTTCTCAGGGATGGAGAACCGGCCCATCCCTTTTCAGGAATGGAGAACCGGCCCATCCCTTCTCAGGGATGGAGAACCGGCCCATCCCTCCTCAGGGATGGAGAACCGTCCCATCCCTTCTCAGGGATGGAGAACCGTCCCATCCCTTCTCAGGGATGGAGAACCGGCCCATCCCTCCTCAGGGATGGAGAACCGGCACATCCCTTCTCAGGGATGGAGAACTGTCCCATCCCTTCTCACGGATGGAGAACCAGCCCATCCCTTCTGAGAGATGGAGAACCGGCCCATCCCTTCTCAGGGATGGAGAACTGGCCCATCCCTTCTCAGGGATGGAGAACCGGCCCATCCCTCCTCAAGGATGGAGAACCGGCCCATCCCTTCTCACGGATGGAGAACCGGTCTATCCCTTCTCACGGATGGAGAACAGGCCCATCCCTCTCAGGGATGGAGAACTGTCCCATCCCTTCTCACGGATGGAGAACCGTCCCATCCCTTCTCACGGATGGAGAACCGTCCCATCCCTTCTCAGGAATGGAGAACTGTCCCATCCCTTCTCAAGGATGGAGAACCAGCCCATCCCTTCTCATGGATGGAGAACCGGCCCATCCCTTCTCAGGGATGGAGAACTGTCCCATTCCTTCTCAAGGATGGAGAACCGTCCCATCCCTCCTCACAGATGGAGAACTGTCCCATCCCTTCTCAGGGATGGAGAACTGTCCCATCCCTTCTCAGGGATGGAGAACTGGCCCATCCCTCCTCAGGGATGGAGAACCGGCCCATCCCTTCTCAGGGATGGAGAACTGTCCCATCCCTTCTCACGGATGGAGAACAGGCCCATCCCTCCTCAGGGATGGAGAACCGGCCCATCCCTCCTCAGGGATGGAGAACCGTCCCATCCCTTCTCACGGATGGAGAACTGTCCCATCCCTTCTCAGGGATGGAGAACCGGCCCATCCCTCCTCAGGGATGGAGAACCGGCCCATCCCTCCTCAGGGATGGAGAACTGTCCCATCCCTTCTCAGGGATGGAGAACCGGCCCATCCCTCCTCAGGGATGGAGAACCGGCCCATCCCTCCTCAGGGATGGAGAACTGTCCCATCCCTCCTCAGGGATGGAGAACCGGCCCATCCCTTCTGAGGGATGGAGAACCGGCCCATCCCTCCTCAGGGACGGAGAACTGTCCCATCCCTTCTCAGGGATGGAGAACCGGCCCATCCCTTCTCACGGATGGAGAACCGGCCCATCCCTCCTCAGGGATGGAGAACTGTCCCATCCCTTCTTAGGGATGGAGAACTGGCCCATCCCTGAGTCCTTGGCTGCTGTGGACAGCGCTGACCCATCCCGTCTGTTCCCTGCAGGCCACGGACCTCCATCCGGCCGACATCAACGGGAAAGCCGATCCCTACATCGCCATCAAGCTGGGCAAGACGGACATCAAGGACAAGGAGAACTACATCTCCAAGCAGCTAAACCCCGTTTTTGGGAAGTAAGTCTGTGCCCAGAACCGCCAAGCTGAGCCTGAACTTGCCAGACCTCAGACCTTCAGCTGAGGTGTCCCACGGCTGTTCCTTGAGCTGGAATGGTGGGATTTATCCCACAGGGTGGGATCCTTCCAGGATGTCCTCTTTGGCCAGCGTTTGGTCAATGTAGCACTGTGTGTTTAAGAGATGAACTTGAAATTTATCTGATCAAGGTGAAACACCCGCTTAAGAGTAATTCGACCTAAATTTGAGTGAGAATAAGACACAAACTCAGCTTTAGGGGTGTTGGGACATCCAGATCAAGGATTTTCCCTCCTGTCAAGTGCTGGTGGTTGAGTTAAACCCCACCTCAGATGTCCTGCAGCGATGGATGCAGACTTGTCATGGTTTGATATTGGCGCGATGATTCTTATGAAAATGTTCTTTCTTTAACTGAATGCTGTGAGATGTGCTCAGGAACAGAGTAGTGCAGGCCTGAGCTTAAAAGTAGGGGAGAAAACTTTATTATTTTATAACTACAACAAAAAGAATATACAGAATTTAGGATGAAGACTTTTTAAAACATTCTTCTTATTATTATTTAATTTTTACTAAAACACAGTGAGACACAACTTTGGGTTTTTGATTAAGTTGTAGTCCATCCATGGACTGGATCTGTCCTGAGTGGCAGCCAGACCTGCAGCAGCTTTTCTCTGCTTCCCCCAATCCCAGATCCTTCGACATCGAGGCCACCTTCCCCATGGAGTCCATGCTGACCGTGGCCGTGTACGACTGGGACTTGGTGGGCACTGACGACCTGATCGGGGAGACCAAGATCGACCTGGAGAATCGCTTCTACAGCAAGCACCGGGCGACCTGCGGCGTGTCCCAGACCTACTCCATGTACGGGAAAACCTGTCCCACCTCCCACCTGGACCCTCCTCTGTGTCACCTCCCACCCAGAACTCCCACAGGAATCTCCCCCCATCGTTGCCTGCTGATCCTGGAATTATTTGTTTTGGGAAAAACCTCACGCCGTCCATTCCCACCAGAGGCAGGGATGAATGGAGGAGTTTGTGCTGTCCCTGGTTTTGTCATCAGCATTAGGGAGTGGTGGAATGGGTCATCAGGAGCCCGGGGCTGAGGGGAGGGACTGGTGGGACTGGGAAGAGTGGTAAGTGATGAAATGGGAGCAGAGCAAACGGGGTGATGCCAAGCATCAGGAATCAAGTGGGATGCACTGGGAATTCCAGGTCTGAGCCAAAGTGGGGTGAATGGTGTTTGAAAAGAGCAGAGGGTTCAAATCTGAGCTGAAATTTTACCTTTGCTGCCTCAAATTCTTTCCCTGGGAATTCTGGGTGCTTCATGGTGCAGTGGGGTTTTTTTTTTTCTGGCTAAAAGGGAAAAAGTTTCCTTTGTCCTCGCTACGTTTTTTGGCTGATCTTGCTCTCCTTCCCAGCCACGGGTACAACACCTGGCGTGACCCCATGAAGCCTTCCCAAATCCTGTCCAAGCTGTGCAAAGAGGGAAAAGTGGATGGGCCGCACTTCGGGCCAGGGGGAAGGGTGAAAGTCGCCAACAGGGTCTTCACCGGCCCCACGGAGATCGAGGACGAAAATGGTATGGCCCTGTGGGATCATCCCATGGGATGGAGGTGCTGGAGCAGAGCGGGGGTCTGGGGGAGTCTCCTCATCATCCAGTTGGAATTTCAGAAGTTTGAATCGTGGAGTGGTTTGAAATGGACCTTTGAAGGCCATCCAGTCCATCCCCCCGAGACTGGTGTGGTGGGTCCATCACCCAGCCCTGCAGTCACCATCTCAGTATGGACCAGTCCTACTGTAATTCCTCCTGGAATCACTCAGGACATCCACGGACACCTGAAGCTGCCTCTGGAAATGCCCTCTGAGCAGTGCATGTCCAAAGAGCCATGGAGACACCTCAAGGCTTTTCCACTCAGGAGATTGTTATCCATGGGAATGCATTCCCAAACAATGGGAGATGAAGGTTGTGTCCCAACGCGCTCACGTGTGCCCAAGAAAGAGGGAGACAGGCCCGGAGGGGTGAGGAAAAGAAGGAAAATGTGGTCAGCAGACATGGGACTGGTTCAGACAGGGAAAACTGAGCAGGGGTCTGAACCTTCAACAGGGATTGGAGAGACATAAGAGGAGTTAGGAAGTGCCAGCTGAGGGACAAAGTGTTCCCAAGGGACGGAGAGGATGAGGCAGTTCTGCACCTCAGGACAGTTCTGCATCCCTTGAGACAGTTCTGCAACCCTTGGGACAAAGTGTTCCCACAAAGGATGGAGGGGATGAGGCAGTTCTGCACCTTGGGACTGTTCTTCAACCCTTGGGAACACTTTGTCCCAAGGGATGGAGAGGATGAGGCAGTTCTGCACCTCAGGACAGTTCTGCACCTTGGGACAGTTCTGCAACCCTTGGACAAAGTGTTCCCAAGGGATGGAGAGGATGAGGCAATTCTTCACCTTGCAGCACGGGTGGAGGCCCTGGGTGCTTTGCTGTCCCTGTGTCCCTGTCCCAGCTGTCCCTGTCCAAGCTCTCCTTTGTCCTCCAGGCCAGAAGAAGCCGACGGACGAGCACCTGGCGCTGGCGGTGCTGCGGCACTGGGAGGACATCCCACGGGCTGGCTGCCGCCTCGTCCCCGAGCACGTGGAGACACGGCCGCTGCTCAACCCCGACAAGCCGGGCATCGAGCAGGTCTCACATTCCAACGGGAATTCCACATTCCATGGGGGCCAACGCAGCCCTAGCCCACCTTGGGTCACCCCGGGAAGCCAGCAGAGAAAATCTCCAGTGCCTCCTGATCCATCCTCATCCATTTCACATCCCACAGTTCCTCCTGATTCCTCACACCTGGGCACCTGGGAGCAAAATTCCCAGCAGATTCCCAAGCAGAAGGGACTGGGAATACAAAAGGCAATGCTGGGAATTCCCTGGAGACCCCAAACCTCCTGGAGTCCTCAGGAGAACTCTGAGCCCGTTTTGGGGAGGAATCACAGCCCTGTTGAGGAAAGGGGAGAAAGCAGGAGCAGAGCTGGGTTCTCAGTGTTTTGCAGACCCAATTTTGGTCAGAAATCCCCCAAAATCCAATCCTGGGCTGCCCCATTGAGCCCTTGGCAAGTTCTTTGCAGAAGTTGGGAGAAGAGGAGGGAAAGCTCCACGTTAGCTCACCCTGGTGAGGCTGAGAGACCACGTGGAGATCATGGAATCATGGAATGGTTTGGGCTGGAAGGGCGTTAAAACCCATCCAATTTCACCCCCTCCATGAGGTGCTTCTGCAGGGGTGGAGAAGAATTTGTGGCTGGAGTGATGGCTGTGGAAAGAGGGGGACACGGGTGGGGAGGGGACAGGAGGGACAAGGGGAGCTGATTGTGCCTCTCCCACCCCGCAGGGCCGCCTGGAGATGTGGGTGGACATGTTCCCCATGGATATGCCAGCGCCCGGCCCTGCCATCGATATTTCTCCCAGGAAACCAAAGAAGTAAGGAACAGCCCAGCCCACCCATCCCAGGGAGAACGGGAGGTTGGGGGTGGACATTTGGCTTCTCCCATCTCCTACCGCTGCTCCATGGCCAGCCCAGCCCTCTGTTGGGGTTCCTCATCCATGCTGGCATTCCCAGAGATCCCAACACTGGAGGCAGCTCCAGAGCTGCTCCTGAGGGTGGGATCCCACATCTTCCATCCCCTGCAGATCCCGATCTTTCTTGCCCATGTGAACTGGGAAATTCCAGAAGAAATTCCAGAGCAGAGTGCCCAGCCCTGAGCCTCTCCTGGGCATGGGCAGGGTTATCCCAGGGCAGTTCAGATGGAGCTTTTCCAGGAGGTGATGGACAGCAGGATGGGTGGTGGAGGCCACTGGGACAGCCGATCATTCCAAGCAGGAAAAAGCAGACACAGGCAGCACACGGAGGGGGAAGAAGGAGATTTCTTCCCTCAATATCCCTTTTAGTTCTTTCTTACCCTGCTGGTCTTGGTGCTTTGTCGGAATCTGTGGGTATTGGTGATTCCGAGATTGTAGAAAGTCTCTGTCTTTCTGCCCCGTTGCCAAAGCAGAAGCCATAATTTTTCTGTGCTGGTTCCAAGGTTGTTTATTCTGTTTATCTCTAACATGTTCTGCTGCCCTGCCGCAGCTCTGTCCTGCAGGGCAGCGTGTGGGGCTCTGCCCCCAGTGGGATGTTACAAACATTATATACCAGAAATTACGTGTACTATATTTAAAATAATGTGCCAATATCTATCATCTACGTTGAACAGTGTGTCCCCAGCCTAAACCAATAGAAAAATGCCAACATCACCAAGAACATGGAGGTAAGGAAGAAGAAGGAGGAAGAAAAGGATCAGGCCCACTTTCCTCCATCTTAGAACTCCTGACCCCCCTGTACAAAGTAAAACCCCCCTGTACAGGTGTTAAAACCCCCCTGTACAATACTAAAAAATTTTTACCCTCTAATTTGTGACTACTTTTACTATACCATCTAACTCTCTGTGACCGCTTGTTCCACCTTCAAAGTTGGTAATTCATTCCATGGTTCAAACTCAAGATCACAGCTGTTTTCTGCTGCTTGCCAGGGTCTAAAAATGCTTCTGACCAAGGCCTGGAACCTCTGAAAATATCTGAGGGACATTTTGAGTTCCGACAGTGCTTGAGCCCCTTTTCCTGCCCCCGGGGCTGGAATACAGGGATGGCACTGGGAATCCCGATGGGAGCCTCCTGTGCATCCCAGGGGCAGCGATGCCTCGGGTGGAGAGAAACTGGGTAGGAACACTGATTTTTGTGTCCACTAATTTTGCTAATTTGAGAGTTTCTTCATTTTAAGATTTCTTGGTTAATGTATTGAAGAGTGTGGTAGGTTTTGGTATTGGTTAATTACTAGTGTATTTATTTCTTGTTGTGAGATAGGATTGGGAGAAAGGTACAGGAGGCTTAAAACTTTAAAAGGGTATAAAGGAAACTTTATTAATAGTGCTTAAAAGGAAAAAAAAAAGTAGTAAGAATGAAGATAAACTTTTTAAAACACCTTTCCTCTCCCTACAACTTTTTTTTTTCCTGCTGATAATGTAAAGAAACAAAACTTAAATTTTCTGGTTAGTTTACTGCCTCTAAAATAGCCTTTTTTTTTTAGATTACTTAGGGAGAGAAGTCCTTCTTGTTAATGTTATGGAGACTTCTTTACAAGAGAAAAACCAATTTTTTCATGGTTCTTAATTTGGTCTTAATTATCAGTTGCCTGGGGGAAATCTGCTATCGTGAAGTTCTCCTTATTTCCCACAAGCCTTCCCACAGCTCATTTACGGGTTACATTTATGGTTTATGTTTCACCATCAAGAAATTCCCAGCCAAGCAGAAGTGATGGGAAGCTCCCAGACCTACTGGAAATTCCCTGGAGATCCCAGAAAACTTCCTGAGGTCCTCAGGAGGACTCTGAGCCTGTTTTGGGGGGGATCACAGCCCTATTGAGTAAAGCGGGGAGAGCAGGAACAGAGTTGGGCTCTGGTTGTTTTGCAGACCCAATTTTGGTCAGAAATCCCCCAAATCCAGTCCTGGGTTGCCCCATTGAGCCTTTGGCAAGCTCTTTGCAGAGGTTGGGAGCAGAGGAGGGAAAGCTCCCATTGGTGCTTGGCTTTCCCTGGTGAGGCTGATCTGAGAGCTCACGTGAAGATCATGGAATCATGGAATGGTTTGGGTGGGAAGAGACTTTAAAGCTCATCTTGTTCCACCCCCTGCCATGGGCAGGGACACCTTCCACTGTCCCAGTGCTCCCAGCCCCATCCAAGCCTTGGGCACTGCCAGAGATCCGGGGGAAGCCACAGCTGCTCTGGGAATTTCCTCTCCACCCTCCCAGGAAACCATTCCTAATTTCAAATATCCCATCCATCCCTGCCCTCTGGCAGTGGGAGCCATTCCCTGGGTCCTGTCCTTCTGTCCCTTGTCCCCAGTCCCTCTGCAGCTCTCCTGGAGCCCCTCCAGGCCCTGCAAGGGGCTCTGAGCTCTCCCTGGATCCTTCTCCAGGTGAACACTCCCAGCTCTCCCAGCCTGTCTCTATAGGAAGAGTTCCATCCCTGTAATCATCTCCATGCTTGAGAACCCCTCCTGTCCCTGATCCTGCCCTCTGGACCCCTGGGACAGATCCCTGTGAGCAATTCCCTGTTCCTGGCAGCCAGGCCCTGTTTTCTGACAGCACCACCCCATCTCCTCCTATCCCATTCCCTGCTCCAATTCCCTGTTCCAATTCCCTGTTCCTATCCCCTCCTATCCCATTCCCTGCTCCCATTCCCTGTTTCAATTCCCCATTCCTATCCCCTCCTATCCCATTCCCTGTTCCCATCCCCTCCTATCCTATTCCCTGCTCCCATTCCCCATTCCCGTTCCCCATTCCCATCCCCCCATCCCATTCTCCGTTTCCATTCCCCACTCCTATTCCCCGTTCCCATTCCCATTCCCCATTCCCATCCCCTCCTATCCCATTCCCCATTCCCATTCCCCATTTCCCATTCCCATTCCCCGTTCCCATCCCCTCCTATCCCATTCCCTGCTCCCATTCCCCACTCCCATTCCCCGTTCCCATCCCCTCTTATCCCATTCCCCGTTCCCATTCCCCATTCCCATCCCCTCATCCCATTCCCTGCTCCCATTTCCCACTCCCATTCCCCATTCCCATTCCCCATTCCCATCCCCTCCTATCCCATTCCCCGTTCCCATTCCCCATTCCCATTCCCCATTCCCCATTCCCATCTTCTCCTATCCCATTCCCCATTCCCTGCTCCCATTCCCCATTCCCATTTCCCACTCCCATTCCCTGTTCCCATCCCCTCCTATCCCATTCCCCGCTCCCATTCCCCATTCCCATTCCCTGCTCCCATTCCCCATTCCCATTTCCCATTCCCATTCCCCATTCCCATCCCTTCCTATCCCATTCTCTGCTCCCATTCCCCATTCCCATCCTCTCTTATCCCATTCCCCGTTCCCATTCCCCATTCCCATCCCCATTCCCATCCCCTCCTATCCCATTCCCCATTCCCATTCCCCATTCCCATTGCCCATTCCCATTCCCTGTTCCCATCCCCTCCTATCCCATTCCCCGCTCCCCATTCCCATTTCCCATTCCCATTCCCCATTCCCATCCCCTCTTATCCCATTCCCCGTTCCCATTCCCCATTCCCATCCTCTCCTGCTCCCATTCCCCATTCCCTGCTCCCATTCCCCATTCCCATTCCCCATTCCCATTCCCATTCCCATCCTCTCCTATCCCATTCCCCATTCCCTGCTCCCATTCCCCATTCCCATTTCCCATTCCCATTCCCCACTCCCATTCCCCATTCCCATCCCCTCCTATCCCATTCCCTGCTCCCATTCCTCACTCCCATTCCGCACTCCCATTCCCTGTTCCCATTCCCTCTCCCGTGCCTCACCTCCTTTCCCTCCCTGGGCAGGTACGAGCTCAGGGTGATCGTGTGGAACACCGACGAGGTCATCCTGGAGGACGACGACTACTTCACCGGCGAGAAGTCCAGTGACATTTTTGTCAGGGGGTAGGTACAGCCCGGAATTCCGGAATTCCTCCGGCGCCTCCTCCGCCTCTCCCGGGGTGGGAGTGGGACACGGGTGGTGCTGAGGGACCCAAAACCAGCCAGGACTGGGTGGGTGTGTTCTCATCTGCTGCTGTGCCACTCTTGGAGGTGGGACTGGAGAGTTTGGGGGTCCTCAGACCCTCTCTGGGGAGAACCCAGCATGGAGAGGACACGAGGGGAAGGGTATAGAAAAAATGTGGTGAATCCCAGATTCGGGAAGAAATGGTGATGTCTGCTCCAGATCAGAAGGCTGAAGGATTGCTTTATTGAAACTATACTATATTGCATTAATATACTATTTAAATAGATACTTTCATATTCTACATACTTATTTCTTGCTTATCTGTCGAACTACAAACTTGTGACTCTGTGCTGAGAGCCCGAGCCACAGCTGGATCCATTGGTCACTGACCCCAAAAAACCTTCACCAGAATCCAATCCAGCTGCTGAGAGCCCGAGCCACAGCTGGATCCCATCAGTCACTGACCCCAAAAAACCTTCACCAGAATCCAACCCAGCTGCTGAGAGCCCGAGCCACAGCTGGATCCATTGGTCACTGACCCCAAAAAACCTTCACCAGAATCCAATCCAGCTGCTGAGAGCCCAACACAGCTGGATCCATTGGTCACTGACCCCAAAAAACCTTCACCAGAATCCAGCCCAGCTGCTGAGAGCCCAACACAGCTGGATCCCATTGGTCACTGACCCCAAACAACCTTCACCAGAATCCAATCCAGCTGCTGAGAGCCCGAGCCACAGCTGGATCCATTGGTCACTGACCCAAAAAAACCTTCACCAGAATCCAACCCAGCCATCACTGCAGGTGAACGATCTCCAACCACATTCCACATGGGTGAAACAAAGGAGCAGAGATAAAGATTGTTTTCTCTTCTTCTCTCTGTGCTTCTCCTGAGAGACAGAACTGTGTCTGTCTGTCCAGAAAATGTGAATGCCACGGAAGGGGATGGATGTCTCATCATCTTGGCCAGGTTCTTGCTGGGGGTGTTTCCTTAGAGTCTCTTTCTTGCCTCTGCTGAGATTCCAAAGACGCTGCTGGCGTCTCCTTCCTCTCCCCCTCCCCTTGGCTGCATGTGAAAAACGACAACCGCTTGTTTTGAAATTTTAAATGTTTTAATTGTAATAAAATAGTTATAAAAATAGCAATAAAAATTGGAGCAATAAGGATTTGGACAGAGTTAGGACAATAAAAAGCAAAGAATTTCCTCTTGAAAGCATGTCTCACTAACAAAGGATTAACCCTTAAAAGCAACGGCCTGTTGCATATTCATATATCTCATACATTATTCATAAATTCTTTTCAAACAAAGGGTGTTCTCTGGTTATCATCAACTTCTTCCCCTTAATCCTGGTGGATCCTTAAAGGCAGAGAGGAGGTGGAGGAATGTTTGTCTTTTCCCATAAGGAAGCAGTAGCTCTTTAGGTGTCTTGTTGCTGTTATCTCTGTGTGAAGAATCTCTTGATTATCTCATCCCTTTCTTGAGTTTCTTAAAAAGAAAATCTCACATTGCATAGTTTCTATTATAACATTATGTTATAACCTAAAACTGTATCTACCACACTGCTTAAAAAGGACTAATACAGCACTAAAAAATAACTTTCCAACATAATACATCCAGTATTCAGTTTAGTATTTGTGAAGAGCCAATAATCTAATGTGCATTTCTCACCCATCCAGTGGGCTCCGCTTGGAGCTGCTTGTCTGGAACACCACTGGGGTGGTTTTGTCTCGAGGTCTGGGATGTTGAGGTGACCCTGAGAATGTAAAAAGTCATTTTCTCCCAGCCTGTGCAGCCAAAGAAAAAGTCTGAAATGTATAGAGTCGGCTTCTCAAGGTTGTTTATTTTTCCTTACCTACAACATTCTTTCTCTGACCTGCTGAGCTCCATCTAGCAGGTCGTCCATGACATTCTGTCTGCCCTCTAGGGCAGTGTTTACATTTTATAACAAAACCAACATTTACTATGTTCACAATATTGTGCCAGTATCTATAATTTATGTTAGACCAATAGAAACATTGGGCAGCACAAAAGCCCAGCCAGGGCTGCACCCAAAATGAACCAAAATGGTCCCAAAATGCACGCGTGCTCCCAGGGACTCTCACTGTGATCAGTTCTGATCCATTTGCATATTGGGGTTAATTGTCCAATAAATTCCATCCTTGTTTTTCTCTCTCCAGCCCATGTTGTTTGTGTTCTTGGGCTGAGATTTGGATCATTTGTCCTTGGTGCCCAGCTGGAGAAGGAATTGTTTTGTCCCCCTGCTCTGTGCAAAGATCTCACCATCCCATAATATGAAGCCCAGACCCACCCATTAAAGCAGCACAGAATGTGAAAAAAATAAAAGCTAAAACCTGAGGCATCGCTCGGTCCCCTCTGCCCCTCTCTGAGCTTCTCTTGATGTCCCCTCGTGGCATTTCCACCCTGCCAGTGCCAGTCCCAGAGTCTGGAGCCAAGCTGGTGGTGCCTCTTCTGGTGGTTTGTTCCCATCTCTGCCTCACCCTCCTACAGCAGGAAGGGAAAGCCCCTTCCAGAACTTCACCACATCAGAGAGTCATGGAATCATGGAATGCTTAGGGTGGAAAAGGACTTTAAACCTCATCCCAGCCCTTGTCATGGATGGGGACATCTTCCACTGTCCCTGGCTTCTCCAGGCCACGGTTCTCTCTCAACAGACAAATCCTATGGGATGGAGGTCCAAGGAATTCAAGGAAAACCCTGAGCTCTGAGGAGAACTTGGAGCCATCCCAGCAGCTCCATCCCTCTGGAATGTGAGGAACTTCCATCCCTGGAAGTGTCCAAATCCGGGTTGGACCAGGCTTGGAACAGTTGTGGACACTGACAGGGATCCAGGGGCAGCCACAGCTCCTCTGGGCACCCTGTGCCAGGGCCTGCCCACCCTCACAGGGAACAATTCCTAATTCCCAATATCCCACCCGAATCTCCCATCTTCCAGTGGGAAGCCATCCCCACCATCCTGACTCTCCAGGTTGTCCAAAGTTCTGATCCCTTTCCATCCTGCTCTGCTCCAGCCTCCCTAGCTTTGCTCCCAGCTCCTGCACAATTCCTTCACATCTCCTCGCCCAGGCTAAACCCTTGGACAACCCCTTGAACCTCCTTCTCCTGAAGTTCTCTGTTCCCTCTGGGATCCTCCTGCCTCTTGGATCTGCTGCTGCCATGTCTGGAGCAACCCCATCCCCTTGTTCACAACTTTTAGGTCCTTCCAAACCTGGAGACTGCCTGGTAAGGGGGGTCCTGTCCCCTCTCCTGCCCCACGTAAACCTCTGTCCCCCCTCTCACCTCTCTGGGCCCTGCAGGTGGCTGAAGGGGCAGCAGGAGGACAAGCAGGACACGGACGTCCATTACCACTCCCTCACTGGTGAAGGCAACTTCAACTGGCGCTACATCTTCCCCTTCGACTACCTGATGGCCGAGGAGAAGATCGTCATCTCCAAGAAGGAGTCCATGTTCTCCTGGGATGAGACCGAGTACAAGATCCCCGCCCGCCTCACCCTGCAGGTCTGGGACGCCGACCACTTCTCGGCCGATGATTTCCTGGGTATGTGGAGGGTCCAGAGCGTCCCACAAACCCCTTGAGCTGCTGCTGGGTGGGATGAGAGGGCAGGGAGGGTCTGCAGGGGGTTCTGGTCAGGCTGGATCCATGGGCCAAGGCCAAGTGCCAGGTCCTGAACTGGGGTCACACCAACCCCACTGAGCGCTCCAGGCTGGGAAAGAGGGGCTGGAAAAGGCCCTGGGGGTGCTGTGCCAGCAGCTGGACACGAGCCCAGGTGTGGCCAACAGGGCCAAGAGGGACAGCTCTGGGGTGGCAGCAGGGCCAGGGGGCACCTCCAGTGCTGGGGGCAGCTCTGGGCCCCTCCTGCCAGGAGAGACCTGGAGGGGCTGGAGCGTGTCCAGGGAAGGGAACGGAGCCCCAGGAGGGGCTGGGGGAGCTGGGAAGGGGCTCAGCCTGGAGAAAAGGAGGCTCAGGGGGGACCTTGTGGCTCTGCACAGCTCCTGACAGGAGGGGACAGCCAGGGGGGGTCGGGCTCTGCTCCAGGGAACAGGGACAGGACACGGGGAAATGGGCTCAGGCTGGGCCAGGGCAGGCTCAGGGTGGGCAGCAGCAGGAATTTCTGCCTGGAAAGGGTGCCCAGGCCTTGGCAGGGGCTGCCCAGGCGGGTTTGGTGTCCAGGGAATTCCTGGATGTGGAACTCAGAGCTCTGGGCTGGGACAAGGTGGGGATTGGCACAATTGGACTGGATGGGCTGGGAGGGATTTTCCAACATGCACATTTCCACGATTCTGAGATCCCTTTTCTCCACTGTAGCCAAGTCACCCCATTTCTCCTTCCCAGAGGTGGTTTAATGCTGCTCCCCAGGGCAGGAGATGCTGGTCCAGCCCGTCTCCAGCCGAGGACTTGACCTCTTTGGCGTGCCAACCTCTGTCCTCCCCTTTGTCCTGCCAGGGGCCATTGAGCTGGATCTGAACCGCTTCCCCCGAGGAGCCAAGACGTCCAAGCAGTGCAGCCTGGAGATGGTGACCAACGAGGCTGAGCTGCCCATGATCTCCATCTTCAAGCAGAAGCGGGTCAAGGGCTGGTGGCCGTTCGTGGCCAGAGACGAGAACGACGAGCTGGAGATCACCGTAAGGATGGGGGAGAAAAGGAGGGTTTGCCTCCTGAGCACTGTGCTCTTTGTGGGCACCCTGCAACCCCCACATGGCTTTGCTCCCTGGGGACCCTTCTGCCCTGGGAGCACGTCCCAAACCTCAGCTCAGCTCTCTGCTCCCTGCAGGGCAAAGTCGAGGCTGAGCTGCACCTTCTGACAGCGGAGGAGGCTGAGAAATCCCCCGCCGGGCTGGCTCGGAATGAGCCTGATCCCCTGGAGAAGCCCAAGTGAGTAGGAGAAGCCTCTCTGCAGCAGGGACCTGGGATTACGGAATTCTGCTCCCACCTGGACTGCTGAATGCAGCTCCGAGCCCCAAAAAGATGTGGACCTGCTAGAAAGGGGCTAGAGGAGATGTTCTGAGTCTGGAGCTGGGCTGGGAGAGCTGGGGGTGCTCACCTGGAGAGGAGAAGGATCCAGGGAGAGCTCAGAGCCCCTGGCAGGGCCTGGAGGGGATCCAGGGAGAGCTCAGAGCCCCCTGACAGGGCCTGGAGGGGATCCAGGGAGAGCTCAGAGCCCCTGGCAGGGCCTGAAGGGGCTCCAGGAGAGCTGCAGAGGGACTGGGGACAAGGGACAGAGGGACAGGACACAGGGAATGGCTCCCACTGCCCCAGGGCAGGGATGGGTGGGAGATTGGGAATTGGGAATTGTTCCCTGGCAGGACACAGGGAATGGCTCCCACTGCCCCAGGGCAGGGCTGGATGGGATATTGGGAATTGGGAATTGTGCCCTGGCACGGTGGGCAGGCCCTGGCACAGGGTGCCCACCCTGCATCCCTGGCAGTGCCCAAAGCCAGGTTGGACATTTTGGAGCAGCCTGGGACAGTGGAAGATGTCTCTGTCATGGCAGGGAGTGAAGCAAAAAAAAAAAAAAAAGAACTTTAAGGTCCATGAATCCCTTTCCTACGGTGATGGAGTAACGATGGGTGTTTGGTTCCCCTGCAGCCGCCCGGACACGTCGTTCATCTGGTTCCTGAACCCGCTCAAGTCCATCAAATACCTCATCTGCACCCGCTACAAGTGGCTCATCATCAAGATCGTGCTGGCCCTACTGCTGCTCATCATGGTGGCCCTGTTCCTCTACAGCATGCCCGGATACATGGTCAAGAAGCTGCTGGGAGCATGAAGGGCTGGAGCCTCTCCCATGTCCCCAGCCCCAGGCACAACCTTCCCAGCTTTGTGTCCTTCTCCTCCCCGTGACCTCTGGGCAACCTGGGGGTGTTTCCTCCCTGCTGCTGCTGCTGCTGCTGGGTCTCCTCTTTGCGTTCCTTCTCTGGGGGTCCCACTCAGGCTTTAGTGCCAGGGGAATGGGGTGGGAGTGGGGCAAAGATCCCCCGACTCTGCATCCCACTCCGGGGCTGGGAGAGTGCCCAGGTGGCTCCTGGGGGAGTCTCCGAGGTTTCTGCCTGCTGGAGTCATGGATGGTGCCTTCTGGGGAATCAGGGGAAGGAATGGGGAGCTGGGGCTGCATCACTGGAGCTGTGGGAGTGCTCTAGAAAGGCTCCTTGGAGAGATGTTCAAAATCCAGGATGGAGCAGAGAGCTGGGATGGAGCAGCTGGGAACGTGCCAGCCCCAGCACCATCCTCACTGCCAGCACCATCCCAGTGCCAGCACCATCTCTGCTCCACTCTGAGCTCTGGAAAATCACGTTCCCTGGCACAGGGATCTGTCCCACCCTGGGAATGGTGGACATGGTACCCAGCAGAGAGGACACAGAGCATCCCCAGCACCATCCCTGCTCCACTCTGAGCTCTGGAAAATCACGTTCCCTGGCACAGGGAGCTGTCCCACCTCGGGAATGGTGGACATGGTGCCCACCAGAGTGAGGGGGCACAGAGCATCCCCAGTGCCTGTCCTCACTCTACTTGGAGCTCTGGAGGTCACATTCCCCAGCACAGGGATCTGTCCCACCCCGGGAATTGTGGACATGGTGTCCAGCAGTGAGGGCACAGAGCATCCCCAGCACCATCCCTGCTCCACCTGGAGCTCTGGAGGTCACATTCCCTGTCACAGGGATCTGTCCCACCTTGGGAACGCTGGACATGGTGCCCAGCAGAGTGAGGGGGCACAGAGCACCCCCAGTGCCTGTCCCCACTCCTCTTGGAGCTCTGGAGGTCACATTCCCCAGCACAGGGATCTGTCCCACCCCGGGAATGGTGGACATGGTGCCCAGCAGTGAGGACACAGAGCATCCCCAGCACCATCCCCACTGCCACCACTGTCCCTGCTCCACTTGGAGCTCTGGAGGTCACATTCCCCGTCACAGGGATCTGTCCCACCCCGGGAACGCTGGACATGGTGCCCAGCAGTGAGGGCACAGAGCATCCCCAGCACCATCCCCACTCCACCTGGTCCTCTGGAGGTCACATTCCCACCTCGGGAATGCTGGACATGGTGTCCAGCAGACTGAGGGGGCACAGAGCACCCCCAGTGCCTGTCCCCACTGCCACCACTGTCCCTGCTCCACTTGGAGGTCTGGAGGTCACATTCCCTGTCACAGGGATCTGTCCCACCTCGGGAATGGTGGACATGGTGCCCAGCAGAGTGAGGGGGCACAGAGCATCCCCAGCACCATCCCCACTCCACCTGGAGCTCTGGAGGTCACGTTCCCTGTCACAGGGATCTGTTCCACCCCAGGAATGGTGGACATAGTGCCCAGCAGTGAGGGCATAGAGCACCCCCAGTGCCTGTCCCCACTCCACATGGACCTCTGGAGGTCACATTCCCTGGCACAGGGATCTGTCCCACCTCGGGAATGCTGGACATGGTGCCCAGCAGTGAGGACACAGACCATCCCCAACACCATCCCCACTCCACCTGGACCTCTGGAGGTCACATTCCCTAGAACAGGGATCTGTCCCACCCCGGGAATTGTGGACATGGTGCCCAGCAGTGAGGACACAGAGCACCCCCAGCACCATCCCCACTCCACCTGGAGCTCTGGAGGTCACATTCCCACCTTGGGAATGCTGGACATGGTGCCCAGCAGTGAGGGCACAGAGCATCCCCAGTGCCTGTCCCCACTGCCAGCACCATCCCTGCTCCACTCTGAGCTCTGGAGGTCACATTCCCCAGCACAGGGAGCTGTCCCACCTCGGGAATGGTGGACATGGTGCCCAGCAGTGAGGACACAGAGCACCCCCAGCACCATCCCCACTCCACCTGGAGCTCTGGAGGTCACATTCCCACCTTGGGAATGCTGGACATGGTGCCCAGCAGTGAGGGCACAGAGCATCCCCAGTGCCTGTCCCCACTGCCAGCACCATCCCTGCTCCACTCTGAGCTCTGGAGGTCACATTCCCCAGCACAGGGATCTGTCCCACCCCGGGAATTGTGGACATGGTGCCCAGCAGTGAGGGCATAGAGCACCCCCAGTGCCTGTCCTCACTCCACTCGGAGGTCTGGAGGTCACATTCCCTGTCACAGGGATCTGTCCCACCTCGGGAATGCTGGACATGGTGCCCAGCAGTGAGGACACAGAGCATCCCCAGTGCCCTTCCCCACTGCCAGCACCATCCCTGCTCCACTTGGAGCTCTGGAGGTCACGTTCCCCAGCACAGGGATCTGTCCCACCCCGGGAATTGTGGACATGGTGCCCAGCAGTGAGGACACAGAGCACCCCCAGTGCCTGTCCTCACTCCACTCGGAGGTCTGGAGGTCACATTCCCTGTCACAGGGATCTGTCCCACCTCGGGAATGCTGGACATGGTGCCCAGCAGTGAGGACACAGAGCATCCCCAGTGCCCTTCCCCACTGCCAGCACCATCCCTGCTCCACTTGGAGCTCTGGAGGTCACATTCCCCAGCACAGGGATCTGTCCCATCTCGGGAATGGTGGACATGGTGCCCAGCAGAGTGAGGGGGCACAGAGAATCCCCAGTGCCTGTCCTCACTCTGCTTGGAGCTCTGGAGGTCACATTCCCCAGCACAGGGATCTGTCCCACCTCGGGAATGCTGGACATGGTGCCCAGCAGTGAGGGCACAGAGCATCCCCAGCACCAGCCCCACTCCACTTGGAGCTCTGGAGGTCACATTCTCCAGCACAGGGATCTGTCCCACCTCGGGAATGGTGGACATGGTGCCCAGCAGTGAGGGCACAGAGCATCCACAGTGCCTGTCCCCACTGCCAGCACCATCCCAGTGCCAGCACCATCTCTGCTCCACTCTGAGCTCTGGAAAATCACGTTCCCCGGCACAGGGATCTGTCCCACCTCGGGAACGCTGGACATGGTGCCCAGCAGTGAGGACACAGACCATCCCCAGCACCATCCCTGCTCCACCTGGACCTCTGGAGGTCACATTCCCACCCCGGGAATGCTGGACATGGTGCCCAGCAGATCCCACAGAGAACCCTGAGGTGGACCAAGGGCACACCCTGCCCTTTGTCCCCACAGCTCCAGCAGAGACTGGGACGTGTCCCACATCTCAAATGTCTTCCCAAGATCACCCACCCAGAGGTGGGTGCACATCGCCAGGGCTCTCAGCTCCTCTGGCACAGTGTGAGCTCCCGGTGTCCTTCTGGATTCTCCGTGTATTTTGTTTGGCTTGGTAACTTTGTGGCTGGAGTCCTTCTGGCCGTGTGTCCTCGGGAAGGGCTCTGTCCTCAGCTCTCCACCACACTCAGCTGCTGCAGAATCGCCTTTCCCACCTCTCGGTGCCCAACACCCCCACTGAAGAACTGAGGACGTCTCAGACGTGTTTTAATGAGGATATTGCTGTTCCAATCAGTCAATAAAAACCAGTTTTCACGTCCTGGCTCTCGTGGTAGTGGGTGTCATGTTTCGATTCTGACCAAACGCCAGGCACCTACAGAAGCTGTTCCATCAGAAAAAAAATTAACAAAGGGTTCATGAGCTGAGATAAGGATTGGGAGAAAAACACCCTAAGGGCAAAACCGGTTCACATTTAAAGGTATAAAGTCAATTTATTATTACCAGAGTCAGAGAAGGATAATGAAAAATAAAAGAAGCTTTTAAAACATTCTTTTTGCCCCTAAGCCCTTCCCTCTTTCCTGTGAACCATTAATGCACAGACTCAGATCAGTGGGGATACTGAGATGTTTATTGCAGGAAAAATCTGGTTTTATACACTTCTTCAAGACACAGTATTTCCTTATTTCTTCACTAAGCAACCTATGACACATTGCCACGTCAGCAACATAATTTAACGTCGTTACACACGAGTGATCACGTCCTGTTCACTCATCCAGCAGGTCCCTGCAGGGTCCTCTCTGTGATGGCTTGAGAGGCCACCTAGAACAGAGGTTAGACAGAATTAAAGGAATAAAAAAGCAGGGATTTATTAAAAGGCCTCAAACGATACACTTTGGGCAGCACAAGAACCTGGTGATAGCTACACCCAAGATGGACACCGGCTCACGAGTTTTCACACTTTTATAAGTTTTGGTCCATTTTCATATTGGGGTTAATTGTCCAATTCCAGCTCCAGGTTCTGCAGTCCCATCCTCACAGATCTCTTTCCTTAATTTGCTGTTGTTTATACTTTTCCATACTTGAGGCATCATCCGTAGGGCGTCTGTCACATCGCATTTCTTCCCTCTGAGGTCAGGAGGAGACAAACTCCTCTCTGTGCTGCCATGGCCTTCTGCAGGCACGTCCCACCGCCTGTAGATCAATTCCATCTTCTGTCTCTGCTCACACTTTCCCACAGACGGGGCATGGGGGGTTATGGTCAATTTGATACTCAAGATCTTGTTCTGTTTGCTTAGGGGGAGGAGGGTTTCTCTGCTGTGCCATGGGGTCCTTCCCATGGGCAAAGCAGTTTTCCCAGAATTTATCCATGGAGTGTAATCTTTTATGGATAGGCTGCTCTAGTTTGGAATCGAGGGCCCTCACTCTCTTTCTTTGGGTCTCCACTGGATTACAGCTTCCTTGGGCATCCACCGTCTCCAACGTGAGCATTGAGCATCATCGCAGCCAAATTGAAAATGAGAAGAAAGCAATAAGAAGACAGCAACTTAAGGAAGCTTTCCCCTTCAACCCTCTGATGAAATCATTCCTTGGCTTTCTCCAGGCCCAGCCAGCAGATACCAAGAAATACTTCCTGCAGTGGATGAAGGTCTTTATGCACGAGCTGTCTTGTGGTCGCCTTGAAGAACTGAGGCGAGACTATCACGAGTTATGGTCTGAAAACCTGGCAGGAAAGAAAAGCAAGAAAAAACCCAGTGGCAATGATGAGTTGCTGAGTCGCTTGGATGCCCTCTCTGATGAAATCAACCATTTATCCATTGGCCTGGAGCACCTTCTGAGAGAGGTGGGGCAGATTTATGAGGCTCTGGAATTTATAAGCTCCGAGACTGAGAGTTTTGTCAAACTGCCAGAAATTGCAGCAGAGCTGATGGTTTCAGGGTATCCCGTGGAGCTGATGGATGGGGACGCTTCTTACCTGCCCTTGCGCTGGGTGGGCGCAATCTTTGACAGCTTAATTGAGAGGCTGGGGGACAAACGAGTGTTTGTGCTCTCCGTGCTCGGCGTCCAGAGCACAGGCAAGTCCACCCTGCTGAATGCCATGTTTGGTCTGCAGTTCAACGCCAGCGCGGGGCGATGCACCCGCGGAGCCTTCATGCAGCTCATCCCAGTCAGCGAGCAGCTGCAGCGAGACTTGGGCTTTGATTTTGTGCTGGTGGTTGACACAGAGGGACTTCGTGCCATCGAGATGGCCGATAAACCGTCCCTGAACCATGACAACGAGCTGGCCACCTTTGTCATTGGTGTTGGCAACTTGACTGTGATCAATATCGTTGGAGAAAATCCGTCAGAAACGCAAGATGTTCTCCAGATTGCTGTGCAGGCTTTCCCGAGGATGAAGAAAGTCAATCTTTCCCCAAGCTGCCTCTTTGTCCACCAAAACATGGGAGAAGCCACTGCCAGGGAGCAGAACATGGAAGGACAACGGCGTTTGCAGGAAAAGCTGGATGAAATGACTGTGGTAGCTGCTCAGCAGGAATTCTGTGGCGTCTCCTTCAGTGATGTCATTGGCTTTGATGTGAACACCCACATTCACTACTTTGCTCACCTGTGGGTAGGAAACCCCCCAATGGCACCACCCAACCCCACCTACAGCCAGAACGTCCAGCAACTAAAGAGCAAAATCTTCCAGGCTGCCAGGAAGGAGTCACAGCGCAGCATTTTGAGGCTCTCGAGCCTGAAAGATCGTATTGGTGACCTCTGGAATGCTTTGCTGAATGAAAACTTTGTTTTCAGCTTCAAGAATTCCCTGGAGATTGCTGTGTACAGGAAACTGGAAAGTGCCTTTAGTCAGTGGACCTGGAGGCTGAGGAGTCACATCTTAGATGTACAGATGAGACTGGACAACAAAATTCGGAATGGGGACTGGCAGAATGTCACCAGAGAGCACCTTGAAGGGCTGGTGCAAGAGACGAGCGATGCCATTGAGAAAGACGTGGACAAGTATTTCAGGGAAGACGAAGACCATGAGACGCTGGTCCAGTGGAAATCAGGCACAGAGCTGAAGTTGAAAGAATTAAAAGAAGCTCTTCTTCATGAAACAAAAAAGAAATGTGAGAATCTTATTGAGCTACAGAAGGAGCAGAAGAAACTGGATGCAAGGAAGTTGGAATATAAAGATGAGCTCCTGAGAAGGAGTCGGGAGTGGGCTGTGAGTCTGAAAGGGAAGAGCCTCAGTGAGAGAGAGCTGAAGCACAGCTTTACCCGTGCTTTGAAGAAGTGGATTGCCAAAGTCTCCTGTGCTGCTCCTCGTCCAGAATGGGTGGATATCGATGCAGAAATTGAAGATGTCCTTTTAGAGCACTTTAAGGAGCCGGGTTTCCATGCACGGATCAGGTCATTTCCCAGAGGCAGAGGGTTTTCTTTTGACATGAAGAAACACATGATGAAGAAAAAGCATCATCCCTTTTCCAAAGATTTCTGGAGCATTTCCAATGCTGATGCGCTCAATTTCCAGCACATCACAGACAACATCATAGAGTGTGTGAAGACAAATATTACTAAGAAGGAAGAGGAGAAACGCGATTACAGCAGAAATTTTATTCATGAAATACTCGATGAAGTGCAGAAAGGTGTGAACTCTGTCCCCAGCGACGGAAATTGTACTTTTACCAGAGAGTACAGCATAGATTTGTCTCTGTATCTGTGCACAATGGCAGCAGAAAGGTTTAAAGCCATGCACGAAGCATTCCAAATGGCAAATGACCCAGTTGTGTACCTGAGAAGCAAGAGAGAAGATTTCTTCCAATGTTTCCAGATTTCCTGCCAAGGAGCCACTTCTGTCACAACTTTTGCTGTTTTCCTTTGTCACAAGATTGAACCAGCTCTTCGCCAGGCGGTCTATGAGAGGGCAGCTAAAGACATCGCTGAGGACATGCAGGGAAAATTCCCAGATTTCCAGGGCAGCAGAGCCACTCTGGAAGTTTGCATACTGAGATACCTGGCAGAAAAGGAAAAGTTTTCGTATTTCAAGCAGTACCTTAGATCTCCAAAACAGTTTTGTGAGATGTACATTGAGACACGAGTTAGGAGGCACTGTTTGGATGGGACTAGGAGTCTGACGATGTTTTTAGATTCCTCCCTTGATCTTCTCTTTCAAAACATCCTGTCAGCTGTTTCTTTATCAACCCGAGTTGTCAAAGACAGAAAAGACAGAGAAGACAAAGTCTCTCTCTGGCTGGATGAATTTTGCAGGGAACTGTCAGAGGTGATGAACTTGCCCAGAAGTGAGCTGAAGTGCATCGAGCACCAGGAGGTCACAGACATTGAGTTCCTGAGCAGTGCCATGGCAGAAGCTCTGGAAGACCTGAGGGACAGGCTCAGGGAAGAACTGGCTGGGGCTGACCTGACCTCGTTTTCAAGGCAGCCTCACACCATCCTGGCGGAGCATTTTTCGGGATGCAGGGCACAGTGCCCCTTTTGTGGGGCTGTCTGCACAAACACCATGCGGAATCACGATGGAGATCATCAAGTGGCCTTCCATCGCCCACGAGCTTTGAAGGGACTCATGAGGTGTACATGGGAAACCGACAACAAGTATGAGCCAGATGAACTGGCCATTGACATTTGTTCCAGCCTTGTTGCAAGTGACGGTGACTTCAGAGTTGGTGGTGGCCAACACATCCCCTACAAGACATACCGGGATGCTGGACCTCCTTATTCCACTTGGAACATCCTTCCTGATCCATCCACGCAGGCGTACTGGAAATGGTTTGTGTCTCGTTTCAGGACACAGCTGGAATCTTGGTGCAATGGGAAATTTCAGGGCAAAGGAGAAATCCCTGAGGCGTGGCGGAGAATTACCAAGCAGGAAGCACTGTCCGAGCTGGAGGAGCACTAGGCCACATCCCTGGTGGAAGAATAACAGCAGCTTTGCAGCTTAGGAGAACTTTGGACCAGGCTCTCCACAAAATGCAGTTACAACGCTCTCAAGCCCAGTGAAGACAGTGGCATCTAATTTTTCCCAAATTGGATGAAATAAGGCGCATTACTTCACCCATCAGTCAGCAACTCCCTCGCTTTACGGGAAAGCCGGAATCCTCTTGCCTGTTTGCTATAAACATTTCCCTCAGCTTTGCCCTAGAGCCAAACCAAACCCCCTCCTTGGGGCGATCGGCCTCGTGGCCAAGCCTGAGCCCAGGGGCCAGGACGGGGCAAAGGCAGCGCTCAGAGCACCCCTGGGATCAGCTGCTGTGACACAAGAAGGGACAGTGCCCCAGAGGCGGCTTTCCTGCAGCAGGGCGCTGTCCTGCTCGGAGAAAGGGCTGCGGGACCCGAGGCCAGCTCCACGCTGGCTGCCAGCTGGGCTGCTTGGCTTTTGGGCATCATCCTTGCCTCCCTCACTGCAGCCTCCTGGATCAGCTGGGGCCGTTCTCCAGCAGGAGCTGCTGTGCCTGCGGGCTCAGGAAAGCCGTGACACGGCCGCCCCGGGGCTCAGGCAGCGCTTTCCCTCCCTGCCTCAGAGGTGCTGTGTTACACTGAGCTCATGGGTGTTCTATTTCCCCTTCCCCGGGACCCTGTGACTCTGATCAAGACAACCCTGGACCCTCCTTCCTGCCCCAACGGGGTTGGCAGAGATCCAGAGAAGCCCACCCTGTCCAAAGTCTATATAGACCCCTGACATTTCCTGTTCGTGCTCTTTTTGCCCCGCTCTCCACAAGGACATCACAGAATAAAGAGAGCTGAACCAAAATATCTTGGGGTAAGAGCCTCTTTTGGAAATCTTTGCCATCTCCTGATATTCCTCCCCTCACAGCCTCAAATCTCTGGGCTAGCCTGATTATTCGGGGGGCTGTGTGAGGGGGGAAGGTCAGTGCTGTGTCTCTGTCCAGGGCAGCCGCTCCTGCTCAGGCTTTGCTGATAAAGGAGTTGGTTTGGACTGCTCTGCGCCTGCTTTGTGTTCAGGGAGCCACAGCTGGGGGTGACTGGGGCTCTGTGTGCTGCAGGCAGGCGGGGGACAGGGGTGGCACCGGGGCAGGGGTGTGAATCGGAAAAATGTGGTGAACCCCGGGTGCGGGAAGAAATGGTGATGTCTGCTCCAGATCAGAAGGCTGAAGGATAGTTTTATTGAAACTATACTATATTGCATTAACATACTATTTAAATAGATATTTTCCTATTCTACATACTTATTTCTTACTTACCTGTCTAACTACAAACTCGTGACTCTGTGCTGAGAGCCCAACACAGCTGGATCCATTGGTCACTGACCCCAAAAAACCTTCACCAGAATCCAATCCAGCTGCTGAGAGCCCAACCCAGCTGGATCCATTGGTCACTGACCCCAAAAAACCTTCCCCAGAATCCAACCCAGCCATCCCTGCAGGTGAAAAATCTCCAACCACATTCCACATGGGCGAAACAAAGGAGCAGAGATAAAGATTGTTTTCTCTTCTTCTCCCTGTGCAATCCCGAGAGACAGAATTGTGTCTGTCTGTCCAGAGAACGTGAATTCCACAGGTGTGGCAGCAGAGGCTCTGCTCCGTTCAGGGTCTCTGCTCCTGGAGCAGCATCACTGTTGTACTGGGGTGGGCTCCAGGACTCTGTCTGGGCAGTGAGGGGCTGGTTTATGGCCACTTTTTTGGCTCAGTGGTTGAGGATGGAGGTTTTGTGTGCTACAGACAGCATTTGGCTCTGCAGGGACATCACTACAGTTTAAATTTCCACCCTGGATCTGCCCAACTCCAGCCTGCTGCTCCAGGGATCCTCCCACAGTTTACCCCCCTTGAGTGTGAAAAATACATATTGCATTAAAATAACATTAATGATTTTCATATTAAATAATAAATAATTTGCTCTTCGCAAATATTAACATTAATACTAAATGTGTTGGGAAGTTAGACTGCATTAATCTCTTTTAAGCGGTGCTGTATTAATCTCTTTTAAATAGTGTAGTAAATATAGTTTTGAAGCTATAGCATAATATTAAAATAGAAACTATGTGATGTTAGACACTTTATATAATTCAAAAATTTAAAAATACAACCAAAAAATCCTTCACATTGTCCTATCTAGATAAAACTAACAACAGACACCCGGTGCGCTGCCAAAACCCATTGTCAGTAGCAATCCCTTAATTCCATTACACCTACCGCAGCAATCCGCTTAGGGGGAGCTGCGGAGAGGCTGAGGGAGGAGGAGGCATCGCTTAAATAAATATACCTTGGTTTTATTCTGGGGGAAACGCCAGTGCAGGGCTCGGGGGCTCTGCTCAGGGCTGGCCACTGTCGGAATCTGTGGGTGTTGGTGATTCTGAGATTGTAGAAAGTCTCTGTTGCCAAAGCAGAAGCCATAATTCGTCTGTGCTGGTTTCAAGGTTGTTTATTCTGTTTATCTCTAACATGTTCTGCTGCCCTGCCGCAGCTCTGTCCTGCAGGGCAGCGTGTGGGGCTCTGCCCTCAGTGGGATGGTACAAACATTAAATACCACAAACTACCTGTGCTGGATTTACAATAACGTGCCAATATCTGTCACCTACGTTGGACAGTGTGTCCCCAGCCTAAACCAACAGAAAAATGCCAACACCACAGTGAAACATGGAGGGCATGAAGAAGGAGAAAAAGGACAAGACACACCCAATTTCCTCCATCTTGCCTCCTTTGAATCCTTTATCTAGAATCCTAAATTCTACTTCTGCACCCATCCCACACTTAATTATTACTGATATCAAACACTCAGAGCTGGTAATTCACCCTGTAAGATTGAAAACTCTTTTCCATGGACAGAGATCACAGCCAGTGTCTCTGGGGGCTCTGTCCAGGGGGGTTCCTGACCCCTGCCAGGGTCCCAGATTCCCACACAGAGCCCCTGGCAGGGCCTGGAGGGGCTCCAGGAGAGCTGCAGAGGGACTGGGGACAAGGGACAGAGGGACAGGACACAGGGAATGGCTCCCACTGCCAGAGGGCAGGGCTGGGTGGGAGATTGGGAACTGGGAATTGTTCCCTGGCAGGGTGGGCAGGCCCTGGCACAGGGTGCCCACCCTGGATCCCTGGCAGTGCCCAAGGCCAGGCTGGACATTGGAACACCCTGGGACAGTGGAGGTGTCCCTGCCATGGAATGAGCTGATCTTGAGCGTCCCTTCCCACCCAAATCTGTCACTTGATGAATCCATCTCTGCCCTCCAGCCCGTTCCCTGCTTCACCTTTTCCTCCTCACCCCGTCCAGCAGAAAGAAAAGACAAACACCCATAAAAGGTGTGGAAAATTTCATTCTTTACTGACCTTTATTCGTTTTCCGTTTGGCTTAAACACAATAAATATTTCAGCAGTAGCATTGAACAGACTGGAATTCACACCCACTGCAGTACCTGAACCCCCAGACTCTGGGAAAGCCACCGGGGATCACAGCACCAGTGTCCCCTTCATGCCCAGGGACAGGAGCGGGGCCGTGTCCCTGCTGGCAGGGAGGGGTGGGAGCAGATTTTGCTGTGGGCTGAGGAAAATTACCCCAAAAACTTCTGCTCCTGGCCCAGCCACTTCCTTGGACACCAGCCTGGGGACTTCTCCAGCCAGGTCTGGCCACACCTGGATGGGCCAGAGGGTCTTTTCCACAAACATTGTCCCCGTGGAATCAGGGGGCTGGAAAAGCCCTCGGAGTCCAACCACTCCCAGCACAACCACGGCCAAAGTGCTGTCCCATGTCCCCAAGTGCCACATCCCCATAGCTTTTCAATCCCTCCATGGATGGGGACTCCCCCCCTGCCCTGCACAGCTGTGCCAGGGATGGACAGCCCTATCCATGAAGGAATTGTTCCAAAATCCAACGTGAACCTCTCCTGGCACAGTTTGAGGCCATTTCCTCTCATCCTGTCCTTGTCCCACCAAGAACAGCCTCTGTGTCACCTCATCCCACCGAGAGGAGCCTCTGTGTCACCTCAGCCACTGCTCAGAGGTAGAGGTGGGCAAAACCAGGAGGAGCCAAGGCTGGTTTCCCAAAATCACCCCTTCCCTGGGGCCAAACCCCACCGTGACCAACCAGGAGAGCTGGAGAGGATTTGGGACAGCACCCAGGGAATGGCTGTGCCCATGGGACAGGGCTGGGAAATTGGGAATTGTTCCCCCCACAGGGTGCCCAGAGCAGCTGTGCCCAGCCCCTGGATCCCTGGGAGGGTCCCAGACTTGGAGCAAGCAATCCATGGAAGAAAAGACAACACAGATCAGCTCTGGGGCACCGGGCAGGAGGAGGTGAGCAGTCAGGACCTGCCCTCTCCATCCCCAGGACCACAACCAGCACAGAACATCCCCCTCAGCAGCTGTTACCCAGGAGCATTTTTAATTTTTTTTTTTTTTTTTTTTTCATTTTTAATTCTTAATTCCCCATTTTTAATTATCAATTCCCAAGACCCAAACCCACGGTGGGCAATAGAAGGGTTGGTTCTCAGCTGCCACACAGGGTTTGGTCTCTTTGTTTCTATTCCCCTCTCAGAATCCAGGAGCAGAAATCACTGGATTTCTAAGAGCCCAAGGAGAACCCCCCAGCCAGCCCAAACCCCAGCGCTGCTTTAAGGAGATTTCTTTTTCTACTTTCAAGGTGCAATAAATTAAGGCACCAAAGAGCCAGAACTGCCCCAAGATAAAGCCTGTGCAGAGGAAGCATTTCCAGTTTTGGAGAGGGATGTTCTTCCCACACACCAAGATTGAAGCTCAGCCTCAGCAGCATCCCAAATCCTCAGGGGTCACTGGTGGAAGAGACAGGACAAGGCAGGTGACAGGTTTGGGAGCCCAGAGTTCAGCTCAGCTGTCCCCTGCTTGGGCAAACACAAAACTAGACAGAAAAATCATCCAACATCCACCTTTTTCACTGTTGCCAGCCCAGCTTTGCTATCTGCACAAGTCCTACAGGAAGCTGAAGATTCCCTCTGTGCGAGCAGGACTTCAATTTATCTCCATAATTCTATTGCATTAAATAGCAGGAGTCAAAAACTCAGGTGCAGCCCAAGTAATTTGTCCGTGGAGGGTTTTGTTTGGATTTTTTTTCTTTTTTTTTCTGTACAACATCAGTAAAATGGATTGGAGGAAGCTATTTTATTAAATAAACTCTGAAAACCATCGGCCCCCTCTCGCAGCCCTGAGATCCAGAGCCTCCCACGAGGGATGGCAGCCCTGGCAAGGGCCCAGTTTGCTCCTCACGGGCTGTTTTGGGACCAGGGGCTGAGCAAAGTGACCAAGGGATGACCAGAGGCTGACCAGGAGGTGCCCAGGGGCTGACCGAGCTCAGCCTTGGGGTTTCCAGTCTTGTTGTGACGGTGATTCTGATTTCCAAAAGAAAAAGCATTAAATAGCACTTAACTTGAAGGCTTCCCCTGCAGAAGGAGACTGCTCTGAGCAAGCTGTGATGCCCCACAATCGGTGTCTGAAGGAATTGTCCCCACGGTGGTTCCACCTGCAGGATCTGTGCTTGTTCTCTTCCGGATGCAGCCTTTCCAGAGCCTGGCTTTAAGCTACACTCTTCATTCAAGCACGGGTCTTCGTTTGAATCGAGCCAACAGGAAAGAAAATCAGCGTTCAGTCTTCACCACCCCACTCCGAGTCAATTATAAAAACAAATTAAAAAATTAAATCAATGCGAAGACGTCTTTGACGAGCGGACAGTAAACGAAAGAGATGCCTGGATGAGACACGCGGGTGCTGGGGACAAAGAGAGGGGGATCTGGAGGGTTCCCACCCCTGGGGACATCCTGAAGGAGCAACACAGGGCTTCAGCTGCTTCTCCCAGTGCTGGAACTGCAGTTGGGACAGATCAGGCTGCTCCTGGCTGTGGACAAGAGGCTCAGGCAGCAGGGAAGGACCCAAATCCATGGTGGCAGGAATGGGGAGGGGCTGGCTCTGTAATCTCAGCCACCCTCCACAGCCCAGACCCCGTTCCCAGCCTGGGAACACACAGGGACACACAGGAACGTGTCCAGGTGTGGTCCCACCACACAACGTGCAGAAGTTTCCTATGGGAAACTGTGCCCTGATTTTCCAAGCCCCCAGTTAGGATTGAAGTACAAGTTTTGAGTGTCTTGTCTTTTTTTTTTCCCCTTAAAAAACCAAAAAAAAACCCAAAAAAACCCAAACAAACAAACAAAAAAAAAACAAAAAAAAACCCCAAAAAACCCCAAAAAAGACAACAGAGGTGCTAGCATGTGTTTGCCCAAAAGCAGGAAGGCAGGACAGAAGGTGGGAGAAGTGTCACCATCTGCTCCCAAAGTCCCAGCCCAGCACAGGGGCTGTGCAGCCAGCAGCCCTGGGGACAGCCAGGAGCCACCCTGACCTCCAGGACATCCCCCTGCCCTGGAGGAATCAGCTGTGTTGATTTTGGTGTCAGGCCAAGGTGCTTTGCTCAGGTAAAGCCTTTGTGTCCCCAAGCAGTGAGGGCCGGAGTCAGAGGCTTCTCTGGGAACATTCAGCTGGTCTAAGGTACAGTAAGAGCGCCCTGGAAGGTTCCTCCTCCTCCAGCTCCACCCAAAATCCCAAGCTGGCAGCTCGCAGGGATGGCAGAGCAGCAGGAGCCGCCCCGGCCCGGCTCCCGCGTGTCCTCGGCGCTGTCCGGGGCTGGTTGGATCCGTGGTGATGGCTGAATATTTACATTTGTTTGCAGCAGGTATTTACAGTCCTCCCGCAGCCCGCAGGCCCGGCTGCTCCTCCTCGGCTCCCAGTCAGTCCGGGGTGGGCTTCCGCAGCGAGAAGGGACGGATGTTGAAGTGCCGGCTCAGCTGGCTCACCTGGGGACCGGGCAGACGGGGGCTGGGTTATCCCGGATCCTGGGGGGTTATCCCGGATCCTGGGGGGTTATCCCGTATCCCAAGGGGTTATCCTGGATCCCGAGGGGTTATCCTGGATCCCGAGGGGCTATCCCGGCTCCTGAGGATCTATCCCGGATCCTGAGGGGTTATCCCAGATCCCGGGGGGTTATCCTAGTTATCCTATATCCCAAGGGGCTATCCCAGATCCCAAGGGGCTATCCTGGATCCCGGGGGGTTACCCTGGATCCCGGGGGGTTACCCCGAGGGGCTATCCCAGATCCTGAGGGGCTATCCCAGATCCCGGGGGGTTATCCCAAGGGGTTATCCCGGATCCCAGGTGTTATCCCAGATCCCAAGGGGTTATCCCGGATCCCAAGGGGTTATCCCGGATCCCGAAGGGTTACCCCGAGGGGCTATCCCAGCTCCCGAGGGGTTATCCCGGATCCCGAGGGGCTATCCTGGATCCCGGGGGGCTATCCCGGATCCTAGGGGGTTATCCCATATCCTGGGGGGTTATCCCGGCTCCCAGGGGGTTATCCCGAGGGGCTATCCCGGATCCAAGGGGGTTATCCCAGATCCCGAGGGGTTATCCCATATCCCAAGGGGTTATTCCGGATCTTAAGGGGTTATCCTGGATCCCGAGAGGCTATCCTGGATCCAAGGGGGTTATCCCGGATCCTGAGGGGTTATCCCGAGGGGCTATCCCAGATCCCGAGGGGTTATCCTGGATCCTGGGGGGTTATCCTGGATCCCAAGGGGTTATCCCGGATCCCAGGGGGTTATCCCATATCCCAAGGGGCTATCCCGGATCCTGGGGGGTTATCCCAGATCCCAGGGGGTTATCCCATATCCCAAGGGGTTATCCCAGATCCCGAGGGGTTATCCCATATTCCAAGGGATTATCCCATATCCCAAGGGGTTATCCCAGATCCCGAGGGGTTATCCCGGATCCCAAAGGGTTATCCTGGATCCAAGGGGCTATCCCGGATCCCGAGGGGCTATCCCAGATCCCAGGGGTTATCCCGGATCCCGAGGGCCTATCCCGGCTCCCGGGGGCTATCCCACCTCCCAGGCAGGAGCAGCAGAGCCCCAGACCTGCTGCCTGTTCCCTCCCCACCCCTGCCCAGCCCTGTCCCTGTCCCTGTCCCTGTCCCTGTCCCCAGACACTGCTCCCACTCTTCCAGCCCCTGCTCACTTCCCAACCTTCCCAAAAAACACCTGGGAGCAGGCTCAGCCTCTCCTTCCCCCCACACAGGGGCAGGATTGGGAATGCTGAGCCCAGGCCTGCAGGGTTTCTACCCTTCTCCTTTGTTATTCTGTTTAAATTAATTTGATCATCTCGGATTTCTGTACAAAATATTCCTGAATCCGTTCAAAGTGGGAGCTGGATCATTTACTTCCTGCAAAAGGAGGCTGAGCTTGACACACTCAGGGCAGAGAGGCTTTAATCCCAATCATTCTTGCCAAATTGAGAGCAGTTTGGGATTATCCCCAATCCCAAAGCCCTGAAAGGCTCTTGGGCTCAAAGCCAAGAGGAGCTGGGAAAGGCAGAGGGAGGGACAGAGGGAGCAGAGCCCTGGGAATCTCCTGGAAGGGGATGGGCAGGAGGATTACACCAGCTCAGCCCCTTCTCCAGCTGTAATTCCAAGACCAAATTTATTTAAGCTTCTTAGTAACTCAAATCCTTCTTGCACAGAAGCCTCATTACACTAATTGGAAAGACAAGGCGACCTGGCTGTAATTACAGCTGGGGCACGACTCCACAGGCTCTGGGGTGGAACTGGGGCTCCCAGGGGAAGGAGGGTGTCCCCACTTCAGCTGGGACGCGTGGCCCTTGTGCTCCTTCCTCAGCAGCTTCCCAGTGGCACTCTGGGCTTCTCCAAATTTGTTAATCAAAGCCCAGGGAGGCAGGAAGAGGATGAGGAGGAGAGCAACCCCTGGAGCTGTGCACAGCAGGAGGGGAGGCCCTGGAGCTGCTGCTTCCCCCAGCAGCAAAATCCCCACTCCAGCCTGCCTCTCCCAGCACCCTGGAGACCTCAGTGGAGATTCCAGCCCCTGGCAGGGCCTGGAGGGGCTCCAGGGAGAGCTCAGAGCCCCTGGCAGGGCCTGGAGGGGCTCCAGGAGAGCTGCAGAGGGACTGGGGACAAGGGACAGAGGGAGAGGACCCAGGGAATGGCTCCCAGTGCCAGAGGGCAGGGCTGGGTGGGAGATTGGGAATTGGGAATTGTTCCCTGGCAGGGTGGGCAGGGCTGGGATGGAATTCCCAGAGCAGCTGTGGTGTCCCTGGATCCCTGGCAGTGCCCAAGGCCAGGCTGGACACTGGGGCTGGGAGCACTGGGACAGTGGAAGTGTCCCTGCCACGGCAGGGGTGGCACTGGGTGAGCTTTCAGGTCCTTCCCAACCCAGACCATTCCAGGATTTTGTGCTTGGTTTCCACCTCAGCTGACACACCCCAGGGGAAGCACAGCCCCTGCCACATCCTGTGCACTTCCTTCCTTCCTTCCAACCCCGTGCAACCTTCCCAAGGCTCTCACAAGGAACCCAAATTCCCACAGGAGCATTCCCAGTTTCACACGGAGCATTCCCAGTTTCACAGGGAGCATTCCCAGTTTCACACGGAGCATTCCCAGTTTCACAGGGAGCATTCCCAGTTTCACAGGGAGCATTCCCAGCCCAGGAGCTGTCACCTACCACCACCACTCCGTAGTGGATGTGTGCCAGGGTGAGGAAGGCTGTCAGCAGGTACAGCAGGAGCGTCTCCCTGCCCGGAGCCAGCCCGGACAGCACCAGCAGCAGCACGGCCGCGATGGGCAGCAGCATCCAGTTGAGGGGCTGGCACCGAGTGCTGCTCATCTGGCACACGATCAGCTGGCACTGAGGGGACAGGGACAGAGCCTGAGCCTGCTGTGGGCACGGGGAGCCACAGCTGTGTGTCCCCAGAGCAGAGGGGATGGCCACTGGTGTGATCTGGCACCTCCAGTGCTGGGGGCAGCTCTGGGCCCCTCCTGCCAGGAGAGACCTGGAGGGGCTGGAGCGTGTCCAGGGAAGGGAACGGAGCCCCAGGAGGGGCTGGGGGAGCTGGGAAGGGGCTCAGCCTGGAGAAAAGGAGGCTCAGGGGGGACCTTGTGGCTCTGCACAGCTCCTGACAGGAGGAGACAGCCAGGGGGGGTTGGGATCTGCTCCAGGGAACAGGGACAGGACACGGGGAAATGGGCTCAGGCTGGGCCAGGGCAGGCTCAGGGTGGGCAGCAGCAGGAATTTCTGTTAAACAGCAATTAAACATTGGAAAAGGCCCAGGGCAGTCGTGGAGTCTCATCCCTGGAGGGATTTTAAAGCCCTCTGGATGTGGCATCTGGGGACATGGAGCAGGGTGACCTTGGCAGTACTGGGGGACAGTTGGACTCGGTGGTCTCAGGGGAGTTTTCCAACCTTAACAATCCCATGGTTCTACCACTATGCAGCCAAATTAAATTTTGACCAAAAATTTGGTCCTCCCATTTTAAGTTTATCCCCAAAAGGAGGCAGGAACTCCTCTGCCATCTGCACTTTGCTGCTCAGAGCAACATGTGAAAACTCAATTTAACCAATTCTCCCTCAAGCATAAAGCAGCAGCTCTTACAGAGATGTTGGCAAAGGCTGTTCCAACCATGAAATAGAAGAGCCTGGGCTGGACCTCCAGGATGTCAGTGGGGGACAGGAAGATCCAGGTGGTGCAGAGCAGGAACAGCAGCACCGGGGACACCAGGGGCAGCAGGATTTCGTATGCAGAGTGGTGCTTCAAGGTGTTGTTTTTATAGGCCCTGAAACACAAGAAAAGCAATGAAAACAGATGGAATGACTGACAAATCCCTGGGGCTGCCTGCAGGAAGTACCTGCAGGGGTCCCAAGGGTGCTGCAGAGGGACTGGAGGGACAGGACAAGGGGGGATGATTTCCCACAGCCAGAGGGCAGGGATGGATGGGATATTGGGAATTGGGAATTGTTCCCTGGGAGGGTGGTGAGACCCTGCCATGGCTGCCCCTGGATCCCTGGCAGTGCCCAAGGCCAGGCTGGACAGAGCTTGAAGCACCCTGGGACAGTGGGAGACGTCCCTGCCCATGGCAGGGAGTGGCACTGGAGGAATTTCCCACTTCCTCCCCACCCAAACCCTCCTGAGATCCCACAAAACTCACTTGTAGAAGTTGTACAGGCTCATGGGCAGGGTCACAGTGAGGGCACAGGCTGGAAGAGAAGAGAAAAGTGCCGTGTTAGTGCCCCAGGGCAGAGGGGACACCCCATGCACCCCAAACAGGAGGCTCTGGCTGGGCTCTCCTCAAAGTTCCCTGCACTAAAATAGTTCCTGGTGCCTCAGGAATAGCTCGGCACATTTGGAAGTAGCTGCTCCCAAGTCTGGCCCAAGAGCTGCAATTAAAAGTTAAGGTCTGCTGTGAGTTTAAGACATTTCCATTTGAAAGGGTTGCATTAAGGAGCTCGGTTTTGTGCTTTTTTTTGTGCTTTAAACAGTGACAAAGCTTAATTAAAATACAACTCTAATGAGACATGAGTGCACACTCCTCAAATGACATGGCTGGGCACAAGAGTTTTCACAAGAAAGGCAATTTGCTGTTTCTCTGGCCGACATTTCCAGTTGCCAAAAAGTTGTTATTTAACTGGATAAATGACACAAAGCACCCAAATAACTGAAAAACCCTGACCTAAATCAGAACCATCAACACTATTCTGCGATATTCCAGCACAACTCCCTCCCTGTTTATCCAGCAGAAGGTGTGTGAACAGAGCTGGAAATATTCCTGCTTTAATAACCCAGCTCCTCTCCCCCGTGTGGGAACTGGGCTCAATTCCTCATACAGGAAAAGCACATTCATTATTCATGTTAAGTCACACGGCTGTCAAAGGAGAGCTGGGAACATCCACCCCATAAAAGTGCAAGAAGTACATTTAACACACCAATTAACTCAAAATTAAGCACTGACAAAGAACACCTGAAGGGACACAGAAAATAAACTGAGCAGAACTTGTGATTTACGAGTGGAACTGAACAACATCAGCTGGGCTCTACCCTTTGCAGTGGCTGATTTTCACAGGAGAGTGAGGCTGGGCCTTTATTCCAATTTTATTATTATTATTATTTTGTAATGTTTAGGTGGGTGGATGGAGGGCAAGATCCCCAAACAGCAGAGCTCCCACCCACCTCCATGGCTGCAACCTCCCTCCCACGCAGTGTTTGGGCTCTGGGGTGAGATGGTGCCCCAGAGCAGCACAACAAAAATGTCCTGACCCCTCCAAACCAGCCCAAGGCTGGGGAGGCTCCGCTGAGAGACAGGTCCCACCACCCACCCCCTGCACACTGGGCTTTATCCCCTGGAAACTCTGCTTTTACCACACTGGTTTTACCCCCAGGCTCTCGCTGAGGACAAACTAAGCTTCTCTGGAGTGAAGTCAGCTCAGGCAGAGCAGAGTTAAGTTCTCCAAAATAACTCTGCAGGAGACAACCCTGTTTTGAAATCCTGGGAAAGGTTTTTGGGCTGTGAGAACACCCTCAGTTAGTCACTTCAACAACAGCCCGGGGCAGCAAACAGAGCAGTGTTAGCAGGTCATTAGCAGGGGGTTTGGGAAAAAAAGGTGAAGTTTTAAAAGACAGGCTTCAACATGGAGTTTCTTACCAATAATCATTGCAGTGAATAGGTCTCTATATAAGAAATTAAACAGGAAAGGTGCATACCAGGCCTCAACTCCCACAAAGGCTGTCACTATGTAGACAATTGAAATGGTCTGAAAGAAAGCACAGGACGAGCAGGGGTGAGAAATGTGAAGGGCAGGGCTGGCAGCACCTGGGCTGTCTGCACCACCCTTGTGCCAGGCAGCTGGAAGCTAAGACACGTTCAGTCCTACCCCACAGCAGGAAGGAGAAAAATGGAACAAATCCACCAATATCCCACGTTACCAGGTGCAGGAAGGGCGAGCTGCTGAGCAGGGATGGGATTGGGAAGTGCCCATCCCCTGGGGCACCTCCAGTGCTGGGGGCAGCTCTGGGCCCCTCCTGCCAGGAGAGACCTGGAGGGGCTGGAGCGTGTCCAGGGAAGGGAACGGAGCCCCAGGAGGGGCTGGGGGAGCTGGGAAGGGGCTCAGCCTGGAGAAAAGGAGGCTCAGGGGGGACCTTGTGGCTCTGCACAGCTCCTGACAGGAGGGGACAGCCAGGGGGGGTCGGGCTCTGCTCCAGGGAACAGGGACAGGACACGGGGAAATGGGCTCAGGCTGGGCCAGGGCGGGCTCAGGGTGGGCAGCAGCAGGAATTTCTGCCTGGAAAGGGCTGTTAAACCTTGGCAGGGGGTGAAGTCACATCCTTGCAGGAATATGAAAACCACGTGGAAGTGGCACTTGGGGACAGAGGTGGCCTTGGCAGTGCTGTGAGGACTCGATGGCCTCAGAGGGTTTCTCCAACCTCGCTGAGTCCATGAGCAGGAGCTGCAGGAGAGATGCCCTGGCACGGCCTTAAACTCTCCAGGTGATAACAACCCGGGTTTTGCACAAGTTGCAGTGACCCTGGAGGGTCACTCGGGGACTTTTCCTTATCCATCTGCTGCTGGATGATGGGAGAAGCTCACCAGGGCTATTTCAGCTTTAACAGTCCCCTGAAGCTGGGTGGAGCACGCTGCTCTGCCCTCCACCCCTGCCCTTCTCCAGCAGGCAGCTCAAAGACCTGGGTTAAGCAACATTTTGGGAGAAAGGATCAGAGCACAGTCAGGGACCAGGTCTGGTCTCCTTGTAGTAGGAGAGATGATTATTCCAATTAATGCAGCTGCATTAATTGAACTCTCCTTCCAACTCGTTGCATTTCCCACCCAGCATCTGACAAACCAGAAGATAAATAAATGGATAAATAAGATAAAAGATTTTTTTACAATGAGGGTGTCTGCCCAGAGAAGCTGTGGCTCCCCCATCCCTGGAAATGCCCAAGGGCAGGATGGATAAAGCTTGGAGCATCCTGGGCTGGAGGAAAGCACTGCCAGCAATCCAGGTGAACTACACAAAGCAACAACTCCTTTTGGAATTCCAAAAGGCATCCCAAATTTCCAGGCTTTAACCCACAGTGGTACTACGTAGGGAACTACACAAAGCAACAATTCCTCTTGGAATTTGCTTTGGAATTCCAAAAGGCATCCCAAATTTCCAGGCTTTAACCCACAGTGGTACTACCACGTAGGGAACTACACGAAGCAACAACTCCTTTTGGAATTCCAAAAGGCATCCCAAATTTCCTGGCTTTACCCACAGTGGCACCACATAGGGAACTACATAAAGCAACAACTCCTCTTGGAATTTGCTTTGGAATTCCCAAAAGGCATCCCAAATTTCCAGGCTTTAACCCACAGTGGTACCACGCAGGGAACTACATGAAGCAACAATTCCTTTGGGAATTCCAAAAGGCATCCCAAATTTCCAGGCTTTAACCCACAGTGGTACCACGTAATGAACTACACAAAGCAACAATTCCTTTTGGAATTTGCTTTGGAATTCCAAAAGGCATCCCAAATTTCCAGGCTTTACCCACAGTGGTACCACATAGGGAACTACACGAAGCAACAATTCCTTTTGGAATTCCAAAAGGCATCCCAAATTTCCAGGTTTTACCCACAGTGATACCACCTAGGGAACTACACGAAACAACTCCTTTTGGAATTTGCTTTGGAATTCCAAAAGGCATCCCAAATTTCCAGGCTTTACCCACAGTGGTACCACGTAGGGAACTACAAGAAGCAACAATTCCTTTTGGAATTTGCTTTGGAATTCCAAAAAGCATCCCAAATTTCCAGGCTTTACCCACAGTGGTACCACGTAAGGAAATACACGAAGCAACAACTCCTTTGGGAATTCCAAAAAGGCATCCCAAATTTCCAGGCTTTAACCCACAGTGGTACCATGTAGGGAACTACACAAAGCAACAATTCCTTTTGGAATTCCAAAAAGCATCCCAAATTTCCAGGCTTTACCCACAGTGGTACCACGTAGGGAAATGCACGAAGCAACAACTCCTTTTAGAATTCCAAAAGGCATCCCAAATTTCCAGGCTTTACCCACAGAGGCACCACGTAATGAACTACACAAAGCAACAATTCCTTTTGGAATTCCAAAAGGCATCCCAAATTTCCAGGCTTTAACCCACAGTGGTACCACACAGGGAACTACTCAAAGCAACAATTTCTTTGGGAATTCCAAAAGGCATCCCAAACTTCCAGGCTTTACCCACAGCGGTACCACCTAGGGAACTACAAGAAGCAACAACTCCTTTTGGAATTTGCTTTGGAATTCCAAAAGGCATCCCAAATTTCCAGGCTCTACCCACAGTGGGAACTACACGAAGCAACAATTCCTTTTGGAATTCCAAAAGGCATCCCAAATTTCCAGGCTTTAACCCACAACTACACAAAAAAACAACTCCAGTGGGTAAAACATGCAGGAAGGAGGGAGAGGAGAGCCAAGGCCACATCCACCCTTCCAGCCTGGCTCGTCGTGGAGGGTCCATCTCCACCAGGGACCCCGCGATGACCAAGGCTCTCTGTGCCCACCTCGGGGCAGGAACTCACCACCTGGCTGACGTCATATCCCCAGGGCAGGAAGAGAATCCCCGTGTTGTACTTCTCCCAGTGGGAGAGGATGAAGGAAAACAAGACCACCCAGAGCAGGAGGTAGAGGACGAAGACGCTGACGCCGGTGGAGCCCCGGCCGAAGGTGGAGTACACGGTGACCACGAAGTAGACGCAGGCCCAGCTGTCCAGGCCGTGGTCAAAGAGCTCTCCCAGGGGTGTGCTGGAGTTGGTGCGGCGTGCCTGCTTCCCATCCACGCCATCTGGGAACGGGGGGAGGAATGAGAGTGGTGTGAGACTCTTGGAGGCAGCTCTGAGCTCTCAGAGGAACTCCTCACGCCCAGGACAGCCCAACGGCACAAAAGGAGCAGGGTGGCTTCTGGGAGAGTGTTGGAAACAGAAAAAGGGTTGATAAAAGGTAAAATAACAAAGCTTCTACAGAGAGAAACTGAGCTAGGGGGAAGAGGTTCTTGCTCCTGCTAAAGCACCCCACAAAAGTGATTATTTCCTTTGTTCTCCCTTTTTTAGGCAGGATCTCTTGGCCTCTATCTAATCAGACAGCCCCTGGTTTGAGGTGAAGTCCAAAAGGTCCTATGAGGTGTCTTTTGAGCAAATTGGGAGAGAAACTTGTGGGCTTTTTGCTGTTTTAAGCAGACAAATAATAATTTAGTCACTCTGTCAGCAGGGAGTACATTCCTACACATGGAGCTGTCCTGGACATCCCACACAAAGCAATGGGCCAGGGAACAGCAGCTTTCCCCACCTCCACCCTCAATCAGTGAGTGGGCTTCCCATCCCTGCTCCGTGGGAGGGTAAAAAATGCAACAAAAACTGCAAAATCTGATGAGATTATATTTATTTCCCTGTGTTTCCTTTATATTCTGTGCCTAAGGGAGGTCCAGGAGAGCTGGAGAGGGACTCGGGACAAGGGATGGATTGACAGGACACAGGGAATGGCTTCAAACAGGAAAAAGGGAAATTTAGGTGGGATATTGGGAAGGAATTCTTGGCTGTGAGGGTGGTGAGGCCCTGGCACAGGTTGGCCAGAGAAGCTGTGGCTGCCCCTGGAAGTGTCCAAGGTCAGGTTGGAGCAACCTGGTGTCAGATGAGGCATGTTTACATAGGCACGTGTTGTATGTTTACATACAAATACACGCTACGTGAACCTTCTATCAGACTTTAAGAATTATCTGCAAATTCATGTGGCATAGTGGAAAGTGTCCTTGCCCATGGTAGAACTAGAGGATTTTGCAGGTCTTTCCAAACCCAAACCGTTCTGGGATTCTCTGATTATTTAAAGCAGACCCAAGACAGAGTTTCACAGTTCATCTCAAAGCCAGTTCCAGCATCCTCCTTCCCCATCAGATGCCCCGGGACACCTTCCTTGTCTCCACGTAGCAAAGCAGCTCCCAGAAACTCCCCCAACTCCTCCCATGGGCTCAGGGAGGGGACAACACCCCCACAGCACCAGTGGGTGACCCTGCAAACTCTTACCCAACGTGTAGGCCATGAAGTTGAGGAGCCCCACCACGATCCACACGCCGTTTGGAACGTGCTGGTGATCAGGAGCTGCAGGGATCAGACAGAGCCGAGTCAGAAGAGCTCAGGATGGGCTCCCAGAGGGTTTATTTTGGCCCAAGAGGCACAGCCAGCAGGACAGAAACGGTGAATTTGGGATGTGAGCTTTGCAGGGCGTGAGGGCAGCTCCTGAAACCAGGTCAGCGAGGATTTTGCCTTCCAGGATATATTTGTCCTTTGTTCCAAGCTCTCCAAAATCATGGGATCTGAGAGCTGGGGGCAGTTCTGGAGTGCCACTGAGAGCTGGGGCAGTTCTGGAGTGCCACTGAGAGCTGGGGGCAGTTCTGGGGTGCCACTGAGAGCTGGGGGCAGTTCTGGAGTGACACTGAGAGCTGGGGGCAGTTCTGGAGTGCCACTGAGAGCTGGGGGCAGTTCTGCAGTGCCACTGAGAGCTGGGGGCAGTTCTGGGGTGACACTGAGAGCTGGGGGCAGTTCTGCAGTGCCACTGAGAGCTGGGGGCAGTTCTGTAGTGCCAATGAGAGCTGGGGGCAGTTCTGGGGTGACACTGAGAGCTGGGGGCAGTTCTGCAGTGACACTGAGAGCTGGGGACAGTCTCCAGTCCCATCCTGCCAATGGAAACCCAGCTCTTCCCTAATGGCACCTCCACCTCCACAGGAGAGCTAACTGCACCTAACCCCAAACCCACGCTGGAGCATCAGGGTTTTGTGAATTTCCTGCCATCACACCTCTGATTTCTGTTCTGGTGGACAATGTTTTATTTAGTATCATGTGAAAAAATTGAATGAACGTGATAGATTCAAGCTACTATTCCAAATAAAACCTATTTTGGGACTTTGAGCATGCTGGTTAATACCCACAGAGTGCTGGTTGTGGTAGAAGCAGAGTAACACTCCTTTTTACTTGTCCAGCACTGTGGGAATCCAGGGCTTCCCTCTGGCTGTCCTGGGACCCTGGCAGGGGTCAGAACCCCCCTGGACAGAGCCCCCAGAGACACTGGCTGTGATCTCTGTCCATGGAGGGGAGTTTTCAATCTTACAGGATGAATTACCAGCTCTGAGTGTTTGATATGAGTAATAATTAAGTGTGGCACAGGTGCAAAAGGAAAATTTTAGGATTCTAGATAAGGGGTCCAAAGGGGACAAGATGGAGGAATTGGGTGTGTCTTGTCCTTTTTCTCCTTCTTCATGCCCTCTATGTTTCACTGTGGTGTTGGCATTTTTCTGTTGGTTTAGGCTGGGGACACACTGTCCAACGTAGGTGACAGATATTGGCACGTTATTGTAAATCCAGCACAGGTAGTTTGTGGTATTTAATGTTTGTAGCATCCCACTGAGGGCAGAGCCCCACACGCTGCCCTGCAGGACAGAGCTGCGGCAGGGCAGCAGAACATGTTAGAGATAAACAGAATAAACAACCTTGAAACAGCACAGACCAATTATGGCTTCTGCTTTGGCAGCGGGGCTGACAGACAGAGACTTTCTACAATCTCAGAATCACCAACACCACAGATCCAACACAGCACCTTTCTCCCCTGTCAATATTTACTTCCCAATGGATATCGTGACAGGCTGACAATGAAAGGGGCACTGGAGAAGGGCAGGAAGAGGCACGGATCCTTGGCAGCAGGAGGGCACAGGGAGGTCTCCTGGGGCACAGTGATGCTGTGAAATGCCACCTCCTGTTTCCTCAGGGCAGCAGGATGGTGCCCTCCCAGCAGCAAAGGGAGGCAGGGAGGGAGGGCATCACCTCTGCAAAGCCATCCAAGGAACAGGGAAGGCACAAAAGTCTGGAGCAGCACCAGAAGTTCTCTCTCCAAGCAGGACGTGAATGTGAAAGGCTGCCAAGCCATGAGCTCCAAAGCCAGTTTTGGAGAGGCTGGGAGAGCTGGGGATGTCCAGCGTGGAGAATGGAAGCTCCAGGGAACTCTGAGAGGCTTTTCCAGAGCCTAAAGAGCCTCCAGCAGAGCTGGAGAGGGTGGGACAAGGGCCTGGAGGGACAGGACAAGGGGAATGGCTTCCCACTGCCATGGGATACTGGAGCTTGGAGCAACCTGGGATAGTGGAAGGCGTCCCAGGCGGCACTGGATGGGCTTTAAAGTCCCTTCAACCCAAACCATTCTTGGATTCCATGATTCTGGATGTCTGACATGCTGGAATTTTCACTTTGAGCTACTGACAGCTTTTGTTCTCATGGCTCATGGACCTTAACAGGTCCAACAGCCACGGATGCCACCTGAGCCTTCAACAGTTTTGACTTGTCTACCAATAAAGACAATCCAAATAAACCAGGATTTCTGCCATGTAACTGTGTTTTGATGATGGGTTCAGTCTAGAAGAATTACACAAACTCTCCTGAGCAACCTAAACCAGACCTGGCAGGGTCTAAGGGAGAGAAAAACACAGAGGAGAAGCTCCTGAGAATTACCACACTGCATTAATCCTTTCCCTGGGACTCCTCCATGTGCAGAGGAACACGACTGAACTATTGGATCCACAGACAGATGAACGTGGGGACTGTTAGAAAGTTTAAAGCTGTGAATGGTGAAGCTCAGAAAGAGGATTTGGCCTTGTTAGTCTGACGTGGTGGTTTTGCCAAGAGGGGAACGAGCTGGGATGTGAAAAACAAGGCTCTATCTGCTGATTTTAGGGAAGCAGCACTTCTAACGTTTTCCTGCTAGATTTTCAACCGAGGGCACTGGGTTGTTTGCTCTGCAGGCAGAGCCAATTCCACCCTGAGATTCCAGCTGTCTCTTCCTCCCTGTCCCAGCCAGGAGCACCTTTCCCTGGCAGCCGGAGGGAAGGGGCTACACACACCCTGACAAGTCCTTGTCACAAAACCCAGCGAGTTCAATCCCCTCCTCTGTCCCAGCCACTCTGGGAAGGCCCAGACCCAGAGGCCTCACCAGTTCCCAGCAGAGGAGGTGACAGATTTCCCACCTGACCAGGAACATGCAGCCTTACCAGAAGCATAAAAGTCAGGGTCGAAGTATGCCATGAGGAAGAAGTTGAAGACAAGCAGCAGGAAGCCAGAAAACGTTATCAAATTTGGGGCCAGCCAGGTAGGGAAGATCTATGGGAAAGCAGCAAAAGAACAGATGAACTCGTTAAAACATGGACTGAGGAGCAAGGTGCTGCTCCAGCCATGGCTGCACTGGCTGGGTGTTAGACAACGCTGCCAGGAGCACCCGGAGCATCCCGGGGCAGCAGGAAGCGTGGGGCTGGGATGCAGGGATTCAGGGATTCAGGGATTCAGGGATTCGGGGCAGGCTGCAGGCAGCCCCTCACTCATTAGTGGCACCACAAAGGAAGCAGCTGATGGTGTTACAGAGCTGACCTGGATGGTGTTACAGAGCTGACCTGGGCCGTGCTGTCCCGCTCTGGGACAGGGACTCACCTTCACAACGGCGTTCCAGAAGGGATGCATGACATACAGGGACAGGGGGTTGCTGTCCACGGCGCTGTACTGGGAAACACAAAAGCCAACAGTTAATGAGGGCTCCAGCAACCTGCAGAAACAGCCAGACATCTGCAATCTTCTGAGCCCCTTTGGAAATGCCAGCTTGATGGAACCCAGGCCTGGTTCAGGGGCTCCGTGTGGTGGAAAAGTCTCTCCTCCAAGCTGTGCTTCCAAAGAAAGGCTCAGCAGTCTCTTGTTGTTCAGTCTCAAGGCAGTTTATTGCAAGTTATCTAAAAGATTTTCTTATTGAGCTGCTGTGGTTTGCTCACAGCTCAGGCAGAGGCACACACACACCCTGACATCCTCTCTGACTCCCGACTGCTTCTTCTCTCCCCCTCTGCCCAGGGCTGCTGCTGTCTTTTATATGGTACATTACATGTTAAATGTTTATAGATTTTTCCCAATACCTATTACCTATATTAAATGGTGCTTTTCTATCTTTTATATGGTACATTACGTGTTACATGTTTACAGTTTTTCCCCAATGCCTATTACCTACATTAAATGGTGCCTTTCTATCTTTTATATGGTACATTACGTGTTACATGTTTACAGTTTTTCCCCAATGCCCATTACCTATATTAAATGGTGCTTTTCTATCTTTTATATGGTACATTACGTGTTAAATGTTTATAGTTTTTCCCCAATCCTATTACCTATATTAAATGTTGCTTTTCTATCTTTTATATGGTGCATTACGTGTTAAATGTTTATATTTTTTCCCCAATCCTATTACCTATATTAAATGGTGCCTTTCTATCTTTTATATGGTACATTACATGTTAAATGTTTATAGTTTTCCCCCAATACCTATTACCTATATTAAATGGTTCTTTTCTATCTTTTATATAGTACATTACATGTTACATGTTTATAGTTTTTCCCCAATGCCTATTACCCATATTAAATGGTGCTTTTCTATCTTTTATATGGTACATTACATGTTAAATGTTTATAGTTTTTCCCCAATCCTATTACCTATATTAAATGGTGATTTTCTACTCTAAACCAATCTGTGAGTGCCAACATCACCAAGAACATGGAGGGAAGGAAGGAGAAAGAGGAGGACAGGACAGGCCAAAATCCCTCCATCTTAAACCCTCTGACCCCCATGTACAAAACCAAAACCCCCTGTACAGTGCTCAAAAATTCTTCCCTCTACTTTGTGACTACTTCTACTATAATATCTAAATTTTTGTGACTGCTTGTTCTTCCTGCAAAGTTGGTAAATCATTCCATGGCTCAAACCCAAAATCACAGCTGTTTCCAGCTGCCTGCCAGGGTCTCAAATGCTTCTGACCTGGGCCTGGAACCTCCAAAAATGTCTGAGGAACATTTTGAGTTCCGACACCAGCTCTCCGAGCGGACCCAGGCAAGGAGCAAAATGCTGATCCTTTCATTCCAACTGCTCTGCCCCAGCTGGGTGAGGAGAAATGCTGTGGGTGCCATCTGTCACCTGCTGAGCTGTGACCCCTTTGTTCCCTTGCTGGTCCCCTTCCAGCAGTGGGACTGGGAGCCCCTCGAGCACGATGGGTCTCAGAGGGCCCCTCTCCACTGAGGAGCTGAGATTTCACCAGAGGCAGCTTTGGGAATGGGGAGGGAGAGCTCTTACCCCTCATCCCATCACTGTCACAACGTCTGAGGTGCTCAGGGTGTGTTTGTGGTGGGGGAAATAAAAATAGAAATAAAAATCAAAGATCTAGACGAGGCATGAAACAATTTCCAGATAGGAAGTTAAAATTTGACTTCACTTGGCTCTCGAGAGCAGCATGAGCAGCAGTTATCTGCTCTCACAGCCCCTTCCAAACACAGATTACCCTGGCTAAAGTCCTCTTCTCCCAGGAACACTTTGATAAGAATCCCAAGAACAATTCCACATGCTACCAAACTCCTGGGCTCACATTCTTGGTGCTGGGCTGGGCAGAACATGCTGCTCACCCACCTGCTTGGGACAGCACCCCCAGCTCCACACAGGAGCTGAGCCCAGTCCCAAAAACAGAATCCCAGAGTGAGATTCTGCTTGGGACAGCACCCCCAGCTCCAGCACAGGAGCTGAGCCCAGTCCCAAAAACAGAATCCCAGAGTGAGATTCTGCTTGGGACAGCACCCCCAGCTCCACACAGGAGCTGAGCCCAGTCCCAAAAACAGAATCCCAGAGTGAGATTCTGCTTGGGACAGCACCCCCAGCTCCAGCACAGGCAACTTCCTTTAGTCCAGTCCCAAAAACAGAATCCCAGAGTGAGATTCTGCTTGGGACAGCACCCCCAGCTCCACACAGGAGCTGAGCCCAGTCCCAAAAACTGAATCCCAGAGTGAAACTCTGCTTGGGACAGCACCCCCAGCTCCACACAGGAGCTGAGCCCAGTCCCAAAAACAGAATCACAGAGTGAGATTTTGCTTGGGACAGCAGCCCCAGCTCCACACAGGAGCTGAGCCCAGTCCCAAAAACTGAATCCCAGAGTGAAACTCTGCTTGGGACAGCACCCCCAGGCACCTCCATGAGCCCAGTCCCAAAAACAGAATCCCAGAGTGAGATTCTGCTTGGGACAGCACCCCCAGCTCCACACAGGAGCTGAGCCCAGTCCCAAAAACAGAATCACAGAGTGAGATTTTGCTTGGGACAGCACCCCCAGCTCCACACAGGCACCTCCCTGAGCCCAGTCCCAAAAACAGAATCCCTGAGTGAGATTCTGCTTGGGACAGCACCCCCAGGCACCTCCCTGAGTCCAATCCCAAAAACAGAATCCCAGAGTGAGATTCTGCTTGGGACAGCACCCCCAGCTCCAGCACAGGCACCTGCCTGAGCCCAGTCCCAAAACCAGAATCCCAGACTGAGATTCTGCTTGGGAGAGCACCCCCAGGTACCTCCCTGAGCCCAGTCCCAAAAACAGAATCCCAGAGTGAGATTCTGCTTGGGACAGCACCTCCAGGCACCTGCTTGAGCCCAGTCCCAAAAACAGAATCCCAGAGTGAGATTCTGCTTGGGACAGCACCCCCAGCTCCAGCACAGGCACCTGCCTGAGCCCAGTCCCAAAAACAGAATCCCAGAGTGAGATTCTGCCAGGGCCTCACCCCCTCACAGCCAAGAATTCCTTCCCAGTATCCCATCCCAAATCCCTTTTCCACTTTGAAGCCATTCCCTGTGTCCTGTTTCTCTGTCCCTTGTCCCCAGTCCCTCTGCAGCTCTCCTGGAGCCCCTCCAGGCCCTGCCAGGGGCTCTGAGCTCTCCTGGAGCCCCTCCAGGCCCTGCCAGGGGCTCTGAGCTCTCCCTGGATCCTTCTCCTCTCCAGGTGAGCCCCCCCAGCTCTCCCAGCCCGGCTCCAGGGCCTCCTCTGGACTCATTCCAACAGGTCCCAAATTTGGTTTGGTTGGTCAAAGGAAACCCATCAGCAACAAGCAGCTCCAGGTCATCCCCCCACAGCCCATGGCCTTGAACCAGCCCCTGCCATTGCACCCATGGATTGCTCCAGCCTGTTCCTCTCCTTGTCCCTGGAAGCAGAGGAGAGGTGGGAAAGGGCAAAGCAACACCCCCCCAAGCCAGGCACCAGCACTGGTCTCACTGGGGTCCCATCTGCTCGAATCCCATCCTTGGCAAGGATTTCTGTACCCCCTCCCAGCCCTTCCCTGCCCTCCCTGTGCAGGGATTCAGCCCCAGAGGTTGTGTCCCCACAGCAGCAGCAGAGCAAGAAGCATCAAACCCCAAAGCTGTTGGACTCGACTCTAAGCCACAAAGAATTTCCACCTCAGCTTAATGCAATTTTGGGGGGCAGAATTCCAAATGCTTTACAAGATAATAGGATTTGAAGCAGCAGTAGGGGAGGAGGAGAGACTGATGTAATCTCATTATCACCAAAACAGCCTGGAACAAGAAACTAGATGTAAGATTTGCAGCAAGGCAGGGGAGGAGCTCCAGAACCTCAGGGAAGTTTCAACAGGCCCATGGCTTGGGAAGCTTTCCTCTCTCCCTGCAAGGACTGGGGGTAATACTCAATAAAGAGCTTTTCCCCATGGCCACACGTGTTCCCACCTTGCTGGCAGAGCTGGGAAGAGCTTTCTTGGAGAAAGGGCAGCTGCTCTGCAGAGGTTTCCTGATGCAACCTTGGGAATCATGGAATATCCTGGGTTGGAAGGGACCCACAGGGATCATGGAGTCCAAGTGCTCCCCCTGCACAGATCCCCCAAATCCCACCCTGGGCATCCCTGGCAGTGCTGTCCAAACCCACCCGGAGCTCTGCAGTGCCCAGCACCCTCTGGGGGAAGAACCTTTCCCAAAATCCAACCTAAACCTCCCTGGCACAGCTCCGTGGTTCCCTCGGCTCCTGTCCCTGTCACAGAGAGCAGAGATCACAGCTGCCCCTCGGCAGGAAGCTGCTGACATCCATGAGCTCTCCTCTCAGGCTCTCTCCAGCTGAACAAGCCAAGTGCCCTCAGCCACTCCCTGTGGGAATCCAGGGCTTCCCTCTGGCTGCCCTGGCAGGTCTGGGACCCTGGCAGGGGTCAGGAACCCCCCTGGACAGAGCCCCCAGAGACACTGGCTGTGATCTCTGTCCATGGAAAAGAGTTTTCAATCTTACAGGGTGAATTACAAGCTTTAAGTGTTTGATATCAGTAATAATTAAGTGTGGCACGGGTGCAAAAGTAAAATTTTAAGTTTCTAGATTAGGGGTTTAAAGGGGACAAGATGGAGGAAATTGGGTGTGTCTTGTCCTTTTCCTCCTTCTTCATGCCCTCCATGTTTTACTGTGGTGTTGGCATTTTTCTGTTGGTTTAGGCTGGGGACACACTGTTCAACGTAAATGATAAATATTAGCACATTATTATAAATATAGCACAGGTAGTTTCTGGTATTTAATGTTTGTAACATCCCACTCTGGGGTGTTACATTGGCACGTTATTGTAAATCCAGCACAGGTAGTTTGTGGTATTTAATGTTTGTAACATCCCACTGAGGGGTGTTACATTGGCACGTTATTGTAAGTCCAGCACAGGTAGTTTGTGGTATTTAA